GCACACACACACACACACACACACACACACACACACACACACACACACACATACACACAGGACATACAGGACAAACGAGTATATTGCCAACGTGCGAATGGCAAACCATATAGGAACGCTGACAGTTTTCCGTTTCTCGGCACACAAAAAACGTTAAATAAAAGAAACCAACGTGCGCAGCCTAAAAAAAGAAAACAGGACATGCTACAAGTCGCGAGGAAGAGACGAAAGAAAAAAATTATAAATAAACATATACATACACATAAAACTACAAGATATAAATATATATGTATATATATATTTATATATGTATTGCATATATATATAAATATATACATATATAAATATACATATAAATATATACATAAATATATATATAAATATATAAATATATATATATATATATATATATATATATATATATATATAAAATCACAATTTGCAAACCTACTGTGCACTGTCAAAATGAAACATAATGAAAAAAAAATGAAATAGCGAGTTAAGGGTTTTTTAACATACATTACGAACATTGTACTGACTTTTTTAATGAAGTTTTATCACGTTACGGAGTACTATATAAATATACATATATAAATATATACATACGGAAGAAGTATTATGCAGTATATATATACATATATATATTGTATAAGCAAGAGAGAGAAACAGTACACTTGGAACTCGGCGTAACGACACGAACACAAACACTCGCGAGCCACGGAGAACACGAGCGAATGTTTGATGACATTATTTGATGAATGATACGCCAATAAAATGAAGAATGTACATAATAAAGAACGGTATATACAATAGAATGCTACGAGATCATATGACCCTAATCAAATCGAAACAGAATTCGAACTTATCAGGACCGCGTTAAGTTAAATTGAAATCGCGGTGCGCGCGCATCGGTATACGACGTGTTGCCAGCACGAGGGGCTCGGATTTGATAACATCGGCGCATGCGTGGAAGTGTCGCGCCACGGACGGATCGATAGACCGATCGAAGAGATCGATGGCCAGTCGGTAACTGCGTGTGACGGTCAGTAATGCAGCGACACGGAACCATTGAAATCTTTTGAAACCTTTCGAGTCTTAAATCTCATTTTCCGAGAGTAATCGATCGCAGAGAATCTCGTAAAGCATTTTAAGGATCCCCTTGGAAATATCCCGAATAATCTAGGGCAGTTACTGGCCTGGATCTTCGGCGCGTTTTAGGAAAATGAATCGTAGAAATTGCGTCCCGTTTGATATCATCGACCGTTCGTTCTTATCTTCCCGCGCAATTTTCCAGTAGTTTTAATCGGCGGCCGGACGAAAGGGAAGGAATTGAGAACACCCCGCCTTGACTCGAAAGTTATTAGCGAAAAGTTATTAGTGCGAGTACCCGTTCCGTTTCAGGGAACAGCATATTTTTATCCGGCCGCTTCGCTGCTTGTAAAATACAGAAAGCAAAAGGTATAATCCGCAACAGGCGACAGCGGAGGGGCAGGCGGTGTGTATTGATCCACGGTGTTCCATGGCAACATGCTCTCTCTTTCTTTGAGCACATCGTTTTGTTTATCGAACCGATGCCGCCAATCATTTTTTCATAGACTCGCAATTGATCACGCTGTTCGATTTGAGAATTTCCCGGTTGCGAGTCGAGGGTGCTAACTCGATTTTTTTCTATCCCCGATGGTGAACCGATAACACTGTTTCATTCGTCGAATCGATATTCGTCGATCTCATGACAGTCCGATCGATATCTCGAGAGAGGGCAATCTACGCTGGTCAGTTCTTAGATGCTCGAACGGTTGCGGTAGTCAGGGGCATTGATTTTCGGTTATTGCTTTCACGCACGAATGGTTTCAGTATTCGGTGATCGATCGCTCATCTATCCTTCTCGATCATTGATCACGAACATATAACATTCTCTGATTCATCGAAAATCGATCATTGCCAATATTGCGAGGTTCCGACGATCGACCCAAGGAAAGGCAATTTTCTTTGTTTTTCCTGAGATGCTTCGAATGTTGCAGTAATCGGGGGCGTCGATTCTCCGTTGTTTCTTAGATGCCGGGAAGGTTGTAGTCGCCAGGAGTCGATGGCACAGATCCTTTTCGATCGACTCGTAACCGTTGGTTGGATAATGCAGCCCGAGGGGGTGGTAAGCGTAAAAAATGAGTATGCCCGGTATGCCATTCCCACGGCAACCTCGATTCACCGAAATGTATTTTAATTACGGAATGATTTGCTGGAGTGCGAGCGCAATCCGAGCGAATTCCTTGCCTCTGACGTCACCGATGCGCACACACCAACACGGAAACACACAAACGCACACACTTTCATCGATTATTCGATACACCGAAGAAAATCCATTTCTCCCGCAGCCACCCTCTCGCCTACACCCGTCAGCAGCTTAATTCTCCGTCGCTAATTTATGACAATTACCGACCAGTTTATCAAACAATCATCCGACCTGATTGTAAATTAGACGAGGGATATTCAGCCTGGACAAAAGGCGATCGAAACGAAAAAGTATCTGTTTGCGAGATCGAGTGGCACACGCGCAGATTACGGACGGGAGGGGTGATTCGTAACTTTGTTACCCTTCATTTTCCAACGTCCCTCTTGCGGTTCCGCTTTCTCTGGGCTGGTAATTAGCAAACCGATCGCTTTATTTATGAAAATATCGCTCGATCGCCGTTAAAGCACAATAGGAAGAGTGGTACTTGTCAACGAATGGTCAGACGGCGGAGGGAATACAATAACCGAATCGGAAGTTTGATTCCCGCGTCTGTGACGCTCGAGTCATCCATTTACGGGGGCTGAGAAGAGCCTGTTCTCGGTTTGATCTGTGCCCCGCAGTGGCGTAGCTCAATTACTGATCAGGCGTAGGCCGGAGCGAGGCTCGGCTGGAGCGTTACAGAGACCTCGGATAGATGTATATTTCGTCGGCACGGTGGAAACGCCGTTCAGGAGGGTCGAAGAGAGAGAGAGGCGTTTCCGCGTGGCACGGCCTCCTGCTCGTAATTAACAACGTTAGGAGCTCGAGCTGGCAGAAGTTAGTGCCTGTTGTCGGTACGTCTGCGGCCGTACCGCCTCGCGGAAACCGTTTCTCTCGAATGCGAAACGCGACGGCTGGTAATCGGGAATTAGAAACTCGAACGTAAAACACCATTTACGCGCTCCCCTTGGTCCCCTCGTCGCACCTCCACCTCCCCTCCCTCGTCTACATCGAGCGGTTATGACCGCGTAATTATAATGCGGCAGTTTCGAGGGACGCGAAAGGCTGAAGGTTCGGTTTGATTGGCACCCTTCGGCCTGACCTACATCACGTGGCGAACTTTCTTCCTCCCTTTGGCTCTCGGTGGAAATACTCTCGGAGAGGAGAGCGGCCCTCTTTTCCTCCGTGAAGAGACGTTTAATTTTAACCTCGTGCCTTTTCGTCGGTGCCGTTTAATGGTAACACCGCAGCGGAGCTGGTCCAATCGGTGTCCAGATATCGGTGCACAGCGAGCTCTCTCCACCATCCTGCTTTACGACCCCTGAAAATTTCAGATCGATTTATTTATTGGCTGTTGAATAAAAACATCGATCGGCCTGGGCTCTCGGAGAGAAATCTTATTCATTGCGAGACCCAGGTACGATCTTCCTGAATCCGGGTGGGACGCATTGAACACAGGATCTTCCGGATATTCTCCGCGGAAGCAGCAAAGGCTTGTTACTGGCCAGACAAGCTCATTGGAACTCGCCACTGGTTGAATGTTCCCTGTCTGCCTGCCTGCCTGCCTGCCGAGAGCTGAACTTTTCCTCTGTTGCTGCAGTTTTCAAATTTATTCACTTGCTAACTGCTAAACAGGGTCTCGGAAATATTCCGCGCCAGTGCAGACCTGTTTTCGCCGAGGAGGAAGTTCCTCGCTGATTTCGAAATCAATCGAGCCTTCGATGGAAAGGTTGTTCGTCTGACATTGTTCTTAACGGTACTCGGGAGGCTACGTTCACAACTCGACGTCGGCCAGAGTTCACGAAATCCCAGAAATGGCCCCATTAAGCGCGCACCCCCGCAAACTCGTTCAGCCCTTTAACTAAACTCGCTCGGCGGCTACGTGTTCGGCAAATACGAATTTGCCGTTAGTAAACTATGGATTTCGGTTTCGGTAAACTTCGTCTCAATTTCGCAGCGAGTTCGTCGCGACCGTTTGCCCACGGCTGGTCGGCCTTTAATTGCATCGGCCGGCTACGCGATCGTGCCCCCTCGTTTCGTCGCCTCTCTCTGACGCGATCGCGATTCGCTATACCGACCGATGATCGATTTATTCGCGGAACAGGAAAATTTGGAAATACAGCTGCGAGCGACGGCGATGCCCTAAGTTATCCTGTCGACCGGTTTCATCGTTGGGTCCGGAAGCGAGGAGCTGGCGACGCTCGGGCAAATTTCCGCGAAAGAAGACACGCGACGGAGCGTTAAGTCCGGCGCGTCTTGTTTGGCACAGCTGGCCTAATAACGCGGCAGTTTATTTTCGAGCCCGAACCATCGATACCCACGGCCAGTCCCCCCCCACTCTTTCTCTCTTTTTCTCTCTGTTTATTCGCCTGAAAAAAGTTAATCGTCGAAAGTTGCCGGTGGATTCCACGCGGCTGCGACGCGAAAGGACAAATAAAGGAAATGGCGCGGAACGGATGACGAAGTGCCGCGAAGATTCCTTCCAAAGTTTCGCTCTGCGAGCCTGAGACGGTGGAAGGGATCGAGATCTTGATCTCGCCACGTCCGCAACGGCGGATCTGATTTTTTTTATCTCTGCAGGCGAGCCAAGCCGAGCAGAATAGAGCCAGGATCCACGGCAGAAAGGCACAACATCTGCAGCGAATCGAACGAAGCCGTGATCTTGGTATCATATTCGACCCTTTCTATTCCATCTCAATTATCGGCAGTTTAGTCGCGTGTCAGCCGCCTAAATTCGATGGAATTATCGAGGCTCGGCTGGGCTCGGTGTGACACGGAATAAATATTTACGGTTCGCTGGGTCCAGATAGAGAGAGAGAGAGAGAGAGAGAGAGAGAGAGATGGAGATAAAGATAGAGATAGAGATAGAGAGGGGAGAGAAGAGCAAGAGAGCAAGAGAGGGAAGAGAAGAGAGAGAGATAGAGAGGGAGGGGTGCTGGTCTGCAGCGGGTACGCGCGTCAGCCACGACACGCCGAAGCGGAAAGGGCAGGAAAGCTCGTTCAGCCTTATCCAGCCACTTTTCCGCGGACGATAATGGGCTCGTTTCGCTCCGGCGAAATCTTAGGCTGCAATCAATTTACTTGAAACTGGTCTACGTGCGCGATTCACCGAGATAACTGGGCGCCGTCGACGCCGCCGACGCCGCCGACGACGACGACGACGCCGACGCCGTCGCAGCCGCCTCTGTGGAGTGCGCCGACCGAGCCGCTTTTCTCCCGGGCTTCTCGGTTATAGAAGGGGGCGAGGCTTCGAGGCTAAGTTTTCTGAAAATGACTGACGCCGGATTATCAGATCGCCCGGCAGTTCCGTCGTAAATTATTAAAACACGTCGGCGTTCCGCTCCGTGTATCGTCTCCCGTCTAGACGACCGACCGAAATCCGGAGAATCTACGAACACCACTGGCGAAAGTCTCCCCTTCAACCAGCGATTATCAATTCAGGATGCTCATCCTGTTTTCTAGTCCTCAGCGGTAATCCGACCAACACCGATTCCATTCCTCATCTTCTTGAACCTGCTGCAGTCGTCTGAAAAAGTAGTACGAGTCAGTTGGTAGTCGGATAGAATGGTCTCGAGAAGCAGGTGATCAGAGTACTACGGAATAACCAAATGGTCGGGTAATGACCACGGAAAGTTGTATGAAACAGTGACCGATGCGAGAAAACTAGCTCGAGTCGATGACAGTTCGAACGACGTACCACGAGTCCCAAACAAGACACGCGGACGGGGCACGTCTTTCGTTAGCAGATGTCGAAAAACTGAGCGGCAGAACGACTTAGCCGCGTGTAAATCAAAGGGGAAACTCGGCGTGGTTGTGGTTCGACGTCAAGGCTCGTCCGTTGGTTATTATGAATTATGGTATGAAGGGCCGATTCGAAGCAGGATGGAAACCGCGAGCAGCCTAGTTGCATCTTCGCGGTCAACGGTCTTCTGACGCAGTGCGGATGCTTAAAAATTAGTTCGACGATCGGCAATGAAAAACACGATGCAGCACCCCTTGCACCTGATGCGACTTCCGGTAGGAGGAAATTTCGGATGGGATCGCGCGCGCGGCAGCGTCAATAAATCCTCGGCTATCGAACATCGTTGCGCCGCGTAAAATGACGTCGCATCGCGTTCCGTTCCGCTGCAAATAACTTGTAACATCGGCAGTTACATAATCTCGGGTGAATATACATAGGCGTGGCGATGCGCGTTACTTGCGGGACCGTAATTCAGGGCAACCGTTCCCGCCGTTCGCCCCCGATATATCTGATTCTGTTATTTCCTCCGGTTTCCATTAGTCACCGGCGTGTGACGGCAGTCGCGGCCGACTTTCCCGCCTCGGAAATCGCTCGAATTTTCTTTGGCCGTCTCGCCGAGCATCGACAACCTCTCTCGGACACCCGGAATATCTTCGAAGTTCGCGCCAGCGAATGGTTGCCCGCGACTTTCTGAAAGTATCGGTCGAGAGTCCACTGCCACACGATATAAAGTGGAACGAGGAAATGGAAAAAATATGATTACACCGTGACACATGCATTCGGCCAATCCCAGCGTGTCTCTGAAACGCTCGAGGTGGTCGTTGGAATTCTGCTTATATAGCCCGCCGGATCAAAAGACGTAAATTCATCTCGGGCGAAATGTTTCTCCGTGACGATACAATTCTGCAGTTTTCCTTGCGACGTGTCTGCGATCTGCAATGGATATTTTTCGTTCAAGTAATTTCATCGTAGAAAGTGCTTTATGGCTTCTTCCGACCAATGGCCGATCTATACTACTCTGGTCGAACATTGGATGGAGTATACTACTTAGTCGACTCGCATAACTGTGTCCGACTCCAGGCTTATCCCCACTACTCTGTCCGACCATCTGGCTGATGCATACTACTTTGTCCGACCATTCGACTGCTGCATAGCACTTTATCTAACTATGCATTTGACAGATACGCGCTACTTTGTCTATCTAGTAACTGATTCATACTGTTTTCGCGGATTACCGACTTACCCATACCGTATCGTCCAATAATTAATTGATCCGTAACACAATGGCTGATCATCGAGCGACCCGTACCAAGGCTTGTCCGACTTCGCATATATCCTTGGACGAAGAAGAGTAGATCCCTTGGCGCTTCAGCTTTGGCTGCTACGTACGATCCGGCTGCAAATCAAGCAAATTGTAGCAGAGCTATTTCGGTGCAGGTAGAACGTCGCGTGGAAAAAGCAGACTGTTTAGGTAGCTAACGGGGAATGTTTCAACGGTATCGATGGACACGGAGAGCCGGATCTGGCCAGAGGGCAGCGCCTGGCTCGTCCGGCCCGGTATTTGCAGAAATGTCGCGAAAGAGGGACACGAGCCCGAGGCTGTGGATCGTCGCGCCGGGCACGCGGATCACATTCAAGACGTCGTGAAAGAGTCATTCACGCGTGCTTCTCCCGCGTATTTAGATTGTCGCGGTCCGCTTATTCTTCGAACGATGCGCCGGCCGCGATAGCTGCTCTCTCTCTCTCTCTCTCTCTCTCTCTCTCGCTATTTATAAAAGAGGACCTCGCCGAAACGATTCGCGAGGCCAGCGATATATTCGCGAGGTAGCCGCGGATCCGCCAAGAATAACGAGTACGCGTTGACACCGAATCGTCGGGAACGCCTATCGAATTTTACAAAACTTGAACTTTCCACTTTGCTCGGTTCCTGGGGCCGAAAGTCGCTGTTACGACGGGCGACGTTGACGTCGGAAAAAATCAACGTTTGAAACGGTAGTCTCGCGACATTGTCGGTGCAGACTCAAAGGGCAGTGCGCAGAACTGCTCGCCGATAAATTCGATAGACCGTAGAGCCAATTACACGCACTCTTTCGAATATCGCAGCGAACGTCCGACGGTCCCTGCGTTCGCCGGCAACGAGTTTATCCACAAATCGTTTCGTTATCGCTAGGAACGATCGCATGCGATCGTAGCGTGACAGACGTCGAGCGGCATGCCAGCAGCGGAGGCGTGATCGACGATCGCGAGATCAAAGGAACCTAATAAATCGTAGCGAAGGCCGAATCGGTCGGCACGCAGCGCCAATCCCGGGGCAACCCGATTTTAGAGGCGAGATGTCACGCGGCGAGGTAGCTAAGGAGCTGCGAAATTTCGTTAGCCGGAGCCGGGCTGAATAGCCTCTCGATCTTGTATGCCGGCCGTGTGTGCGCGCGCGCCTAAAAAGCATGAATAAGCCGCCTCGCTTCGACCCCAGAGGAGAGGAACACGGTACTTTCTTGCGGCGATCTTTTGTCCGTCGAGAGCTCGTTTTTCCCTTCTTTTTTTGGGATCGACGAATTACTAGCATCGTCCTCGCTGCATACCCCAGTGTCTCCTATCCCGTCTCCGTCTGTCTTCTCCGATCAAGCGGAGCGTGTCTTCCCATGCGTCGCGTCGGTGGGAGGTCTGCTTGCCGGTCCACGATCCGCTGGGATAAGTAGATCCAGTTAGACGTTCCAGAAGATCTGCAAAAACGGAATCACGTCACTACATACAATATAGAAGCGATACCGCTGAATCTAGAACAATCGGTACGTCTATAACTAGAGCGAGCCCTGTAGCAAGAGATCCACGTGCGAGAACAGAAGCGTTTCGAGCTCCGTATTTCATGAGATAAGTAGAACGAGGGTCGCAACTAATCAGCCACTAGTAGAGAGGTCCATGATTGATCGGATAAAAGGTATCGGATCTGTGTTTGATCGGATGAGATCTGTGCTTGATCGAACAAGCAGAATGAGGTTTACAACTAATCAGCCAAGTGATACGAGGTCTGCGCTTGACCAGCCAAGTTGAACGTCGACGCTACTGGATCGGACAAACAATTACAAGCAAAACAGGAATCATCTGCTGGCAGGTCGCTGTGAATGAAGCCAAAACGCTATAACGAGGAGCAGAGGACACGTGACTAGCGAGCGAGTGCGATTCACAGATATCGAGTCGTGAGTGGTATTCATTTATTCGAGGGCAATCTATCACCGATAACATCTTCAAGGATGTCCCGCTATCCTGAATAATCTGGCCCCCTAAAGTCGTCGCTATTATATTGTTATTATTATTATTATTATTATTATTATTATTATTCTCACGTGGGTGCCTCGAGTCGGTCCAGCGTAACGCTGTCGAGCGAGACGGAATAAAGGGAGAGAGATAGAGAGGGAGGAAGGGAGAGAGACAGTCAGACAGACAGACATACAGACAGACAGACAGAGAGAAAGAGAGAGAAACACAGAGACCGGGAGCTAAAGCTCGTCGGGGATAGAGTAGGAGAATCGAGGCAGGCGAGAGCAAGTGAGCGAGTGAGGAGCAACGTCCGGGCGACGAGGTCCAGCAGAGGTAACCAGGGATGCAGGGATGCAGGTGAGGCGGCCAGTGTCCCATCTTTCTGGCAGGCGGTGGTTCGTGATCGTGGCATGGCGTCGCCCGGTGGAAAATGGTGCACCGGCTGCCAGAGAACACCGGGCAACAGCAGCCCCCGCTCGAGAAAGAGACCGAGGAGGAAGACGAAGAGGAGGAGCAGGAGGAGAATGAGAGTAGGGGTACGGAGAGCCGTGGTACCAGAGGAGAAGGGCAAACCCGAGAGAAGAGGAGGAGAGGCTGGTGCTCTCTCGGCTAGGGGATTTCGCATCTCTGTATCGGCGCCTGATCCGTGGCGAAGAAGGAGCCACGGTGGCCGCCGCCACCGCCGCCACCGCCGTGCGTTATTGATTTGACAGGAATGACGGGAAATGGCGCAGGAATCGATAAGAGGTGGTACCAAGCCGCCGCGCCGCGCCGCGCCGCGCCGGTAGCAATGCTGCCTGATGGTAGTGGTGGTGGTGGTGGTGGTGGCTGCAAGCCGCTCTAGAATCCGCGGGGGTGGCACACAGGGGAACACTGGAGAACAGAGGGTCGCGGAGGGACGCGGAGAGGCAGGGAACGACGAGAGAACGCGAGAGGAGAAGCGGTCCGAGCGAGAGCCGTGGGCTCGGAGGGGTGCGGAGGTTCCTCTCCTCTCTCTCTCCCTCTCTCTCTCTATCTCTGTATCTCGGTCTCCCTCTTCGTTTCTAGGGACGAGAGGGGTCGCAAGCTTCTCCCGTTTCTCTGTTTCCCTCGGTTTTCCTCTTTGCCCGAGAGGGAGGAAGAGAGCAAGGGGTTGCCAAAGAGGGGGCTGGAGCACGAAGCAGAGCGGTAGGGGGCCGGTGGAGGAGGTGGCGGAGAATATTTTCATACTCCAGACTCCCAGCGTAGGTAGAAGATGGCAGCCGAGGCGTGATTCGAGGCCGGGATCTTCACTCTCTCTCCGGACGCGCGCGCGCGAGCAGGGGTCGATCCTTCGACGTACGGACCAGAGATCGCGGGAGTAGTGCGCTAGCGTGGTGCATTATCGCGTGTCGTCCAGTGCAACCAGGAACCGGATATTCGCGATGTTCTAGGAGGACACGTTCGCTCCTCTGTAATATCGTCGAGTGCCCGGTTCATCCGCTCGTACTCCTCGCGCGTTTAGCCTCTCTCCTCTCTTAGCCTGTTCTCCTCCGCTCCGCTCTATTTCTCTTACTCTTTATCTTTATCTTCTCACGCGATTCCCCCCGCGATCCTTTTCTTTTTCTCCGGTGGCTCTCCAGCGTCCCCTCGTTGCCCTCTTTTCTCCTCTCACGTTTCTTTTATTTATCTTTCCGCGAGACGGCACTCTGTGTCTTCTCCTCGATCTCTCCCTCTTCTTTCTTCCCGGCTGCGCCTCTCTCTCTCCGCGTTGTCGCTTCCCTGTCTCTTTTACTTGCCTTTCCGTCTCTCCTCACCCTCTTCTCTCATCTTTCTCGCTCTCTGTCCGTCTATCCGCTCTCCTCTTCCACGGCCGAACCCGCGCGTAACCCAGTCACAGTTCAGTCGTGTACTCATGATCCGACCGGCGACCAGGTAGTACCGCTGAATTATGCGCGACATGAGCACCAACGCCATCGTAGTAGTGTTTCACGAGCGTCACGTAAAATGGAATTAAACAATGTTGTTAAGACGTAAACATGTTTTGGCTACACTGTGGACTCTTTGTTCTCGTGATTGCCGTACCTGGATTTATTAACACCGCCGACAGCACGTCCAAGCGAGGTAACGCCTGCCTGCCTGCCCTGATATGACCTGACTCTCTCTCTCTCTCTCTCTCTCTCTCTGCATGCCTGTCTGTCTGTTCTCTTTGCACCGCTGTGTCAAGTAAATTTGCCTGCCTGCTTACTTTGCTTGTTTGCCCTCCTGAGTTGTGTCCTCCTGCAACGCGAATAATCGATCAGCCGTCAAAATTCCTCGAAATCCTCTCCCGCCCCACATGCTAATAAACCACCCCGAGAGCTCGAGCAAGAGAGACTTCCGAGATCGTTTATCCTGGAACGATTCCCACGGTTTTCCCAGGCTGGAGGCGAGCATGCTCGATCATAGGCGTGNCTGCCTGATGGTAGTGGTGGTGGTGGTGGTGGTGGCTGCAAGCCGCTCTAGAATCCGCGGGGGTGGCACACAGGGGAACACTGGAGAACAGAGGGTCGCGGAGGGACGCGGAGAGGCAGGGAACGACGAGAGAACGCGAGAGGAGAAGCGGTCCGAGCGAGAGCCGTGGGCTCGGAGGGGTGCGGAGGTTCCTCTCCTCTCTCTCTCCCTCTCTCTCTCTATCTCTGTATCTCGGTCTCCCTCTTCGTTTCTAGGGACGAGAGGGGTCGCAAGCTTCTCCCGTTTCTCTGTTTCCCTCGGTTTTCCTCTTTGCCCGAGAGGGAGGAAGAGAGCAAGGGGTTGCCAAAGAGGGGGCTGGAGCACGAAGCAGAGCGGTAGGGGGCCGGTGGAGGAGGTGGCGGAGAATATTTTCATACTCCAGACTCCCAGCGTAGGTAGAAGATGGCAGCCGAGGCGTGATTCGAGGCCGGGATCTTCACTCTCTCTCCGGACGCGCGCGCGCGAGCAGGGGTCGATCCTTCGACGTACGGACCAGAGATCGCGGGAGTAGTGCGCTAGCGTGGTGCATTATCGCGTGTCGTCCAGTGCAACCAGGAACCGGATATTCGCGATGTTCTAGGAGGACACGTTCGCTCCTCTGTAATATCGTCGAGTGCCCGGTTCATCCGCTCGTACTCCTCGCGCGTTTAGCCTCTCTCCTCTCTTAGCCTGTTCTCCTCCGCTCCGCTCTATTTCTCTTACTCTTTATCTTTATCTTCTCACGCGATTCCCCCCGCGATCCTTTTCTTTTTCTCCGGTGGCTCTCCAGCGTCCCCTCGTTGCCCTCTTTTCTCCTCTCACGTTTCTTTTATTTATCTTTCCGCGAGACGGCACTCTGTGTCTTCTCCTCGATCTCTCCCTCTTCTTTCTTCCCGGCTGCGCCTCTCTCTCTCCGCGTTGTCGCTTCCCTGTCTCTTTTACTTGCCTTTCCGTCTCTCCTCACCCTCTTCTCTCATCTTTCTCGCTCTCTGTCCGTCTATCCGCTCTCCTCTTCCACGGCCGAACCCGCGCGTAACCCAGTCACAGTTCAGTCGTGTACTCATGATCCGACCGGCGACCAGGTAGTACCGCTGAATTATGCGCGACATGAGCACCAACGCCATCGTAGTAGTGTTTCACGAGCGTCACGTAAAATGGAATTAAACAATGTTGTTAAGACGTAAACATGTTTTGGCTACACTGTGGACTCTTTGTTCTCGTGATTGCCGTACCTGGATTTATTAACACCGCCGACAGCACGTCCAAGCGAGGTAACGCCTGCCTGCCTGCCCTGATATGACCTGACTCTCTCTCTCTCTCTCTCTCTCTCTCTGCATGCCTGTCTGTCTGTTCTCTTTGCACCGCTGTGTCAAGTAAATTTGCCTGCCTGCTTACTTTGCTTGTTTGCCCTCCTGAGTTGTGTCCTCCTGCAACGCGAATAATCGATCAGCCGTCAAAATTCCTCGAAATCCTCTCCCGCCCCACATGCTAATAAACCACCCCGAGAGCTCGAGCAAGAGAGACTTCCGAGATCGTTTATCCTGGAACGATTCCCACGGTTTTCCCAGGCTGGAGGCGAGCATGCTCGATCATAGGCGTGCCGGAGGATGTTGTCGTCCGGAAACACGGCCAGCTTAGGGTACAAGCTCTCGCCTCTCAGGCTTCTTCTTCCTGATTTAGCATTTGCCGTCACGCGATCCCGTAATTCCATGCATTGCTCGCGTCGCAGGCCCGTTCCAGCCGCCTCCCTCGCTATAGCTCTCGTCTCCTCTCACCAACCCCTCTCTCTATCCCTCTCTCTCTCTCTCTCTTTCTCTGTCTCTCTCTCTCTTTCTGTCTCGCGGTCGTTAATCGTCGTTCGCAGGCTGGCATGGCGTGTTCCGGTTACACACGATTGCCTGTTGCGGACCCCGCCAGCCAAGAATATTCCCTCGATTGTTATCCTTCCCCTTGAGATTGAAACGTTTCCACCTAGCTCCTGCTTCTTCCCCGTCTCCCACCCACTCTCTCTCTCTCTCTCTCTCTCTCTCTCTCTCTCCCGCTATCTGTCTATCTATCTCAATATCTCTCTCGCTCTGTCTCCTGTTGGCTCGTGCAACCGTTCGATCGCCAACCTGTGATTTCAATTTCTTTCGTGTCGACGCGCACGTTCGCCAGCGGTCTTATCTCGCGGTCGGACCTGCTTCCCTGTATTTCGAGCATGAGCTAGAGATCCGCTCGCGGATCCGAGCGGAATGCTTTCGTTCGCGCGAGGTGACACGGCGGATCCCGGTTCAGACGCGTCGCGACGCGGACGGACACACGAGAGCCGCTGTTTTCGCCGCGGAACAGATATTATTGGCCGGCGTGCCGCGCTTGCTATCGATCCCAGCGTATCCCCGTCGATGATGCATGCTCTCGCCTCCGCTCCACACCGTTCGATTCCAGAGAGGTCTCGCTCCGAGCGAATACACGCACGCACGCGAGCAACCGTACCCGGTAAATAAACGACGGCGATGATTTCGATCGTTCATCGCCCGCGCGCCGGCTTTCCCGTTCATCGGACACACACGTACGACACGGAGGCGGGGGCGGCCGAGCTGCGACCGCGTAGGGAACTACTAGCGTGCCTCGTTAACGGTACAATTCGATTTCGCGATCGTCTCGCGTTCACCGGCGAAGGACAGAGAGCCATAAGTATAAAGAACTTTGCAGTCGATCTAGAGAGACGTGCTAGAGATCCTCGAGTTTTGGGCCGCGACGTTACCAGTCTGTTTATTGATTTCAAATCGTTTCATATTCGCTGGCGAGAGACAGAGAGTCACAGGCATAAAGAACTTTGAGGTTGATCCAAAGAGACATGCTAGAGATCCCCGTGTACAAAGTTGCCTCGTTACTGGATCGTTCATTCACGATTCGCACTTTCCTTGAACTATGTACTTTCAACGTCGAGTGTGCCAGTGCTTCGGGAGATCCTTGACAAGGTATCACCGTACAAATCCTCGGTCTAAGTCCTTGCTTGCTCCACTGCTTGTCCGCTCGGCGCACAATCCATTTCTATGCACCTGAAAGAAACATCTTCTATAATCTGCCTGATAGGATATAGCACCTCTGAACATGTCCACGGTAGTGCATCGACGCTGGTCCATCAACTGTCTTTCAGAGGACGTTGAATAAGAGCTGAGGGTGGTCTATCGTGGAGGCACTACCGCATTAACGAGCAATTAATAATTGGCAATTAAGGCTCTTTTATGTACAATTATGCGACATTATGTTGAGTCATATGTAATTAAGTTTCCGCCGGTGCGTGCGAGCGTGCGCGACAGTCGCAAACACGCCACGCCGGGATTTATACCTTCGCGCGAACTGAATCGAGATTCGATTGATTAATCGTCCTGATTAATTGCTTCGCTGCTCGGCACCCCCAGTGTCCCTGTTCCATCCCGGTCGTTCGCATGCTCTGTCGGCCGTCATAGGGTGTCTACACCGAAATTCGGAAATTATGTTGCCTCGGCTAATCGGATCCGCAAAAATACGGGTCCTCGGAAGGAAATGGATGGCTACGACCGGTAATAGGAAACACCCGGGTGTACGTCCTCCCGGCAGATCAGGATTCGGGGATAATTATTTACATCGGTTAGAGAAATTATTGTCGCTTTTTAAATGATAACGTGTGGCTTTATCTTTTGCCCACCCGTTGCGTAGACTCTGCTTACCATCTGCCGATAAATGAAAATATTAATTATCTCCTCCCATCCGTTTACTGTGAAATATTTCGTATCTTCGTGGTTCTTTAAACTGTGGACTTGCAGAAGTTGTTGGTTTAAAGTCTGCAGAATGTGGACGAAGCATTATCCTTGGATCTTCGGTGCATTTCTGCGGAGGGTAACAGGGTTAATAAATTACTGCCAGAACGTTAACGATAATAATAACGTATTACCTGTCTATCCTCCGCGATGCTATCGTAACTCGCTGCGCGCTATAGAGCAAATTTTACACCCAGAAGAAAGATTGCTTCGCCATATGTCTTTCCTTCGACGCTGCTGCTGTTGTTACTCGTTCTTCTGGTTTCCTTTCATTTGTTCCAAGAATTTGCTATACACCGGGTCTCTGTAAAGACATAGCAAGTTTTCCAAGGAATACTGTCACCGTTATTCGATCGCAGTTACCTGGCAGCACAGGTTTTATCGGTTAATGCCCATCGACACGCGGCCGCGTTCCTCACGTGTGCTTCTACTTCCAAATGATTCTGATATTGTCGAGCCGACAATAAAACCCAACAAGATTACGCATATTACCGAAAGAGACCACTGGTCGTTAGAACTTTCTCGATACAGGGTCTTACGAGCAAATATATAATTCTCTTGAACGGAGAATTGAAAAAGAAAATGATTAGGTTCGACGTTGCGTCACGTCTGCTCGACTTTGTGCATCGAACAATTAATTTCGAGCGAGAATAAAAATGTAATGACATTCTTGTAACAGAAAATTGATCCGTGAATAGAGAGCCGGCTCTCGTTAAGAACTCGAAAACAAAGCCGTTGCAGCGGGCGTTCGACGGGAACAAAAGAGAATCGAAAACGTGGAATAAAGTTCTCTCGACAGGCGCTTCGTTTTCGACGGAGATTTCGAAAATTCTGCTCCAGTGGAAAAGCCGAGCATTGGTCAGACACCGCTGTCGCGCTATACGAGTGATCGGCATGTGCGTGTCAGTAAAGCAGGCTTTCGTTTTTGCGAATTTATCGAACGAGATCTATTCGGTGTTATATTTCGAGGTTCGACACGCTTATCGGCCGACATTCGAGGGACTCAGCAGAAATTTTGTTAAACGTCTATAGTAATTTTCTGCAAACTTATAAATTTAAATGTGTAAACCGTTGCTTCGTCTACGCGAACGCAGATACCGCGATCGTACCATCGAGATTTGGGCTTTAAATTGCTGTATAGTAAAGAAGCAAGGGACGCGAACATTAGCAAGACATTGAACTGCAGTAAAATGCGAAGGAAATACGAGGGGATGATTTCCAGGACCCGACGAAATTAGGGAGGGCCTGGTAATCTCCGAAAATCGTTCGTGTAGAAAAATCCGAGCAAGAAAAAAGGGAAAGGGGGTGGAAAATAAACGGAGACGGGGGCACGAGAAGAGGTGCGGGAAGACGAGGCGGGACGTTACGGGGGGAGGGGGAGGGGGGGGGAGATCGAAATCCCCGGGGACACGCCGTTTGAAATTCGGTCGTTTAAGGGTTGAAGGATCCGTGCCACTCCCGTGCCCTCCGCCCCTTGCCCCGGGCCACCCCTCGGTGCCACCCCCGCGTCGCCCAGGGCGCCATATTCGTCACACGTTTACGGCAGCGGAGGAATGACGTCATCGAAGAACGAGATGGGTCACGAGTGCACTGACACGCATACCTACGTGCCGCGAGACCCGATTTCATCGTATCAACGGAAACGCGAATCGAAATCGATCGAGTGCCGAGGGTGAGGGCGGGGGAGAGGGTGGTGGAGAGGCTGCGAGGGTGGCAGACCGGTGGCGGGGATGTAAAAGAAACAGTCCGCGTATCCCCGCCTCTCTATCGTTATAATTAAATTGAAATTGCGTGCGTCGGTCGGAACACGCCCGTAGGAATTTCCACGATATTAATATTTTAATTATTATCGTTATAATATGGCGTAGACACGATTTTAAACGTTCCAGACCCCGTTCGATAGACAACGAGCTATCGCAGGTGCGTAAACGTTCGCTATGCCTAGTAGCGGACCAACGAATAGCACCGGACTTGCTTAACGTGCGAGGCGTTTCCATTAAAGTTAGCGATTTCAACTATCAGGAGCTGCTGCTGGAGAGTCTGCGCCGGTCGGCTATCGGACCAAAGAATACGTGTCGGTGTCATCGTCAATGAATGGGAGTACTCCGTTTCCGCGAACGTGCCCCATAACGCCGCGTCGAGGAATAAAAGAACGCGAGTTCTTGGGGGAGGATGTGAACGCGAGTGTGCTTGTGCGCGTGTAACGGGGTCAACTCATGGGAAGCCGGGGGATATCTAGTCCATCATCGTCGTCGACCCCGAAGAATCGCGCGATTCGTATCGTCGCGGGGAAAAACACCGGAATCGCTCGCGATCACGATAACGATAACGATCCCAGGGGCAAAAGGGGCTGCGCATGCTATCTGAACAGGATTCGAATCTTACAAAATTCTCTGGGCAAAAATATTTCCCAATAAGAGATCCCTTTATCGGCTAAGACACTAATTTCAATTTAAGTCTGGACTATTGCGATTGGATAAATGGAAAACGGTCCAGCCGAGTCCTGCCCCGCCACGCCCCAGTCCTTCTTCGACTTTGAGTCGTCCTGTACATCTTAGAAACGACTCTGAAGTGGAAGGGAGGTTAAAGGGCGAGCCTTTTGTCCCGGTTTCGTTCGTGCAGCACGCGGCACCGTGAATTGCACGTATTGGGTAAGTGTGGCGCGTTTCACAACCGCTCTCTCCGACGGTTGCGTTCCTCGTAAAATTGCCGTCCTCTCTCCTTCCAGTTCTCGTCTCTACCCTCGGCTACCTCTCCCGAGCTCCACCCGCGAACCGTAGGACGGCAGGCAAGGACGTCACCGGCGCGCGAAGGGTTCGTTCAGAGTCCACTTGAAATTACATCAGTTGTTCTCCTATTCTCATCACACCCCCCGCGGACACAATCTCGACACGATTCCCCGTTGTCCGACCACCTAATCGCGGTATCTCCCGTAAGCATCGATGNGGGGGAAGGGGGGGGGGAGGGGGGGGGGGGGGGTGGGGGGGGGGGGGGGGGGGGGGGGGAGATCGAAATCCCCGGGGACACGCCGTTTGAAATTCGGTCGTTTAAGGGTTGAAGGATCCGTGCCACTCCCGTGCCCTCCGCCCCTTGCCCCGGGCCACCCCTCGGTGCCACCCCCGCGTCGCCCAGGGCGCCATATTCGTCACACGTTTACGGCAGCGGAGGAATGACGTCATCGAAGAACGAGATGGGTCACGAGTGCACTGACACGCATACCTACNAGGGGGGGGGAGATCGAAATCCCCGGGGACACGCCGTTTGAAATTCGGTCGTTTAAGGGTTGAAGGATCCGTGCCACTCCCGTGCCCTCCGCCCCTTGCCCCGGGCCACCCCTCGGTGCCACCCCCGCGTCGCCCAGGGCGCCATATTCGTCACACGTTTACGGCAGCGGAGGAATGACGTCATCGAAGAACGAGATGGGTCACGAGTGCACTGACACGCATACCTACGTGCCGCGAGACCCGATTTCATCGTATCAACGGAAACGCGAATCGAAATCGATCGAGTGCCGAGGGTGAGGGCGGGGGAGAGGGTGGTGGAGAGGCTGCGAGGGTGGCAGACCGGTGGCGGGGATGTAAAAGAAACAGTCCGCGTATCCCCGCCTCTCTATCGTTATAATTAAATTGAAATTGCGTGCGTCGGTCGGAACACGCCCGTAGGAATTTCCACGATATTAATATTTTAATTATTATCGTTATAATATGGCGTAGACACGATTTTAAACGTTCCAGACCCCGTTCGATAGACAACGAGCTATCGCAGGTGCGTAAACGTTCGCTATGCCTAGTAGCGGACCAACGAATAGCACCGGACTTGCTTAACGTGCGAGGCGTTTCCATTAAAGTTAGCGATTTCAACTATCAGGAGCTGCTGCTGGAGAGTCTGCGCCGGTCGGCTATCGGACCAAAGAATACGTGTCGGTGTCATCGTCAATGAATGGGAGTACTCCGTTTCCGCGAACGTGCCCCATAACGCCGCGTCGAGGAATAAAAGAACGCGAGTTCTTGGGGGAGGATGTGAACGCGAGTGTGCTTGTGCGCGTGTAACGGGGTCAACTCATGGGAAGCCGGGGGATATCTAGTCCATCATCGTCGTCGACCCCGAAGAATCGCGCGATTCGTATCGTCGCGGGGAAAAACACCGGAATCGCTCGCGATCACGATAACGATAACGATCCCAGGGGCAAAAGGGGCTGCGCATGCTATCTGAACAGGATTCGAATCTTACAAAATTCTCTGGGCAAAAATATTTCCCAATAAGAGATCCCTTTATCGGCTAAGACACTAATTTCAATTTAAGTCTGGACTATTGCGATTGGATAAATGGAAAACGGTCCAGCCGAGTCCTGCCCCGCCACGCCCCAGTCCTTCTTCGACTTTGAGTCGTCCTGTACATCTTAGAAACGACTCTGAAGTGGAAGGGAGGTTAAAGGGCGAGCCTTTTGTCCCGGTTTCGTTCGTGCAGCACGCGGCACCGTGAATTGCACGTATTGGGTAAGTGTGGCGCGTTTCACAACCGCTCTCTCCGACGGTTGCGTTCCTCGTAAAATTGCCGTCCTCTCTCCTTCCAGTTCTCGTCTCTACCCTCGGCTACCTCTCCCGAGCTCCACCCGCGAACCGTAGGACGGCAGGCAAGGACGTCACCGGCGCGCGAAGGGTTCGTTCAGAGTCCACTTGAAATTACATCAGTTGTTCTCCTATTCTCATCACACCCCCCGCGGACACAATCTCGACACGATTCCCCGTTGTCCGACCACCTAATCGCGGTATCTCCCGTAAGCATCGATGCTCTACAAAATAATGGAGACACCTTGCACTCGCAATCGCATTATTCTTACAATATTTGTTCTACTTCTTCGCGGTAGTTCACACAGCATCGAATCGAAACCTTTGCGACTACAATTTTATAGCCATCAATCTTTTAAATACGTCGCGCACTATCTTGTCCAATCCCCTATACGTTTCTATCGAATTAAAAATGTTCTCATTCGAGTAGGCGCGTTTAGAAAGAGACGATTCTTATGGGATGCAGCAGGCGCAGTCCCGAGCGGTTTCCCGTGAACGAAATATTGATTTTCCGGCGGTTCGCTTGTTCGCCGGTCCCTTTGGATGATTTACAAGATCGGGAAATACCTTTCGGACGCATCTGTCGATCCCCAGGAACGGAGATGGAACGCTGGCTGTGTCCCGGGAAATCCGGCCGCGAAAATGTTTCTGCTTTTCCTCTTTTTCCGGCTCGCTTCTGCCGCCCCTGTATATCTCACGCCCCCTTCCCCCCCCCCCGGAGGAATCAATCGATCGCGGTGCAATTAATCAACTCGGCCCCTGCCTCGACCGAATGATGGCTCGCAGAGCAAAGTTTCCGGCTTTCTTGTCTCGGGCAAGATCCGTGAGATTGAAATGGCAGCGCGCCAGTTCTAATTCATTGGCCTTGTACGACGGCCGCTTTTAATACGTGAACTTTTGGCCGATTTCGGGGAGGCGGGGTCCGGTTGTCTATTCCCCCGTTGGTCGAGGACTCGCTGCGACGGTCCCGTCACGTCCACGGAAAACACCGGTTTCGGATTTCGTCGCATTGCCCCACCGGTGCAACGGTATGCGACTCGAATCTTCGGTAGCGCGGCAGCGAATGCTGTAGAACAAATATTTGTCAATATCTAAAAGCAACCCTCGAAACTGTTCTCTACGATCCCCATGAAATCTGAATTTTGAACCAGGGACTGAGACGGGTAATTGGAAATCGATTTGTACGGGTCGGTGGAACGTTATTTGCACGATTAGAGTGCTAGAGGCGTGCGAGGGGTCGCAGGGGCGCGAGGGACAGTTAGGGGTGAATTCTGAAATCCTGGCTGTTCTCCTACCGCGGTGGATAAATCTGCTTATTCTGCTTGAAACGGGGCGGCGAGAGGGCAACGGGGTATTTTCTAGGCGTGGAAGTAAATTCGACGGAGTCGAAACGACGATAATATCTGTCTGGGAGGGCACGACCATCCCCGTCGTCGCTCCATTAACCGAAATATCCTACCCCGCAACGCGCCTTCCGGAGAAAGTTATTTCTTCCTTCCGGCGTTTGTTTTCCGTGTGATCAGCGATCGGCGCACACTCGGATCCAACAACGCGGGGGCAGTATCCGCTTCCTGGTGTTATTCAAGGAACTGCACATTGCAGCCATTTTCAAAACGGACTTCTCCTTCTTCTTATCTCTCTATTATTTTCGCTGGACCGCGTTAGATCTGAAAACAGATTTCGTAGATCAATATCTCGGTTTTGTAAGAGGTTTCACTGTCAAGAAAGTCGCATCCGGTCTTCGCTGGTTTTCCCAAGGTACCATCATCATGAGGCGGTTCAACTTTCGTAAAATTGATATGGCGGGAAATAACGCGCAATGAGAGACCGGCTTCGATCGATCGACAGACGGATGAGAGGGGCGAACGGGGGGTGGACGTGACGAGTTAACCGGCCATCAAAGTTTCGTAATTGCGATCGTTCCGAAGGGCTAGAGACGTTCCGTGACGTGAACGAAAGCTTCTGGGCTGCTTCCTTCCGTCTTAATCGTTCCCGAACGGGAAGAATCGACGGAACGATCAAATTCAGTGACGGGCCGAACCATCCCCGGCCCGGCAAGTATTTAAATCTGCCACAGGCTGTCGAGACGCGTGTTCTCGGTCACGGAATCTGCTCCTGGATCGATAAAATAGGTAATGCGATTCTCATCGTTGACAATCGCCTTACCGATCATTGATCTCCTAGATCCCTCTGCCTCGCTAGATAAATGGACCATCCGCATCCAATGCGGATATTCTTGCCAGCGCGATTTCCCATCGATGCACAGCTGTTCCAGGATAACCGTGCTCCATTGAATTCTGAAAGATAACAAATCCTGTAAATGAATTCATGCCTATGCTTGTGGTTTAGCATCGCGGATCGCGTGCTGCGCCTAGACACCGCACGAAAATCCGGCTGCAGCTGTCCAAAGAAACACGTACACACTTCGATAATTCAAAGGCCCAAGCCTTGACGCGCTTCGTTGGCGAAAACGTGCGCGCACGACTCTGTTATTCGTCACCGTCGACATCGTCCCTCGTCAGCGAACACCGTTGCATGACTGAAAACGCAATATCGAGTTAACGTTCGCGCCGGCAACCCCCAACAAATGGAAACGAATGAGGGATCAAAGAAAGAGTTATTGCGAGCGGCATCGCGCTCGCACGCGCGCGAAAACCCAACCGTTTAGCGACCGCCTCGAGCACGCAATTTCTATCGGCGTAGAGAGAGCGGGACGGGGGGCTGGGCGAAACGGAACGAGATGGATTTCAATTCCACGCGTCGAAATTCCAGCCGTCGATAACCGATGCTCTTTCCTATTTCCTAAACGGTTAGATTCTCCTAATAATTCAGTAACGCGCGCGCTCGTTCCGCGTCGAGAACTGTCGTGATTTTTCCAATTCTCACGTTCGAACGACGACGAGGCTATCGGCTTGTTAACTGGCAAATATTTGAAATGCGCGAAGAGAATTTAGGTGGTCGCAGACGTCTCGAACGAAGGCAACAGCAACGGAAAGAGGACAATTGCGGGGGCGTGTCTGGGGGCCGCACATGTTCGAGCATATAATAAGCCTCGAGATGCCTCAAAGGGGCCACGGTTAAAGTTTCGATGCGTCCGGCGAAATTAATGAGTTCCCATCGGCTAACAAGGCGGCACTCGTTTGTAATTGAACGTCGTATCGGAGGAGGCATCGTGACTGAAGCACGCGCGCAACCGGCCAACCGAGCAGTCTCTCGTCTGACGAGAACCGACTACATTACTCTACTACGCCCTCGCCGCCCCCGCGTGTCACCTGTCCACCTAACTTTTAATAAACTGTACGCGGCGTCGATGACGTGTACGCGCGACAGTAAAGAGCCTGCTCTTTAATTCCGCTCCGGAATCGGGTCAGGGCTGCGCGAGCAGCCGCCTCGGTTAGGCTATTATTAGTTCCAACCAATTTTCCATCGAATCACGGAACAGCCTTGTTACATGTCGCCCCCGAGGACAGTCCTCGCGGTGCCGCGAGAGAAGGCACGCCACCCGCGCGATTTAATAATTTTGGGGGCGCGAGACGATCAAAGGGACACAGGATTACATAGTTTTCTGAGCGGACGGAATTTCGAAATGCCGGTGCGTTTGACGCAGTCACGCGTAAATCCAACGAGATATCTAAATTAAATTCCGTTAAGGAGACCGTGAAATGCCTCGCCGGTACACGGATGAGCCGTGTTCGAAATTACACCGGGTATCTTACCGGGAAATATGCCGTGAAAAAGTTTGCATCTTCTCCTTTGATATAACCATTTTACTCTCGAGCTGTTGCAGATCCATTCGTTCGCACAGCTCCCATAAACTCTCTATCGGAGCCTATTTTGTCGCATTGTGTACCCAGTAGTCTCGGTGTATCTACATATTTGAAAATATCTTAGTACAAATATACGAACGGGTTGAGCAAACGTTAATAAGAGAGTCGAAAAAAATACCAACGAACGGCAAGAGCATAGAGCTAGCCGGGCCTAAATCTCGCTTCAGACTAGCATGCAAACACGGTTGACAATGGTCCGAGGCTGAGTCGTCGCGAGGGTTACAGAAAAATTACTTTCACGCTGGACCACGCACGAAGGGTCCGTTTCAGCGGAGCCCTTTGTTGACACCCGTCCGATATGTACCCGGGGCTGAGGAAGCAGCTACAGGAAAAGCACAATTTCTCTTTTCTCCCCGTGTGTTTGGGCGTCCAGGAGTGAAGAGTACGTCGACGACGTAGCCGACAACGGCTACGACCGGGATCTGAACATGGTTCTTCCATTCTGGGGAACGAGTTTCATCGATACTTGCTGGGAACACGAGACTTCCGACGTACTTTTCTTCTTCGCCCGGACGTATCAACACGACGGACGAACCGTTCCTAATTGGTTGTCCGTACGCCAGCCTCGTTGCGGGATGTAGCGCTCTTGCTTCTACGAGTTGCGATCTTCCTCGCCCTGAAAATAAATGATGAACGATTCTATAACTTCGGGTGTCTCTTTTAGTCGCCTCGTACGACAAGCAGAGTTTGGGCTGTTGGGCTATTCTTGCCTGGCCCTGCACAGGCTGGCAACTGTTCTCGAACGTGACAATTCGTTTCATTTAGCGAAGCGCAGAGCGTAAACAATGAAATGCGCAGAGATACGCGGAACGAGATCATGCAGTGCCAGCATTGTTAAACGGAAGTACCGTTTCGTCCGTATTTTCTGTGTCACCTGGAGACTCCGGTACATGTCCAGGATAACGGGCCGGGATCGGGAAGGGCTCAGCTAGACCAGTTCGAGGAATAAACGGGGTCGTCAGGGCTCGAATAACGTTTCCCGGAACGGTCGAATCACTTTTGACCGGATGCCAAGCGAGTTAAGCGATGGGACGGGAGCCAATAAATACCGCGCGGCGCTCTGTATTCCATCCGGCCGCGACGCGAGGCAGGATCCCGGGAACAGGGTAGAATCGCCGGCGTGGCCTGGCTGCTCCTCCGCGGGAATATTCCTTTTCGGCTTATCGGCCGACAGAACAGAAAGCAACTTTTCCGTTCGAAAAGTTTCGCAAAACGAAACGAAATTAACGCCGGAACAGCGACCGCAACCCGCCGCCCCCGATGCGCCGGCTCGCAGTGGGCGAGGGTTAGCCACCTCAGCTAACGACTCTTATCGAAAAACGATCCCCGGGCCAGTATCGAAAGCGATTGTGTCCCCCGAACCGAAGTTTTCAATGGGACCGAAAGAAAGAAGACCGGTCTTGGAAAAAAAGGGCGACGTAACGAGCTCGCCTCTGTGCTGGAAAGTCGACAGAGACGCGCAGAGGGGGGGGGGAGGGGGCGATCCAGAACGAAGAAAGAAGGCCAAGCGAACCAACAAGGGACCAGGCGATCTAAAGCGTGGTATTTGTTTTAGAATTCCTACGCTTTACCGATGTTCGAAGTGGCAAAGCGTTTGAAATCTGAAACGAATGCGCATAAACCTTCATCCAACGTGCGGACTGCCATGGTTACCCATCATTGGGTCGAATCTGACCCGGTTCGGGGATCCAGTTGTCGACATCCGGTTCCGGGAAACACCACGGCGAGAATATCGCTCTCGACGAGACCCGAATCGACCCACGCGCGCCTTCCCCGGAATTCATCCAGATATTTCACAGGCGGGGCAAAATATTTCCCCGCTCGGAATTGAATCCGGGACGAACCAGCGACATTTTTCTCCGTTCGCGTCTCCTTCTCCGTGACAGCATTCTCCCCTTTACCTCCTACTGCTTCCTGCCACCCACTGGAAGGGAGGGGGGGGGTCGATCTGGAGGACCAGATTACCTTGCGAAAAGTTGGAGCGTCCCGAAGGATTGACTGCTTTGATCGAAAAATATCGCGCATTTGACGTAGCAGAGGAAAATCTTGCCGTTGGTCCCCGAGCCTGATGTCCGATTAAATTCATCAATTTTTACAAGACTAGATTTGCCTCTCAGAATCTGATCTCGACCGACTTGTTAATCCCTTGACAAGTAACGCAGGCTGAGTTGGACATCTTGTGTGCTTGCTGAAACGGAAAAGTTTCGCTGACTTGGCATGTTACATTCGTTGAAAAGTGTACTGGTCGGGCAAGAAATATTGCTAGGTTAAGCTAGTTTTAAACCCGGACTCGTTCTTTGACCAATCGATCGATAAACAGCCGTTCCAATCGAAACGAGAACTCTCTGCGATTCCGTAAACCTTGTATCTATGTCACAATTTACCCTGCATGCGGGAAAAACAAACCTACAGAGGCAGACGGTACTACATGACACTGCTGTACAAGGCTCAAAGAAGGAGTGACTAGCAATTGCATGGACTTGATTGTGTGTCGCGGATCGACGAGGACACGAAAATATTTGGTGGGACTGTTGAATTCTATTTCCCGGCGAGAGAAAGCCGATAATTCGGACAGTTGCGATGAGTCGGGAGGGAGGAGAGTGGGTCGTCGGGTGCTGGGAAAAAGCATTCGAGGATCTCTTGAGCAGAGATTAGTTAACGAGATTACTTACGACTGTCAGCGCTCTGTAAGCAAGTTCTGAATAGGAGGGCATGGCGGCCCGGCCCGGCCCGTGCCGCACATGATCTACTATGCAGTCAGCCGGCCATGTCGACGATATACATTCAGCTCCTGGTCCGGGTGTGGAAGTAGGCTGCACTGTCTGCGAAACGGTAATGGAACGGCAAACGAGCTGGGATGTACCCTTGGAACGAGCCACCAAACAAAGCTCCTCCTCCCTCTTCCGAGCAGCAGGAAATTCCATGAAAAATGTCCATGCTATTTCGCTTCTTGCCGTAATCGTATTTTCTATTACTCACTGCGAAACACACCGTGTATTTGGTCACTATTAAACGAGCGCTGCTCGGGGATCCAAGAGACGCGTCATAGCTAGGTCTGCGGCTTATGATAACACAGGACCAATTTTTCTCCACTGCTTTAAGATACCAAGCCGACAAGAAGATGATGAAGATGAGAGATAGGAGTGGTCCTGGAACAAATTGGGAAACTAATTACCGGGCACAGGATTGCACGCTTGTCTAGCCAACTCCGAGTGTGCTCGAGAAGCTTGGATTTTCTTCGACTTTTACCGGGAACGAATATTTCATAAACGAAAGCGAAAGATAAATAGCAGCGACATACAAATATTGGACCCGGACTTTCTGATTGTATATTTATTTGATCGTCTTCGAGCGAGTGTAGCCCCGTTGACAAGCAGTTTATCCTATTTGCCCTACGTTCACCGGCAACGAAGCTTAGCGTCCAGAGCCTAGAGAAGGCTGCGACGAAGGAACGCGTTTCGCGATACAGTGCCTCGTAAAATTCTCCTCTCCTCTTTCTCCCTATTTCATCGCCGGGCGTAAAAAGATAACGAGGACTCGCGAAGAGACACGACATCTCAGTCGTCGAGACTGACGTCGCGAGACGATATATAATCCCGTCGGATAATCGTGAAAAAGTTCGCAGGCTATCCTTAAGGCTTAACTACCTTCCACCCTCGCCTCGAGACCTCTTAGCTTTATTGCCCGTGAAAACGGCAGCTGTCGATTCCTTCGTGTCTCAAACTCTCCTTTTCCCGGTTATTGATTTTGTTTTCGTTTCCGGTGAAGAGCAGACGCTTTTTCTCCGATGCGCCGGCGAGGAGAGGAAGGAAAACGGAGGTTAAATATTGAGAACTCGATTCAGTTCGAGCCGCGTTCGCAACTGAACGCACAGTTGCACTTTAGTAGGGCACCGCGGGAAAAACTTAGGTTATAGGCGACTGGGCCTCCAGAGGCACGCTGCGAGACGCTCGAATAACTCGTAAATATTCGTTCCTCGACTTGCATCGAACGTTCTGAATGTTGCGAAACGGAAAATATATGAATAACGCAACGGGAGTTGATTTTTAATGGCTCATAGCCTCACCTAGGACGGTTCTTGAGAAAAGAAGGCTATAAACACACAAATATATCATCGATAGATCATCAGAAACAATCGTAGAAACTTGTGAACAAACATTTTGTTTTCGATTACCTCGACTCGACTCAACTCTCTCGGATAAATTAGGTCCTTGCCGTCTTGAGCAAATCGACAGCAACAAGAATACAATCGTACATTAGAACCGATGTTGTTTACTTCTACATATTCTCCTAAAAGTATAGAAAATTATAATCTGTTCTTCGTAACAAAAGATACATATATACATTGATAATGACGATACCTGGGGCACTCCAGACCCTATCTATAGAATGGGGCATTCGTTATAACCGTTGTGGTGTATCCGAAGATTCTTTTTCTGAAAAAAAAGAAACAATACCGTGTGAATCAACAGTGATGGACAACGAAGACGGTAAAAGTAGATACCTTGAGAGGAAGCGAAGACAACTGCGGAAGGCGAAGTTTATTCGCGACCTTAAACGCGCAAATGTTGCCGGTTCGAGATAGGAGCACTTCACATGCGAAATAAATGGCCGTACGTGGAAGTTTAAACTTCGATTTCGAAGTTGCGCCGGGTAATTGGAAACCGTGGGGATTATTCTACCTGCCGCGGCAGGAGTAGCATTTTAACGGCGGATACACGATGGCGGCCGGCACACGTAAGCCCGAAGCAACACGGACGGCAGTCTTTCGCAGATTGAAAGAGTTCCTCTCTTTCTCCTCACTCTCACTCTCGCTCACTCTCTTTCCTATCTCTGGCCCCTAATGGAGCCGCGTAACGTTCGAGATAAATTGCCGCGGCGGAAGACCTTTTTCCCCGGCGCGCACAAACTATTTATCCTGAAACCGTAGGCGAATGCCGTTGCGCGGAAACCGTTCTCCTAATGGAACAAGGAGTCCCGTGGAACTCACGCGCGTTTCAACCGTAATCTCTTATTGCGGTCGCGGACGATACCGGGTTCGTATCGCGACCATTTAAGCCGTTCATTAATATTTCCCAACGCAGCCGAGACCCCCTCGCCCTCTGGGTCCTTTCAAACGTTTTAATTTTGTTTATTACCTTGCTTTCTCCCCGACGACGTTCGCAAAGTTCCTTTAACCGCGCGCCATTTTGGTCCGCTTGATCCGCGGTCCGTTTCCAGGAGAGCCATGCATACGATGGACGGCGTGGAATCCTCGTGGAAACGAGACCGGGTTCCTCGAAATTCGAGCAATTTCCCATGCTGCGGCCCGCTCATTTTTCCAGACGTGAAACCCGAGGAGAGCGCTAAGGTTACACCGGCCGCTTTTTAATCAAGCATCGCGGAATTTCACGGACCGTGCGCCACGCCGGCTGCTTGGTACAATTGAACGCTTCGTCCTAGATGGAGCCACCGCTCGCTCCTAACGATACTTTAAGAGGAAATGCGGCACATTTTGAAAACACTTGCGACGATCTGTGATCCAGCGGCGAAACAAGAGCTCGGAAATTAATGTAATTGTCCAAAAAAGAAATGGAGTTTAACCTCTGAACGACGAAAACGAGTGGTTTTCACGGCGTGTCTTTGACCGGCAAACCGGCGAACTGGCATGCATTCTTGAGAATCGATATTATATATCGGTTCTATAACTTTTCTTTCTCGATTTTTATAAACTCTATTTAAAACGTAAGAAATTTTTTACAGAAAATACGAGTCTAGATGTACATGTCTTACCAGAGATATTTAAAGATGGGTCATTGCCACGGCGCGCCTGTGAGTGGCAACCCGTTCTACAGCGATGCCATTGCGTGCGCAATAAAATCAATCAACGGGGGAAGCGCGTTTCTATGTTAGAACCGATTTGATTAACGCGCAAAGGATTGTATCTGGTCTTTGAGACTGCATAAAGGTTATCTGACGCAGAAAAGTCCGCGGCAGAAACGATAATAATTCTGTTGACTAGGCCGGCTCTTCGTCTCCGTCTATGAATAACAGAGAACCGGGTAACTGGCCGGGACAAGCGTGCAGGACAACGTCATCGTTATCTGGGAGAACGGCTCTTTCATTCGGGCTGGTGATACGTTCACGCAGTCCGGCCTCATCGAGCCTCTGTATCAGCCCAACCGAGAACAAAACACGGACAGACGCGAGCCCTTTCGCGAAATATCAGAGCCAGAGAGCAACGTAATTTCGTCTAGAGAGAGACAGAGAGAGAAATGGAGAACCGAGTACAGAGCGCAACCAACACCGAGGCAACCGTCCTGGAAAAAACAAAGGGAGCATCGAGCTCTGTCAATTAGGAGGACGATGGGAAACGCTCGGTTAAGACCGTCCGTTGGTCATCAACGCGCACCATTTTTTTTAACATTGGCAATAGGATAGTATTGGAGAAAAATCTTCTCTCGTTTCCTCTCTTGCACTCCATCTTCCTCTCTCTCTCTCTCTCTTTCTCTCTTTCTCTCTTTCTCTCTCCCTCTCTCCCTCTCTCTCTCTCTCTCTCTCTCTCTCTCTCTCTATTTCTCTCTGTTGTTTATTCAATCTTTTATCCTTCATCCTACTATCAACTTCTCAGGCGCACGATTATTTTCCAGCTAGCTTAACCCTTTGCATTTCGTCCACCAGTCGTGAGAATAATGGTGGAATAGGTCCTGGTAGGATTATTTCGTTGAATTATTTTACTTGGAGCTTTTCAGTTTGCTTCCTGTAATCTGATTGTTGGTTTTGTTCTTCTCGCGGGTGCAATCCTCGCTTCTGTCCTCTCTCTGTCCTCCCACAAAAGCTGGTACTCTTTCAGTGATTTCGGCTGCTCCGGTAATAATTCCGTTCTCCCTCTCATTTTCTTCCTCTTTCTCTCGTCTTCTCAGTCATCGTGATTTTCTCCTGTTTCCGCTGGCCTCGCAGCAATTTCGTTTCTTACTTTTTGCAGTCTTCCGCATGAAATTCTTTAACATCCNTCCTCGTGGAAACGAGACCGGGTTCCTCGAAATTCGAGCAATTTCCCATGCTGCGGCCCGCTCATTTTTCCAGACGTGAAACCCGAGGAGAGCGCTAAGGTTACACCGGCCGCTTTTTAATCAAGCATCGCGGAATTTCACGGACCGTGCGCCACGCCGGCTGCTTGGTACAATTGAACGCTTCGTCCTAGATGGAGCCACCGCTCGCTCCTAACGATACTTTAAGAGGAAATGCGGCACATTTTGAAAACACTTGCGACGATCTGTGATCCAGCGGCGAAACAAGAGCTCGGAAATTAATGTAATTGTCCAAAAAAGAAATGGAGTTTAACCTCTGAACGACGAAAACGAGTGGTTTTCACGGCGTGTCTTTGACCGGCAAACCGGCGAACTGGCATGCATTCTTGAGAATCGATATTATATATCGGTTCTATAACTTTTCTTTCTCGATTTTTATAAACTCTATTTAAAACGTAAGAAATTTTTTACAGAAAATACGAGTCTAGATGTACATGTCTTACCAGAGATATTTAAAGATGGGTCATTGCCACGGCGCGCCTGTGAGTGGCAACCCGTTCTACAGCGATGCCATTGCGTGCGCAATAAAATCAATCAACGGGGGAAGCGCGTTTCTATGTTAGAACCGATTTGATTAACGCGCAAAGGATTGTATCTGGTCTTTGAGACTGCATAAAGGTTATCTGACGCAGAAAAGTCCGCGGCAGAAACGATAATAATTCTGTTGACTAGGCCGGCTCTTCGTCTCCGTCTATGAATAACAGAGAACCGGGTAACTGGCCGGGACAAGCGTGCAGGACAACGTCATCGTTATCTGGGAGAACGGCTCTTTCATTCGGGCTGGTGATACGTTCACGCAGTCCGGCCTCATCGAGCCTCTGTATCAGCCCAACCGAGAACAAAACACGGACAGACGCGAGCCCTTTCGCGAAATATCAGAGCCAGAGAGCAACGTAATTTCGTCTAGAGAGAGACAGAGAGAGAAATGGAGAACCGAGTACAGAGCGCAACCAACACCGAGGCAACCGTCCTGGAAAAAACAAAGGGAGCATCGAGCTCTGTCAATTAGGAGGACGATGGGAAACGCTCGGTTAAGACCGTCCGTTGGTCATCAACGCGCACCATTTTTTTTAACATTGGCAATAGGATAGTATTGGAGAAAAATCTTCTCTCGTTTCCTCTCTTGCACTCCATCTTCCTCTCTCTCTCTCTCTCTTTCTCTCTTTCTCTCTTTCTCTCTCCCTCTCTCCCTCTCTCTCTCTCTCTCTCTCTCTCTCTCTCTCTATTTCTCTCTGTTGTTTATTCAATCTTTTATCCTTCATCCTACTATCAACTTCTCAGGCGCACGATTATTTTCCAGCTAGCTTAACCCTTTGCATTTCGTCCACCAGTCGTGAGAATAATGGTGGAATAGGTCCTGGTAGGATTATTTCGTTGAATTATTTTACTTGGAGCTTTTCAGTTTGCTTCCTGTAATCTGATTGTTGGTTTTGTTCTTCTCGCGGGTGCAATCCTCGCTTCTGTCCTCTCTCTGTCCTCCCACAAAAGCTGGTACTCTTTCAGTGATTTCGGCTGCTCCGGTAATAATTCCGTTCTCCCTCTCATTTTCTTCCTCTTTCTCTCGTCTTCTCAGTCATCGTGATTTTCTCCTGTTTCCGCTGGCCTCGCAGCAATTTCGTTTCTTACTTTTTGCAGTCTTCCGCATGAAATTCTTTAACATCCGGCAACCGGTCTTCAATCTCGCTTAAACAAAGTATTCAGAAATTAATTTCCTTATAAACAGAACGCTGTTCGAGCGAAATGAAAGTGCACGCGCAACGCCTTGCAGCTTTCTTGGAACCGGGATCACCGACATCGCCGCAATGGAGCAACGCGGGAACCTAAATTCCTTGGAGCCAGCCGGCCGTTGATTCGAACTACGGCCAAGGGATAACGAGACAGACCTCTACCCGAGTAAAAATTTAATGACGAGCGTGCTCGATCCTATCTAGTTGGAGAACTACGTGGCGCGCATTTTTCCCTAAAGGTTAATTGTTCGCTGCAACCCATTTCCGTGGCAGCGACATTAACTGGAAGACACGGAAAGGGTGGAAGGAGAGAACGTGCTGTTTGTGCCCCGGACCGGCGACAGCAATTAAAGTTACTCTAATTGCGATGCCTGTAAACAGCAACGCGCTTCACCGACCATGCCCCTCCTGCCTGTCCCATAAAATTTCGTACAAATCCTTGTCCCGTGTAAACAATCCTCCGAGGAACGACTAACCCCGTTATTAAACTAAGCCGGCGCAGAATTGACCTATCCAAATCCAGACCAAACAAACAATTGATGGCTGAACCTCCGGAGGCCTGTCCTCTGGCTCCCCAAGCTGGGAATGATCTAACAAACCTAACCAATAGACCCAGATTACACGATGCCGGTCATGCCTGAATATCTCTCTGGAAATAATGGTTAATCGTAACTATTTCGTCAGAAATAAAACATTGATTTACTATGCTACGCCTAGCACGTGATTTCGCCGCGCCAACAAATGCGCCGATGTAAACCTGGTTGCCACTCGCAGGCCCGCCGAGAAAATTACCTTCACAGTTCGAATACTTCTCGTGGATGTATTTCTTTCCTCGCACGTTGCTAAATACTGTTTCCGAAATTATTGGGGGGTGCACAGTGCGTCTGTTGTTTGATATCTTCGTGCAACCAACTGCGACGCTGTCGGTGGGTTTCCCGTCCGTTTTGCGGCCGCTGCAAAAATAGCAAACTTTTAATCTTTGCTGGTTAATTAATATGCACCTTGCCTTCTCAGTTGACGCAGAGGGTTGTACGGCCCACGCTGTAATTCGAATTTGGTTGGGGAAGGATCTTGGCTCGTTTGTCCGTTTAAAACGACAATGGTCACGACGGGCCGTCGAAGAGCGCATCTGGGGTAGACCGGGGGGCGACAGTATAATACAGCCGTGAGGCGGGTACGTTTCTGTCAGAAACACAGGGCCCATTGATCCTCGTTCGGTGGTAGTTCGATTAATAATTCCACGGGGCGCACGCGCTTCAATTACACCGGGGCCGAGTTTCACTCGTTGATCATAGAATAATATCGAGCGGATGCAAATGCGCGACTATTAATTACACGACCGAGGAAACTGCGGCTATATACTGGCTCTGCACTCGTGTCCAACTTTTACCCGGGATCATCCATCATCCCGGCCAGCGGGTGAATACAGGAGAGCATAGTTCGCGTACAGGCGGCACGGATTTCACGATCAGAGTGCTGGAAGAACCGAACATGCCCGGCCCCTGCACGTCCGCAACACAATCTCGCTCGTACCTTCGCTTATTTACCCGTCCAGTTGTCTCGGATTCGGCTTTTGTTCCGGCTGCTTGCCTGAAACATACAAAACTCGTCAATAAAATGCTCTAGGAAAGTGTTTTAAAAATCTGTGTCAGCGAGTGGATAGCGATGCCCGGGCTCTCTCACCTGCCAATAACAAGAAGTCCGTCGATTGATCGCCTCGGACCTTTTCCCTCTCGAAGAAAAATAACCGGACCCGGACCCGGGGACCCGATATCAAGAAGGGACCGCCGTTCCTCGGACTGGTTGTAGTTTATCGCGTTGGAGCCTTCCACGCAGTTACGATTAAGTGGTGAAAACACGCTCGGAATCGGGGTCAACGCGTTGCGCTCGGAAAAGAACTTTATCCACGGCAGGTCACTGGATTTTTTAAATAAAAATTTAAAAAGTCCTCGTCAATATATTTTCGAGTAGCAGCAAGAGAATAACTCTCCTCTTTTCGTCCGATCGATCCAAATTGCATGTTATCGGATATCTTGGACTCGAGACTGGAAACCTTAACGAGTAGCAGCAACGGCCGGTAATTACCTACGACATACAACCATCGATTAGAAAGATATTCGATCGCGCATCCATCTTCTTCTCGAGATCAATTGTCCCGTACACCACAACGGACACTTAAAAATTTCTGGAAATGTCTGATCACGGAAGTGGTTGTGCCTTGTTCACAAGGCTTCCGGGTTTTCTGATTAAAAACCAGCGTCCGTGTCTCTTTCTTTCGCTCTCTCGCTCTCTTTCTCTCTTCTAGTACGTGTAACGTGAAATCTGCCCACCCGGGAGGAACACGTTGGGCAAGAGGGACAAGGGGTTCAGAGGGGTGCGGAACGCGGAGCAAAATGGGGAAAGGGAAATCGTCGCTGGTTTCCTGCTCGTCCGCGGCTTACAATTACTAATGCGATATCTGCGGCCTCTCCTGCAATCCCTCGCAACCTCCTCTCATCCCCTATTCTCTCGCACTCACACCATCTCGCTGCGCGCCCCGCGCGATTGCTACGACCACGGACGAGATTACGTACGAATTAACCCCCGTGTCGGACGACCTCGACTCTTTTTAATATCGCGGCTCCGCGAGTTAGTGGGTCGTCGGGTGCTCGCGTGACGCCTTTGTCGTACGGAATTCGGTAGTTTCGAAGCAATCAGGAGGCGTTGAAAGGCGCGCCACGATTTTCAGATGAAAATCCTCGTGAACGCCGTGGAATTAAACGGGATTTCGAACCCGTCGACTCCGGCCGAAAGCGCCTGCTGAGGTGGGCGGGCTAAGGGGCGGAGCATCGATCCTCTTGCGTAACACGCCCCGTAACGTAACGTCTTTCGTAATCCTCGTGGATCCGCGTAACGCAACTTTAAGAAGCTGCTGCTACGCTATCCACCGGGATGGATTTAATAGGCTAAGATCGCGAGGCTGTGGCAGATCAACGTTGTTGCGCAACGAACCCCGCTGTCCCCGCCTACTCTTCTCCCACCGGTCCTATAAAGTTCAATGAAACACAGAAGGCAGCGCGCCGATTGTTCCCCGACTGCACGAGACTAGACAGTGGGAATGACCATTCTGCGAGAGCAACGATCAAAGCACGCACCCTCTCTCTCTTTCTCTCTCGGCCCGCACCAGGGTAATTCCCTTGGGAACTGCCGGTGACGCCAAGAGAGCTTCAGGGGCGGAGGAGAGCAGAGTTTGGCAGCGATACGGGATCGAATAATCGAAGAACAGTGATTCCGGAAGAATCGGGGGTTCTTTCTGGGGCATAGAGACGAGGGCATCGTAGAAACGAGTGGCACTCGTCCCTCGGTTCACGGACTTTCCAAAGGGGAAGGATCCAAAGATCCGGGCTTGCGAGTAAATTCAAGCGGTATCCAGAAGAAGCGAGTGGGTAGCCCCGAGTGGCGATAAAAATGCTGGGTCGAGTATCGACTCGGGCTGGGGGCCCCGGCGGGGGCCGGGGATGGCTACGACGGTGGGGAGTGAAAGGAAGAATGAAAGAAATAATGGGGGTGAAGAGCAGCAGCGGCGGACGAGGTGTGGTGGGGCGGGGCAGGCCGGGGAACGTTCGGGAGGAACTCACGGTCTGGTGGCTCTGGCTAGAGCTGCCGGAGTCGACGTCCTGTTTCTGGAGTTGTTCTTCGACGGAGGTTGAAACCGTTAAGCTCCTTTACGCGGGAGGGAAAAAGCTGTGGAGCGGATTGCACGGGGTAGGGGGCTGAAGGTCAGAGACTGTGGAGTTGTGGCCCAGAGGCAAGCGCACAATCAAAGCGGCTCCATAGCCCCGGGAACCGGCAACCCGTTCCTCTTCCGAGTTGGGCTGTGTTTCCGTCGAAGACGAGAGAGATTGCCTGCGGTTAGGGGCGCTGTTCCTAAATCGCTCGAAGACGCGATATTCTGCGAGGATATCCTCTCGAAAAAAAAGAGCTGGAGAACCAAAAGCCGAAAGAGCCGAAGGGCAGAGCGTAGAATAGAGTGCGATCTCGCAGACAAGACGTAAATTTCTGCGCGTGTGGCCCAACGTCGGGAGAGGGGAGGAGAGGATAGAGGCAGCGAGTTCTCCGGCCGCTAGAGGGAAAAGCAATCAATCTTTGAGAGGCAGATGAGTGCAGGAACCTAAAATATAGGGCAACACAAATTTAGTCTGGCTGCCGGTCCACGTCCACGTGTCGACGTGAATGCGCAACCGCCCGGGTTTGTAATCGATATTGCCGACAAGGCACCACGCCCTGCACCTGCGAGATGTGCGGGATATGCAATGGTACCGAACGCTCCGGGATCCGCGTCCCACTCACCCTCTCTAGCTCGCTCCTACTCTACACCCGCAACTCACTCGCGCTCTCTCTCTTTCTCTCACTCTAACTCTCTCCGTCGTCGGCGTTTCAACTCCTCCCTCTTCGGGTCCGCTTCTCTTTACTTCCCCGCCTCTCTCACTCGGCCACTCTCTCTTTTCTTTCTCTGTTTCTCACCGTGTTTCTCCTTCTTGCTCTAGCCCCGTTTTCTTTCCTTCGACCGTCTAACTCCACCCTCGCCATCATCTGTCTCTTCTTCTTTCTCTTCTCTCTCTCTCTCTCTCTCTCTCTCTCTTTCTCTCTTTCTCTCTCTCTATTTCTCGGTTCCCTCTCGGCCTAGTTATTCGTCTCTCCATCACCTTCTCTGTCCATCTATTTATCTATTTATCTATTCTCGTCGTAAGCCGACTACGATTATTCGGTCGTTTCTGCTGTCGATGTATCGGGAGATGGTGTTGGCGACAAAGTCTGGACGATACTGTCGAATTCACCCGTGACTTTCTATGCATAGACGTCGTCCGGTTGTTCTTCGTTTCAGCTCGCACTCGACCCGAGTGGTTCTCCAATGTTCTTTAACAGGTACGAGGTTGTGCACCGGTACCGTTGTTGGTATGTAACGCCATCTAAAATTCGTCGTACGCACATAAGAAACTTGAAAGTAGTACAAAGAGGAGCAGGAAAAGCGGCAGACAAAGCTTCGCGATTGAAACGAAGACGGGACAAAGAGACGTTCTTTGTCCTTGGTCTACCTATCTCGTGATCTTTAACACGCATTTAATGCTTTCATATACCCTTCCTCTACGGTTTTTAGAAAATTTCGACTGACCGGAGAACGCGGAGAATCGTAGTGGAGCGATGTGGCATCGTTGATCCGTGACTGATCCCGCCATGGGACCATTCCTCCGCGACTTGAATGTGAAGGTGATGAGGGTGCAATTAGCGTTCGCATCGAACTTGGTAATTTCCACTTTTGCTCAGTTGCATTCGGTCAAAGGGTAACCGGCTAATTACGAGATACTTCGAGCGGTCTGGCATCATCGATAGAGCCATGCCGTAACACGAGATACCCGTCTCCCTCTGGGCGTAGACACTGAAAAGTTCAATCGGATATAAGTAATAGGAGCGTACGTAGCCGCGCTATAAACGAAATTGAATCGAAGATAACAATCTAAGCGCATCCCTACCATTGAACGGTGTACTTTCGAGTGCCTTTAGGACATAAACGGTTAACAACCCGTCTCAGCGAGATAAGAATCACAGTCGCCGTGATAATGGCACTCGGTGATCGACCCAACAGATCGCGCATGCTGAATTGCTGTAGCGTTAGAATTTCGGTCGCAATTGTTGCATGGGAGTGCTGGTGAGAGGGACAGAGAGAAAAAGAGAGGGGGGAGGGAGTGAGAGAGAGAGAGAGAGAGAGAGAAAGTGGCGCGAAATTGTTAAAAGGCCTGCGGCTGCGAGGGAAACGAGCGGAGTTCATCAGCTGCGAGGAAAGCTTCTCGGCATTCTCGTACGGCGTGGCCAATTTTTCCGCGAGTTAATCGTACGCGGTTGTTTTCGCGAATCGTTTGCTGATTTATTCTTGAAAAGCCGGAAAACAGAGCTTCTCCTGGCGGAGATAAAGTACATACAGGAAGTACGGCGTCAGATACCCCATACAGGAATGCTCTCGAGATGCCTGATCATAAGAGCAGCGGATCGATATGGTGTCGATTACCGTATAAATAGATCTGCATAGATCTACATCTATATTATCGACCGGCAATCGACTCGAGAGAAAAACTATACACGGTATAACGCAGATAGATTCAAATCGATAAAAACTAATTAAATTTCTGCCGCGTTAACAACCGGCCTATTGCCGTCTATCCGGCGCAGCTCGGCGACTTGTTCCCAACCGTGGCTACAAACCGAATTCACTTCCATCCCCGTAAATCTTGCCACCCCCCGTTCCCATTAACCCCGTCGCGTCACGTCGCGTCGCCACCACTGCCACCACTACCACCACGGTTTACCCGACAGATTATAGGAGCTTCTGAACCGTTTAATTTCATCATGCGAACATTATGTTCCGCGACGCTGTTATACCAGGAAACCCCGGGACAGGCTCTGAGAAGAGCGCATTGCGCGAAACACTCCTGGGAACGTTTAAGGAAAGCTCCTCTCTCTTTCTCTCTCTCTCTCTCTCTCTCTCTCTCTCTCTTTGTCTCTCATACACACACACCTTCTTCCTCCGTCCCTCCCTCAGAGTAAATGGGGCGGCGGTAAAATTAATTACGAAGTTGCCACCGACTGCGTTTCGTTCGGTCGTTGTAGCAGAAAATATTCGATCGAGAATTAACCTTTTGTATCCTGAATGAATCCGCGTATATTCAGCGAACAGCGAATCTTGGTGCTGCTTTAAAATACCTTAAGAAAGGTTGCCTTCTGTCGCCGTCACCTTTAACCCGTGTTACTCGTTCGGGTCGCCATTACCCAGTCAATGGGTGCGATCCAAGTCGAACTTCTCGGCCAAGTGTTCCTTTTCAACGACGTTGATTGCTCGGCATATTGGTGAACCCAACTTTCCGGAATCCGACTATTGCCGAACGTTTCCACGACGCGCCGGTTCCTGCAATTATCAGCTCGTTAACGTTGATTCGTGGTATTTTGAGCTTTGCTTCGGAAGTGTCGAAAGAGCAACTTATATAGAAAACGCACTCACGGTTTTAATAATACAAACAGTTTCGATCCAAGAAGCGCGAAAGCAAGTCCCAGGTCTGATCAAAATCGCGCGTAAGGTTTTCCGTGGGAAGATCGGAAGGAGGGCAATATCCTTTACTAAAGAGAGTCGGGAAAGAGCCGGCCCAACGACCTAAATCTCGGCAGGACTGTAAAGGGACGCTGCATCTCGAAGCATTAGAGGACGAACCACGGTTCTACTGTAAACCATCACGTTTCGTTGCACTTACCAATCAGTGACCGTCGCGGTTCGTCGATTTCCTCCCAGGGAACGCATTCAGCGCATTCGGCGTGTTGTCAGCGGACTTGCAGTGTCTGCGAAATCTTCGCTCTGCCGTTCCCATTCCACTGTTCAACCGCAATATTTTTCAGACAGAGCGAATCAGTTTTTGAACCTTTATAAACTTTTGAACATATAATATGTTTAAGGAGTAACAAGTGTGTATCTGAATCTAATTCGGGCAACGCGAAAGACAAACTGAAACGGCGAACTTACAGATGTACCCATTGGATCGAATCCATGGATTCAGCAGTGTGACGACGAGGGGATCGGAGGAGCGTGGCAGGCGAACAACAAGTTTCCTCAGTGAAGTTTCATTGATGCCGGCACTGAAACTTTTTCATCTCGGTACAAACCATCTGTCCGAAGGGGTGGGTTTCATAAAATTCATAAAATGGACGAGTCGCTGGTAAAAAGAACTCGGTTTCCAGTGGCCTAGTTTCCCGGGGTGGTATACGAAAAACAAGCCTGAGGCGATGAGGGCCTCGAATGGATGATAGTCAATGACGCCCTGGCTGTTTCTTTAGGGACGAGAGAGGCCCCTCTGGGGCAGCGACTTTCACGGGCGGAGAAATTTCGCCGGGGGTAGTCGACGCCCGCTTCGAAATTACTTCTGTCCGACCCCCCGGTTTTCTCTCAGGCCCTCTTTAATAAATCATCGACGAGTTATCGTGCGTTACTCCCGAACAAACCAGCGAGGTTTTCCCCCGAGCTGGGTCAACGAACCGATCTACCGGTAACAGAGCCGAAGAGTGCACCGAGAGGACATTGAAATTACTGTTATCAGAATCCATGGCTGTCGATGAGAACGGCCGAATTCTCGGTCTTTGTTGGTCCTGGTTTTCAGTCTAGCAAATCACTCAATGGTACAATCGTCTCAGGGATGTGAGAACAGATTTTTAGATTAATTACCTGAAACATAAAAGTGCCACTGTGAGAATTTCTTCGATGAATCGATTAATTGAATTATAATTGACGCGATCAAATTAAATCCAGTTAGCCTGACCGTTCGCTCTCAGTACTTCTAGCATTAATATTATTTTCAACAACCATGCCGAATTACCTCGAACAATCCTCTTACCGCAAATTTGCTGTGGTCACGGCTACGTCCATAAGCTGAGCCCGCTTGCTCGCCAACCACCCCTTTATATGTACAATCTGCTGGCTGTGGTGTTCTGTAACCTAAATATTTTAATATTATTTTCAACAACTATGCCGAATTACCTCTTGAACAATCCTCTTACCCCAGCAATACAGCGAGGGCATGGCAAAGCTGCCAAATCCATTCCTACCGGATTCAGCTTTACGGGTAGAAAATCGTGCGTATTTAAAAATTAAAAGCTTTGAATGCGGGAGGAACAGAGAGAGAGAGGGAGGGGAGTAACGAAGCTGCTGACCGTTTTTCGATAACACGGATCATCCCCAAAGTTTCCCGTGAAGTTCATCCCGGTCGTCAAGAATTCCCAGATAACCCATCCGAAATTCCTTGGGGTACGGAAGTTGGTTTCGCGGCGAAACGACGACGAGTGCCTCCCGTAGGAATTTTCCTCGCAAACTCGAGAAATTTTCCGACGCCGGGGTGGAACGACCGGAATCTTTGGTTCCCGGAGGACTGTTCCCCACCCAACCCATCCCCATCACCGGTTCCATCCCCACGAATCGCATGCACGCGGAGGGACTTGATCGCTTATGTCGTTCTTGTTAATTGAATTTACATGTTTTTCCTCCGTTCTGATTGCAGAAGCCGACTACACCTTAGATGACTCCTTCTGGAACGTGGAGATCTCTGAAGCTGAAGGTAGAGTCCGCGAAATTCATTAGCCTTCTCTCTAATTTCTTTCTTTCTGCTCTCTCTCGCTCTCGTTTTCTTTCCCTTTCTTTCGGCCGCCGCGAAACCGGTTCGTGCACGCGCGTCGAGAGAGAGAATCTCATGATGACGACGACGACGAGTGTCCCGGCAGAAGCCGCCTTTGACGCCTGGACAAAGAGCACGGGACGCGAACGCAAAGTTACGAAACGATCGCGTAAATAGACAATGCGTAACTGAGAGAAGTTCCCCGTCAAAGTCCGCGGCGCTCCCCTTTGATGCTCGCCGGCGAGCGCGAACAACTGCAATAGCAACTGCGACGCGCACCAGCCTCGACCAACCACCTTCGGGAGACACCGGACGAACACCGACCGCTTTTTTACTATTCCATCCAAATTCCAATTTTTCCGACTGCCAGTCGACATCGTTAGCTCTTCACAGTCGATCCGAGGAGTCTGCATACTGCCCCTGAAATGTCGGTCAAATCTGTAGAACATACTGACAGAGACAAACGGGGGCATCAAATAAATATTTTACGCAAAAAGATCTGACCTGTGAGCTATAAAGATAGAGGGCTGAAATGATCCTTGACGAAAGATCTTTTGCTCGAGACTGCAAGGCAGAACTGTTGGTCCACACCTTCGGGGACCTAAAACATAAGAGAAATTTCTAAAGAATTGCCATGGACATATTAAAATAAGTATAGGTAGGCGTACAATAAATATTTTACAAAAGAATGGGGTGGTTGCTCAAAAATGATATTCACGACAAAGGAGAAAAGCCTGCCTTCTCTATCTCGGGGAAAGTGTACAGGGTGTTTCGGAACATTCGGCGGGGTGGCGGCGTTTAAAACGATTTGTCACGGTGAAAGAGAGTGAAACAGGGAAAATGGTTGGCTCGACCCGAACCGAGGGAGAGGACGCATCGGGTTTCTTGTGATGTCCCGGTGAAATGTACGCAAAGGAAGCTCCGGCAGGGGGTAAGGGGAGAGGAGAGGGAGTGACGGTTGGAGGCGAGGGGTGGAACCGCATTGCAGCACTTCCCTCTCGGAAACTCGATCTGTGGTTACATCTAGTTCTCTCGGACGCGGAGAATGGTTTATTGTTAAGTCAACACCGACGGTGATTGGCTGGAAATGCGAAACTTAAATTGAGTTAATTTTTAGACCATTTTCCGGGAGGATAGTGCGTCTGCGGATGACTAATCTTGTCGCGGGGGTTGTAAAGCGATAGGCGAAAAACATTTGATCGGGCAACCGTGAAGATCGTCTTTTTTTCGTTTGCAAAGGACCTACAGCTCTGACGCGCGGCTCCTGTCGTTGCTGCCGGTCCTTGTTGCATTTGAATTGCAAACGTTTCCCTAACCCGCCCCTTTGCGAATTAACAATCATGTCCCACCCACGCCGTTGATCAATTAACCGAGCAGGACATTTTCACCGAACACGAAAAATTTCACGATGCGATTAGGGATTTATGAAGCTATTAGATCCCTGGTTCCAGAGGGGCTCAAAAAGTGTCTAATCCGACCTAGTCGCATACCGAACTCTAGCAGTACCGTTGAACATTCGAGTAGGAATTAACAGGCCGCAAATGGTTCACCTGAAAAAAAAAAATACGGATGAATAATGATCCGTGTACTTCATTCCGGGCACTGACACGGGTGTATCGGTTAAATCGAGGCGTTCGCCTGGATAGTCGATAAGAGGATGGAACTGGAGGATTCACGGTTCGAGGAGACCCTCCACCGATTATCTCGCGTCAATCGTAGCTCGTCGTACAAGCTAGCAACAGTTTACGCAAGGAGGAAACCTCGACGCCCCCGCTAATTACCATTCGTTTTCAAAGTTCGAGATATCCAGACCGAGCGAACCTGAAAAAATAATTCTCTTGTAATATTCTATTTTGCTAGTTAGCCTGGATGAACGTTTAGATAAAATTGATTCGCAGCACAAAAAGTAGAAAATTCAATGATTAAAACGACGTTCGTTGCAACGATTTCGAATGTATTCGAACGATACTAAAGGGTTTGTACGACGTTGAAACATCGCGACAGAGTAGCCCCTGAGAGGCAATTTCTACACCGACAAGCGTGCACATGTGCTCTCCTTGAAGATGGAGCCAGCGATACACGGACAGACGGACAAACAGAGAGACAGACAGGAGGGTGAATCGGAAGGACATTTCGATTCATCGGGCGGGAAATTGATTTCAGGTGAGGCCGAAAGACTACTGCGCGAGTATACACAAAATCAGGAGCTACTAAGAAAAATCGGGACCCATTACTATCAAATCATCTATCCGGTACAGTTACGGCATCACGAGAAAATGGGAATATCCACGAGAGAAGTCGGCATGTCGAAGGTAATCACGTTACCCCGAAGAGCGAAGAACAGGGAGAGGTGTCTCCGGAAAGGGTGGCATCCTCTGTCTTGTTCTTGGAACCGAAATAACAACGAGGAAAAACTGATTGTCTCTCTGTTCTCTAACGTCTCACCCTGTCCCTGCCCCTGGACATCATCTTTCCCGGAGACACCGGTGCACACGTTGCACTTCGCCCCTATCGACTATTAATACGGTTCTTTTGTCCCGTTTACAGTTTCCTCAAAGAGGATACGGTGAGAGTGGATATCAAAATTTGCGAGGCAAAACGAGAGTAAGTGTTGTAGAACGTGTCTGGCAAAAATGGGCGTAATTATGTCGCTCCCTACTTTTCCTGCCGTCCCATCGATAAAACAGAGAAGCTTCGTTTGCATGTACGAGCGCGTCACTGGCCTATGAGCGACTGCTATACCGGGGCAGCAACGCTGCAGTGTACAGCTAGTTGCAAACTAACGGTGCAAAATTATTGCAACAAAGAAATATACTATTTATGGTTTCAGAGTTATAGAGATTCAACAGCATGTCAATTGATATAAATTTTGTCCGATTAGATTGCCGCAACGAAAGAGAATCGCGCCCATTTTTGCATGTTAAGGGAATTGAACAATCTCAGGCTAAACGATCCTTCGATTTTCAGACAGGGAGACACTTTCATCGGACGTCCCTTTTGATCAAGGCCTTTAATCACAAATTTCGCCTAGACTTAGAATTAAATGGGTAAGTGGAGCTTCCGCGAAAGCCTGGAGACGTCGTATCTGTTCGGTTTCTCTCTCATTCTCCCTCTGTCTCTGTCTCTCTCTCTCTCTCTCTCTCTCTCTCNTAGCAGTACCGTTGAACATTCGAGTAGGAATTAACAGGCCGCAAATGGTTCACCTGAAAAAAAAAAATACGGATGAATAATGATCCGTGTACTTCATTCCGGGCACTGACACGGGTGTATCGGTTAAATCGAGGCGTTCGCCTGGATAGTCGATAAGAGGATGGAACTGGAGGATTCACGGTTCGAGGAGACCCTCCACCGATTATCTCGCGTCAATCGTAGCTCGTCGTACAAGCTAGCAACAGTTTACGCAAGGAGGAAACCTCGACGCCCCCGCTAATTACCATTCGTTTTCAAAGTTCGAGATATCCAGACCGAGCGAACCTGAAAAAATAATTCTCTTGTAATATTCTATTTTGCTAGTTAGCCTGGATGAACGTTTAGATAAAATTGATTCGCAGCACAAAAAGTAGAAAATTCAATGATTAAAACGACGTTCGTTGCAACGATTTCGAATGTATTCGAACGATACTAAAGGGTTTGTACGACGTTGAAACATCGCGACAGAGTAGCCCCTGAGAGGCAATTTCTACACCGACAAGCGTGCACATGTGCTCTCCTTGAAGATGGAGCCAGCGATACACGGACAGACGGACAAACAGAGAGACAGACAGGAGGGTGAATCGGAAGGACATTTCGATTCATCGGGCGGGAAATTGATTTCAGGTGAGGCCGAAAGACTACTGCGCGAGTATACACAAAATCAGGAGCTACTAAGAAAAATCGGGACCCATTACTATCAAATCATCTATCCGGTACAGTTACGGCATCACGAGAAAATGGGAATATCCACGAGAGAAGTCGGCATGTCGAAGGTAATCACGTTACCCCGAAGAGCGAAGAACAGGGAGAGGTGTCTCCGGAAAGGGTGGCATCCTCTGTCTTGTTCTTGGAACCGAAATAACAACGAGGAAAAACTGATTGTCTCTCTGTTCTCTAACGTCTCACCCTGTCCCTGCCCCTGGACATCATCTTTCCCGGAGACACCGGTGCACACGTTGCACTTCGCCCCTATCGACTATTAATACGGTTCTTTTGTCCCGTTTACAGTTTCCTCAAAGAGGATACGGTGAGAGTGGATATCAAAATTTGCGAGGCAAAACGAGAGTAAGTGTTGTAGAACGTGTCTGGCAAAAATGGGCGTAATTATGTCGCTCCCTACTTTTCCTGCCGTCCCATCGATAAAACAGAGAAGCTTCGTTTGCATGTACGAGCGCGTCACTGGCCTATGAGCGACTGCTATACCGGGGCAGCAACGCTGCAGTGTACAGCTAGTTGCAAACTAACGGTGCAAAATTATTGCAACAAAGAAATATACTATTTATGGTTTCAGAGTTATAGAGATTCAACAGCATGTCAATTGATATAAATTTTGTCCGATTAGATTGCCGCAACGAAAGAGAATCGCGCCCATTTTTGCATGTTAAGGGAATTGAACAATCTCAGGCTAAACGATCCTTCGATTTTCAGACAGGGAGACACTTTCATCGGACGTCCCTTTTGATCAAGGCCTTTAATCACAAATTTCGCCTAGACTTAGAATTAAATGGGTAAGTGGAGCTTCCGCGAAAGCCTGGAGACGTCGTATCTGTTCGGTTTCTCTCTCATTCTCCCTCTGTCTCTGTCTCTCTCTCTCTCTCTCTCTCTCTCTCTCTCTCTCTCTCTCTCTCTGTCTCCCTATTCCTTTTCGATGTTCCCCGACAAAGCGCGGAAGCAACAATGGAAAAGCAATTTACGAGAAACCGAATCGATACTAGTTTCCCCGGGAAAATATGTTTCCTCGCTCGCGCCTCCCTTTACCCATGACACTGGGCGCGAGAAATGCATTTCACGGCAACGTTACTCCCTCTGTTCCAGGCAACTTTTAGCACCAAATCTTAAGCAAAAAGACTTTTTAGTCGGCGACGCGGAACAAATTTCTAAACAGGTAAGGCGTACTTTCTCATACCATTCGGAACGTGTTACCCCAAGCTGGGAAAATCTGTTTTCAGGGGATAGAACACTGTTACTATCACGGCACCATCAAGGATTATCCAGGGGCCAGCGCTGCCTTTCACACGTGTAACGGTCTCAGCGGTGTCATTCATTTAGGCAACGAGACCTTTGTCGTTCATCCATTCTATGGCGGCGATCTGTCGGTCAGTTTCACGATTGTCGTACGCTGTGCACACGCAATCTGTTTAGTCTACAAACGAGCAATCGTTTCTATTAGTTAATAGCAAAGACGGCGATACTTAAACAAACAACTTACCTTCGACCGATGATGAAGAACATAACGATTTGACATTGACACTGAAACCGGCTGAGAAGTACAGATGATTGTTCGATCAATAGATTCTCCATTAATTTCGGAAGCATACCCATAAGCTCGTGCCGCTTGCTGCTCCGCTATTTGATCCTTTGAGGACGAATATCGTATTACCATCTCATCAAGCTCGCGCGTCTAGCCTCTAAAATTGCAAGCAAACAGTTCAGCTATTTAATTCGATTAAAAATTATTAGAATTATATTCAAGATATACTTTAAATCTTTTTATTCGGCAAAGACATTGTCTTGTTGTTGTAATTTGTCTTCAAGCATATAGAATTCACTAAGCTGGTACGTGTGCCCGCGAAGGAAAGACCATTATCATTGTATATACAATATCAATTATCGTGGATATAAAGCGAGATCAGTCACCGGAAGAAAGGAATATAAACTGCATTTAATGCAAGAACATTCTGTCTCGGTAGTCTTTTTTTGTTAAGTCAACGTGACAGGAGCTGGAGCACAGCAAATCGTTGTTCCTCTATGCACGAGGCTTCGTTATTATTCATAAAGACATCTCGAACTAACAACGTGACGAGAGAAGGCGTAGAAAAGAAAACACAATTTTGTGACCGTATTCGAGCATGCAAATGCTCTCCCTCTCTCTTTCGTTCTTTCTCTCTTCCTCTCTTTCTTCCTCTTTCTCTCTATCTCTCTTTCTCTCCAAAGCCGTCAAATTTTACAAAGTGATAAGGTTGCCGATGATCGATCGCTCCGCGAAATCAGGGACTGTTCCAACTATTACAATTATCAATTAATTAGAAACTCGGAACTGGGTCAAACAAGGTATGCTCTGCGCTAACTTCCTTTCACTGAATCTATTCACGCCATACCCACTGCTTAACCGGGGTGGACCACGTGTTACGAAACACTGTGTACACATTGTATAAACTATAGTTTTCAAAATTCTTTTCTATAATAAATTCTATGCCACGCAGTAACTTAATGATACTCAGAACCGAGAAGGAGAAAGAGAAAGAAAGAAGAAATATTATACTTGAATGAAGAATGGAACAGCCAGTAGAGAATATAAACTACATGCAGATCTCTCTTTTAGCAGAAACATCCTCACGTTATATTTGAGGCTCGATCAAAGGCTAACAAAGGCTGCGCTAACACGAAGAAAATTGACTGGCGTTCAAAGAACCGTCGAGGGAAGCATGTTCTGGGCCTATCGGAGACCACTTCCGATCGATACAAGAGAGACATCCGTGAGGCAATCAAATACATCGAAACTGCCATCATTATCGATAAGGCTATGGTACGATCGTCTTTCTTCATGCCTCCATCCCGAGAACAACACGTCCCTTGAAAACAACAACAAATTAGTTTTCTTTCTATTTGCACTACCATAATTTTAATAATTTGCCATACCGATGGTCAACCAACAAAATCAAAAATACAGTGTGCAGTTCACTGTCCAAAATGGAAACGAAGCCAGTCGTTGTCACAAGGAAATATGTTAATACCTGTATAGGTTTTGGCATGCGATGACCCAGTTGCAAGAATTTGCGACCTGGCAGACAGTTTACCATCTTTAGTGTGCGGATTCAGGCATATCTCTGCATCCTTGCAGAGATACTTGAATACCGGTTCGCGATTGATCAATGACAATCGATACCTAGGGATGTAGTCATACAGCATATAAAGATACATTTCAGCATATAAAGATTCCAAATCCGTGTAAAGGGGCGGGGTTAAAATGTAACATTGAAGAAGACAGTAAAAAAGGTGTGATCAACGCTGTGGCCGGGTATAGTTTTTAAGGACGCAATTTACCGGTAATCCGTGAAATAAATCAGGGTAAAATCGAATCTTTCTGTGCTTAGTTCGAGAAGAGGAACGGCAGCACCAGAGCAGAGGTAGTCCACGACGCCATCCAAGTCGTCAATATCGCTGATTTGGTGAGTATTGTCAGTGTCGTAAAACCCGTGGCTGATCGGCTTCCAATAAGCGGTGAAAAATATTTTCAGACTAGGAAAATAGAAGTCCTAAAAATAGAAGGATATATATAATGTTAGACCGTATATGTAATTCAATGGGAGCGTTCAGACGGTGATACAGTACCACGATACTTTTTCGCACGTTAAACGCTATATCGCGGCGCATGAAACGGCTTAGTTATCTGGAATTTCGAGTAAAATGTTACCGCGTTTGAGAATTAAATAGCGTATACAGTGCGTCAATGACCCCTATGAGTTAATAACTCGTTTTATATTTGGTTGCAGTATTTCCGTACATTGAACACTAGAGTCTCCGTGACATACATCGAAACCTGGCAAGAAAAAAACAAGGCGAACATTGTTGAAAACATGGAGATTGGTACAGCTTTGAAAATCTTCAACGACTACACAACGAGACATTTGTACGATGTCTCGAAGGACACCACCCAGTTGCTCACGTGAGTATAGCGACCGGGTAGCCTCATCGCGTGTACACGATGTACTCGAAAAGATCTAAGTTGCATTCATCACCTAACTTTAATTGACATTGCACGCTCTCTTTTATCACTATAAATCATTACATACCCGATTTCCATTTGCAGAGGCAAATCATTTTCAAACGACGAATCGGGGGATGCGACGTCGTCGACCATCTGTAAAAAAGAATCCGTAGGAATTAGCGTTGATGTGAATTCGTACGAGCTACATTTACTGGCGGGCACCATGGCTCACATGATCGGCCATAATATTGGCATGAACCACGATGATGGAAGTTAGTATTAATTGAAAGAGAAAGAGAAAGAGAGAGAGAGAGGGTGGGAGAAAGGGACAGTGACCGATGTCATCTCCTAATTATGTTGTCTATCTCTATAATAAGTTTGTCTTTATAATAAAAAATGAATTACATTTCCACACTCAGGGGTTTGAGCTATAATAAATTCTGGACTTACGGTTGTCTTGAACCGTAGGAAACGATTGCGTGTGTGGGGACTGGCACGGGTGCATCATGGCTCAATCAATCGTCGGCTTAGACAACGTGCAACCGTACAAGTTCTCCGACTGCAGTCGACAGGACTACACGATGGCGTTGCAGAGCGCCGACGCTCTGTGTCTTAACAATAAACCAAACCAGGTAAGTCAGCAACCGTGGTCGGCATCTGAAAGTGCTGTTCTTTTTCCCATTGTCTCTCTTTTTCTTTCTCTCTTTGTGTTTCTGATTGGCGAACGAAATACAGGTGGATTCGAATCGATATTGCGGAAACAGGGTAGTAGACGACGGGGAACAATGCGACTGCGGACCGATCGATGAGTGCAAGGACTTCGATCCCTGCTGCGATCCAATCACCTGCAATCTCATCAGGGAGGCGGAGTGCGCGGCAGGGCCATGTTGCAACAAGTGCAAGGTATACAATATTTTGGATACTCGACGACACCTCCGTCTATCGCTTCGCCAGGATCTTGTCGATCGTTGAACACATTCGACACGGTCTCCTCTTCCTAGGAGCGAGATGTACGTGACGATAAACAGTTTGCGCGACAGTGCGATAAACGCATTCACGATTCAATGCGGAAAACGAACCGGCGGTGTCCCTGAAACAATGAGACAGCTTTAACACACGGAATTAGACGTTATTCAATAATGATCTACCGGTCTTCAAACTCTGTTGACTCAAGAGACCTTCGAGCGAAGCTTGCATTTGAATTTTGACTTTGACTCACTCGGAATCCTTGAATAGATTCAACAGAGCTTGCAGACGGTAACGGAGACAAATTAAATGTAATTCGGTGTGGCATTGTACAGTTGGTGCCCTCCGGAGTGGTCTGCCGGAAGGCGACAAACGAATGCGACCTACCGGAAGTCTGTACGGGTAAGAGTGGCCAATGCCCAGAGGACGTTTTCAAGAAGAATGGCAGCCCGTGCTCGGACAACACCGGATTCTGTTTCAACGGGGTCTGTCCGGCCCTGGATCTGCAATGCGAGCAAATCTGGGGCTACGGTGGCATCGCAGCTGACAAACACTGCTACGAATACTACAACTCCAAAGGCTCGTTGAATGGACACTGTGGCACCGATTCATCCGGACACTATATCAAATGCGAACCGAAGTAAGCAGCTTCTCGATCTTTCTGCTTATTCTTTTCCTGAGCAAGATTCTGCAGCTTGTCCTGCAAGAATCGTTTCAATTAACACTCGAAGAACGGACGCTTTTCACAATTTTCTAGACGATTTTCTGCCAGAACCACAAACCGTAAGCTTCTCTTTTCAGGAACGTCCACTGTGGCTCGCTGCATTGTCAGCAAGGCAAGAAGCAGCCAGTAATCTCCGGGATGGATCACGTGCGCATCATAATTTCGCGCCAGAGCAAGGAATACGAATGCAAGTAAGTAATTTAAATGCTTGTTTTTATTCAATGGACGCGTGTAATCCTGCTGCGTGTCGTTCTTCTTGGTTGTACAGGATGACCAATGGTAAAGTTGACGGCTCGGAGGTGCCCAGCATGGGGCTGGTTCGCGACGGAACATCCTGCGGAAATAATTCGGTAAGTACTGATAAATTATGCAACAGCAAATATGAAAGCAAAGGTATATAGACTAAAACGACGGTTCGTTTCAGGTCTGTGTAAACCAAACATGCACGAGTCACTTTCCGCTGATAGGCAAAGAAACATGTCCTAGTAATCACAACAACAACGAGTGCTCGGGCAAGGGCGTAAGTGTCTTTCATCTTCAACTTGAATTTGAACATTTTATAGCCGTTTAAAATCGTCAAGCTTTCCAAGTTGTTCGAATGACACCGATTCATTTGTACAAAGTATTGGCAAGCGTGCAAGCGCGATCGCAGCCATTCATTCATAAAACATGATTATAGGTTTGCACGAACATAAATACGTGCTACTGCGAGCGTGGATGGGGTGGTCCAGATTGCTCCATACAGGAAGAGATCCCCACACTTCCACCCACGGTTACCGTCAATGGACCAGTTGGTAAAAGTAATACAAGTGGTAAAATGGGGCCGAAAGAGACCCCCTACGGTAAGTTGCGATTCGAACAACTCTTTCAAGCGCCCGATCGACTTTAGAATAAACGCCCGCGGTGACGGAAAAAAACCGAGAACGACTGTGCTGTCGAGAGAGAAAGAGAGAGAGGGAGAGAGAAAGAAAGAGAGAGAAAGAGAGAGGTGCAAAACTCTACACTCTCTCCGGAGGACGAGTCGTTCCGGTTTTTCTTTCCTTACCTTAGGATAAGAACAAGAGACCGGATCGCTTTGGCCAGGATAGACAAGATAGAGTAAATAGAACAACGCGAAAGAGAACTTGGAGATCAATCTTTGAAAACAACAGAAGGATCTCTTAGATCCCGGCCAAGGATCCGGTCGGACGAATTCGATTTAGTTCACAATATAACACCAAGAGACAAAGTACCCCTCGATTCCCGTCGGTATACCCGTTAGCCGCCTGATTATTTGGGGCCATACCATCAGCTGTGCACATAACATTCGATGCGTTCCTCCGTACATGTGTGTAACACGGGCCGTAAAGCTCTCACTCAAGGTCACACACAATTATCTACGATATACTCGATGACAGACATCATATATCCCCCGCGATCCGCCGAGACAGAGGAACGATCGCATATTACAGGTGAACGGCTCGCTCGCTGTGACTTTGTTAAATCTACGTTTGATCCGGCTGATCCTCGGGCCGTTTACAAGTTCAACAACATCATCGTACAGCCGCCTGGATGAGCCTGGGAAGATCCCCTAAAATATAATCAACCCCTGAAGAAAGTTTGAATCGAATTAGATCTGGATTGCTTTTTACCATAGATCACTGCATCTTAGGGAGAATTCCAGATTCACCAGTAGACTGTACATTCGATATTCTTTGCGCCTCCAAACACCTAGAAGCGAGTCGGTCAGACACTTTGTTATGTCTTAATATACATACTTTCAAAAAGACATAATCTCTTGTTACGAGAAGTTCTCTCTTAGCACAATTAATTAGGCAGATTCTTGAGACATCGTGTGTACGTACAGTGATCCAATAATACTTGAAAAGTCCTCCTGAGAGTATAGTTAACACTGTTAGACGAACAAACATTGCAAGACATTGGTAGTACAATTTAGATTCCTGGAGCTTCGAGATTCCAGATATTGGAGAGCTTAGAAAATGTCGTTGTCATTGGCAATTAACTTGAAAGAAACAACCGAGCGCTGAATCTTCCTCGTCCAAGCTCGTGCGGTTCAGAGACCATTGATGGATTCAGAGAGGCACACGGGTTTGGTTGGGAAGCGTTTCAGATATAACCGGTTACGGTTTCACCTCTGTAGGAGCTTGAACGTTTGAATTCTTCAGGGATTAGACTCGGATCCTCGGCCGATGTAAACGGTATCTTCATCTTTTCTCTTTTCGCTGAAGCGAGTTCCTGAATATGTTTTCGTACGGAATTGGCACACGGTGCTTACAACGGCAGAGGATCCACTGTACACACAACGATCGACAAAAATGTGTTATATATATCGAGCGCAAGTGTAGAATACGAAGTGATTGGTCGTTTCAGAAAACGTTAACAACACCCTTAGCACCGGGTGGATGGTAATAATCCTGGTGAGTGTGGTCAAAGGAGTCTTCATTTGTTTTGCACTAATGGCTGTTTGCTACAGGTACAGTAGCAAAAATCATCACAGAGTGCTTGGAAACTGAGAGCTCACTCATTGTGCGTGGGTTCGAAGTCAACATCTCTCTGTCCTCTCGTTGTCAAAGTATCATTTCGTGGCTAGCTGGATGATCAGGCATCGCACGCGGCCGTCAATGCTCTAATGATATATTGAATTCGTCTTAGCCTACTTATTCGATGTTCATTTATCTTCATATACATATATATCTATGTGTATATACATACATATACCTACGTATATGTATGCATATACGTCAATATGCGTGCGTCTCGCGGATATATATATATATGTATATACTATACACACTACGGGCAGGAAGTTTCGAAGCGGCAGCCGGATTATTAACGAAATTAATATTTTCCTAGATTACAGCAGCTCGATGTTGCATCGACATAACGACAGTTCCGCCTCCAAACTTTTAGCCAGTGATTTGTTACATGTACTACTGTCTCCTCGATGGTGTGCTCTGAATGTGCTCGTGCTCGCATAGTGCATCCGAATGATCACGATCGTCGTGACTATGCTGCACGAGCTGCGCGATCTATGTACATCTCCACTTCCGTCGCGTTCCAGGGGATTCATAGATCTCAATCTTCATAGACCGCTTCCGACTACAACGAAAATTTCTGCAGTTTAACTGTATTCCATAGTAATAATTTCTATAATATTGATACAAGGTGACCTGATCTCGATTTGCCTGCGTTACAGCTTGAATATTCAAACAAGCGAATCCCCTGGAGTGTGTAACTCAACACACGATCCATCACGAACGAAACGCCAATGTGCCAGCTGCTTGTATGCCCTATAAAAGCATGACCGAGGCTGATTAGCAAACAACTAAAATTCGTCGTCCCGTGATAAAGGATCGGAGACGGCGCAACGCGAGAGCCGTGTGTCTCGCATCGGTTAAACAAAAATCAATTTGACAATATTCGGAAAAATTCATAATCAGCAATCGTAGAAAATTACCGCGATCCCATCGGCCTCGACACCTCGAGGCTCCCACAAAAACACATAAAAAGATTTCTAAAGAGAGATGGTCCACGCACGCGACTAAAACGCACACCCTGGCGAGCTTGGATCACTTTATTAACATTTCTTTGAAATTCTCTTGAGTACTATTCAAGGTATGCCTTGCAAAATTGTTTGGTTTATATGCTGAAAATGAAACATAATTTGTAACTTCTACCAACGGCATCCGGAGGTCATAGTGACATTAAATTATGTCGTCTCATTTATAGGAGTCCAACAGACTGCTCCCTACTGGTGTTTAATGAGAAAAAGTGGGTCTTTGCCTTAATAAACACGAGCGAAGATTTTTTGAAGCTTGCGGAGTCGCGCAAGGATCGCTGGCGTGCACCATCGTCCAACGATTACCGTCCAGGGATGGGCAAAATCGTTCCCTGAGAGTCAGTGGTGATGACAAATGGCACCAGATATTATAGGCTTCTTTCTCCATTGTTGATTCCAGTTATTGAAACATTGTCTTGGTTGACAATTGTACCCTTAAATGTACAAAACAGAGGTGAAGTGTACTTATCGTTGAAAGCAGGTGATCTGTAGCATCTTATAAAACTTACAGGAACGAGTTGAATGATTACCTTTACGATGATGCATTTAAGGGTCGTCGACAGCTAACAGAAGAGTTGACAGTGCTTTCCGGGAAGGGGTGTGACAATTTTGCCCATCCCTGTCCAATATCGAACGACGTATATGTATATGTGCTGATTCTGGCTTCTCTGTTTCTTGTCTGTTTCTGTCTGTCACTGGTATCTCTGTCTGTCTGCATGCTGTGGGACGCTCGGATTATGAAAAAAATACAAAATAATCCCGTATATCGATATCTCGATGAATAACGCGCGTCGGGCTGATGATCGTCGACTGATCATTGACACCGTGGCAACACGCCGGCACGATGCGACTCTAACTGACTGACCGCGTGCGTCCGATCGTCACAGAGAACTACCACGGCTCTAACACTGTATATTTAGTTCTTGTGCTCATGTCGGTGGTAGGGGGTGTTTTCGTAGTATTTACTCTGATGGCTCTCTGCTACAGGTCAGTCGTAGTACATAAAAACTACTCCCTCTGTCTCAGGTTAGTGTGCAGAAACATACACGTAGAAACTTTTTTGTATGCGTATCTATCTATCTATATCTATACATCTCTATATATATATTTATACGGAGTGCTCGGTGACAGGTGGACAAACGTTTCAGAGACTGATTGAACTCGCAACAAAACCGGTCCAAGGGCTGTTACTATCAGTCGGACTTATTGGTACTAGAGTACTCTGATGCAATAATTGAATCGTTGACAGTTTGACACAATTAATTGGTGTCTAACTGTTCATATTCAAACAAGCAAGTACTCAGGTACCATATCTGAATAGCAAGAGTTCTGATAATGAGCGATGATTAAGAGTGAAATGATTGCGCGTTTGCAGCTGCAAACTCGCCTAATGATGGCAATCCGATCAACAAGTCCTTAAAGGATGGTAACCTGATGGACAAGTCCCCTCAAGAAGGCAACCTGATTGACAGGGCCCTGTAAGGATGGCAATACGATAGGTAAGCCCCTTAAAGACGGCAACGCTGTCGACAAGCAACCTAAAGGTAACACACTGGTTCGCAAGGCTTCATAAGGACGGCAACGCGATTGACAAGCCCCTGAAAGACGTTTCCCCGATCAACACGCTCCATAAAAGCGACCACCCAACCGACACCGACAGCAGGGTTAACAGAACTAAGAAACAACTCGTTGAGAATACAGTAATATTGGATCGCTATCATTTAGGAGCTTGTTGAAACCCTGAATAACTATAAAACGAAACGCTAACTGCCTAGCGCGATCATTTTACTCTCAAGATTCGGCTCGCATCCGGTCACGGAGATAATCAACCCTGAAACCTCTTTCCACACTGTTGTCGAGAAAACCGTATACATATATATGCATAGAGAACAATGATACATATTTACATGTATGCCTCTCTTTCTTTTTCTCCCTCTCTCTTAATTGACAACTCACACAGAACATACACACAGACATCCACACGCCTAACACACAGTGCATATATATTTACATGTATATCTTTAGAGTCCGTAACTGTTATTGTCTTTCTCTTTTTCGCTTCCTATCCTTCAGTTTGGTATCGATATTTGTTTATCCATCTGTTCCCTTGGTTTTACTCCTCACTGTGTGTATTCTGTACCAGTCCACCGATAAAACGATCCACACGCTCTGTGCCAATGATTTCTCGCAAGCGGTCAATGGCTTCACAAGCATCGCCGCTGCCGCAGGCTGCGATACTCGTCGCAACGAAACCAGCAATGAAACCCCGAAAACAATTTGCTGAAAGCAGAAACAAGAGATATTTTCCACTCTTTTTCTCTCTCTCTCTCTCTCTCTCTCTCTTTCCTCTCCCCCTATTTTTCTCTCTCTCTCTCTCTCTCTCTCTCTCTCTCTCTCTCTCTCTCTCTCTGTCGCTCGTCCCAGTATGACGATTGATTTCTCCATCCGTATTCCCAGTGTTGCTATTTGATCTTCGCTACGACCATGCCCTTACCCCTAAAATGCAACGCTTGTGCAGCAAAACGCAGCGCCGACAAACTTGGCTACCCGGATATCAGAGTATATGTTGACTCTATCGCTTTCGCAGAATCGTCTACACAGAAGCTTCACTCTGCTTAACCGATGGTCATTCACAGTCGTGTTCGCCGTATGCGATTGCAACAGTCTGACATTCAAAGAAAATACAACTATCCACACCTCGATGGATGCACAAATGTACAGCTGGCAACAGGGACCAGGGGCTTCCCATATGCCCTGTGCATTGTCGGCTGAACATTTTACAAAGGCTTGCTCCGGTCCGCGAGTGCTACAGAGGTGTCAAAAAGACGACAATAACAATTAATCAATGCTCCGAATACTAATCAGATAATTATCTTTAGTACTCGAAGAGCCCGTTGCACCTCTGTGCAAGCGTACCACAGGAGCAACAGCGACGCAGAAGCAAGTTTGTATTGTTGAGGACACGCATACTCGCATACTCTGATCCGGTGAGAAAGGATAGAGGAGGGGCGAAGCCTACTGCTCTGTCGTCAACTGTACAACTTATAGATTCACTTTCATTCTCTTCCTGTCTTTCTTTCTCTCTCACTATTCGATTCTGTGAATTCGGTTGATGGTTACTGCAGCGGAAAGCGGTTGGTCCCAGAGTGGCTGAAAAGACCCAGCTGCGGGCACGCGCCACTCAACTGGTTATCTGTTTCCGTTTTTATGCATGCTACCACCACCTATGGATCCCCATAGATCAGCGGCAAATGCTTTGCTAGATCAGACAACATTGGAGCAATCACGCAAGCAGAACGTTCGGTTCCTTCTGGTGTGTAGCTCCAGTGATCGTTCTTCGAGCGATGACACCTGCAAACATTAAGACTAGAATTAGGCAAAGTAGAACTGGTGGAGTATAATTTTAATACCGCTGACTTTTTTTCACTGTTTTGAACAGATAAATTACAATATATATATATATCGGCAGCCACGATTACTTATTAGAATGATACAGTTGTTACAGGTCGATCAGAAGCTTGAACCGAACGGACCGCGCTTATTTATGATAGAATACAGCGCACGTTAAACTTATAATTTCTCAAAGGACTCGTGGACAGTATACGTGACTAGCTGAGACATACAAACTGAAGACGATCCAATACCGGTGCAGAAAGTTAGATCTTTCTGGTATCCGATCACGTATGCTGTCTATCTAAAGATTTCACGCTAAAAGGAACGAAGAATTTCCCCAGCTCGTAGTCTGCATGCGCTTCTTAAATGATGTGTCTTCTAAATGGTGTATGTCGCCGATCACGGGAAACTGACTGCCTCGTAATCCGGCGTTTTCTCGCAGAAGGAAGAGCACCGTCCAGAAATACGATCTGCCGTACGTGAAGAAAACGCCGCCGAAAAGCTACACCACTGTTTCGAAGGACCGCCATCCGGAACACGAAGTGCTGGACACCATCAACTCTGACATCCTCGATTTCAACAGTATGCCTAATTACAGGTACGATAACACGCGCGAAGACCACGNTCTCTCTCTCTCTCTCTCTCTCTCTTTCCTCTCCCCCTATTTTTCTCTCTCTCTCTCTCTCTCTCTCTCTCTCTCTCTCTCTCTCTCTCTCTCTGTCGCTCGTCCCAGTATGACGATTGATTTCTCCATCCGTATTCCCAGTGTTGCTATTTGATCTTCGCTACGACCATGCCCTTACCCCTAAAATGCAACGCTTGTGCAGCAAAACGCAGCGCCGACAAACTTGGCTACCCGGATATCAGAGTATATGTTGACTCTATCGCTTTCGCAGAATCGTCTACACAGAAGCTTCACTCTGCTTAACCGATGGTCATTCACAGTCGTGTTCGCCGTATGCGATTGCAACAGTCTGACATTCAAAGAAAATACAACTATCCACACCTCGATGGATGCACAAATGTACAGCTGGCAACAGGGACCAGGGGCTTCCCATATGCCCTGTGCATTGTCGGCTGAACATTTTACAAAGGCTTGCTCCGGTCCGCGAGTGCTACAGAGGTGTCAAAAAGACGACAATAACAATTAATCAATGCTCCGAATACTAATCAGATAATTATCTTTAGTACTCGAAGAGCCCGTTGCACCTCTGTGCAAGCGTACCACAGGAGCAACAGCGACGCAGAAGCAAGTTTGTATTGTTGAGGACACGCATACTCGCATACTCTGATCCGGTGAGAAAGGATAGAGGAGGGGCGAAGCCTACTGCTCTGTCGTCAACTGTACAACTTATAGATTCACTTTCATTCTCTTCCTGTCTTTCTTTCTCTCTCACTATTCGATTCTGTGAATTCGGTTGATGGTTACTGCAGCGGAAAGCGGTTGGTCCCAGAGTGGCTGAAAAGACCCAGCTGCGGGCACGCGCCACTCAACTGGTTATCTGTTTCCGTTTTTATGCATGCTACCACCACCTATGGATCCCCATAGATCAGCGGCAAATGCTTTGCTAGATCAGACAACATTGGAGCAATCACGCAAGCAGAACGTTCGGTTCCTTCTGGTGTGTAGCTCCAGTGATCGTTCTTCGAGCGATGACACCTGCAAACATTAAGACTAGAATTAGGCAAAGTAGAACTGGTGGAGTATAATTTTAATACCGCTGACTTTTTTTCACTGTTTTGAACAGATAAATTACAATATATATATATATCGGCAGCCACGATTACTTATTAGAATGATACAGTTGTTACAGGTCGATCAGAAGCTTGAACCGAACGGACCGCGCTTATTTATGATAGAATACAGCGCACGTTAAACTTATAATTTCTCAAAGGACTCGTGGACAGTATACGTGACTAGCTGAGACATACAAACTGAAGACGATCCAATACCGGTGCAGAAAGTTAGATCTTTCTGGTATCCGATCACGTATGCTGTCTATCTAAAGATTTCACGCTAAAAGGAACGAAGAATTTCCCCAGCTCGTAGTCTGCATGCGCTTCTTAAATGATGTGTCTTCTAAATGGTGTATGTCGCCGATCACGGGAAACTGACTGCCTCGTAATCCGGCGTTTTCTCGCAGAAGGAAGAGCACCGTCCAGAAATACGATCTGCCGTACGTGAAGAAAACGCCGCCGAAAAGCTACACCACTGTTTCGAAGGACCGCCATCCGGAACACGAAGTGCTGGACACCATCAACTCTGACATCCTCGATTTCAACAGTATGCCTAATTACAGGTACGATAACACGCGCGAAGACCACGTGTAAACTTTGCCTCGGTTGATCCGCCGATCTCTAGAATGACAACACTCGTAGGCCGCGGCATTTAGATCCATCAGCGACGACTCGTAGTCTCGAGAAAGGCTCCCAAACGGCTCCGGTACAGTTCACCTGAACCTCTCCTCTTGATATTGTTGGAGAGCTTCAAGTCGACGCTCTGGAGAGAGCTTTCTCCACATCTCTATCGTTTGCCTGCTCAATGTACGTCCGCAAGCGAAATAACGCTAACTTTCGTCCCTCTTAAACGTTGTTTATCTTCTAATCATACAATGAGCAGACAAGATAGATTTCTACATATATATTTCGTAACGCTTCTCAGAGGCAGACTAGGGAAGACCCCTGCTACAGACTAGTGTTGGAAAATGATCCATCAACGATCGCCAAAGACACACATCTCGCTTCTACTTTATCTATTGGTTCTCCATTAATGTTCTGCGTCACACGAGTTCACGTTCACACGGCATTCATTCGACATCAACAGAGAGAGAGAGAGTCTCGTTTGCAAGTCGTCGATTGTTCTCTCCCGCGACACAAGAGAGAAAAACAGACATTAAAGAGAAAAGAACCGTTCTTGCTCGAGGAAGAGCAGGCACCAACGGCCTGTGTCCGACGAGTCGTCTGTCCAAAAGCTGCTAATTTTCTGTACTCGGTGGAAGATGACGGTTCCTTCCAATGAGTTTAATAATGTAAAAAAAGGAACCAAAGACGGCTCGTCGCGTCTCTCGGGACACGAGCAGGAACAAGCTAAAGACACCGTCCGCGGGCGCTCCGTTTTTTTACACAGCTTTCAATAACCCTTTGCGGTCGATGATCGCCTCGCTGCTTGTCCCTGAAGACGGGCTCCCTAGTGGAACCCGACCGCAAAGGGTTCTAGGATCGTGGAATACCCGCGGCATGCCTATATTAGTATATTTCTAGCCGCCCCGAGACCCAGCGCGTGGTGTTTCACCCGAATAACGTCGCCACCACAGACGAGCCAAGATTCAAGTAAGTCTCATGTGTCTCGCCGTTATGTCACCATAGTTGATCGATGATCTCTGACTCGAACACGCCCTCCTGGCCCCCTCATCTCTCCCTATAGGACGAGCCAGGACCCATGGAATGTCTCTACGTTGGTCTCTCCTCGGTTCAGGGGAAACAGAAGCTCCGAGGAGTCCTGGCTTGTACCGTTCTTGCTCCTAAAGGGACCACACGAAACAATATAAGAGGAAATTTCGAGGCAGAGAGAGACACACTCACTCGCTCACACGACTCGGTTAAGAACACATGCGATCACGGAGGATCGACGCGACTATGTTTTCGCGAGGGCCTGTAAAAACATGTAGTAAACTCTAACTCGAAAACTTGACACTGCGAGAACGGTACATATTCGTTTACAAATCAAATTCGCTAACACACAATTCAATGAGACTGACATTTCCGACAAGAATCCGGCTTGTGTCAAAGTAACGAAGGTCGAGGCGTTCATTCTGTTAGCGTATCGCATAACGGCACGATGCATTTGGACCGAGCTTCGATACGTCACGAGGTGGGCATTTTTCCGTGTGTTAGAGCAATCATTTCATTCCCGAGATACAGGCCATGTTTTCATCGCATCGATATCTACATAGACTACAGTAGAAACTATTATCTTTCGCCGTAACCGTGTAGCTCTGACTGCCCGTTCTCTCGTTTCTGTTTCTGTTCAGCATCGGCCAGTACATTTTATAATTGTGCAGTGTATTCCCTCTCCAGCGTCGCAGTTTTAGGAAGTTTTGCTGTTCCTCTGTTGAAGATCTTAGGTTGTGCGACACTAAGGAGGACATACTCTGAGTTTCTCGCGCGAACATGGTACAATACGGAATAGTGTGACACAAACAGAGTTCTGTGATGATGTTACGCTACTCCGGATGGTACTGCAAACACACAACCACGCACATACACAGACATACACCTGCTATGATTTCAGTCCATGATAGAAATGAAGAAAATGCATGCGTAGAATTGCTGCTTGGTACTCTATTTCTATCTCTATCTGCCTCTCTTTCTTTCTCTCTCACCACCCCTCGGCACAGCATGTGTTTTCTTTTCAATTCGACGCACACGTCATCGAAATTCGAAACTCACACAAAAATATGGCACACTCTAAGCATGAATAATTACTTTCTCTTATCCCCTCGAGCCATTTACAAGAGAAGAACGTATTAGTCTTACATTGTACAAAAACCTTGAGACGCTGTTCGCTTAATAGTTGCACTCGCTCTTAATCCGACCAAACAAAACCGATAATTATTATTATTCTTGTACCGCAGAGATTGTTGCCCATGGAATGGCGAGTTTCTTTCTAAACACAATTGAATGAGAAATGTTGATTGAAGCGATTACAGAATAATCAAATATATAGATTCATCTCCGCCATTCACATGCAACAATGTGACGCAGAATCTGTAGGATGGTTCAGAGAAGCAACCACTGTTGAGAATGAAACAATGGTGTTGCCAGCCACAAGAATTTCAAATACAGGAGATACGTGTTCCTTGAAATGCACAGCTTTTCACAGAGCAATCTCTGAACCGTCCTATACATCTCCCACGGTATTTACAGACCGCCACGCGCTCACGGACGTCGCTCATGTTCTTGCTGCCTCGAGCCGCGTTTTAATTGGTAGCTTGATTAGCGACCAAAGAAGAAAGCGGTGGGTGCTGTGCGATATCCGTGGGCGGAGAAACGAGTTGAATGAATGTCAAGTTACCTAAATCGATGAGGAGAAGAAGTGTAGATCCGTCGCTAATTATAACTTTTGTCATCTCTCTTTGTTTGAACTGTTTTTAATCTGCCACCGAAAAGACTAATAATTATATTAAATTCAAGGTATATATAAATAGAAGTAAACTCGTTTCTTAAACCTCGCGATGCACTCGCAACGCCGGGAATTGGTTGTTGAACATAAGATAAACGAATCAGGTCAGTCGGCAAAAGTCGTGATATCAATTGTTCGCTTGTCTGGCCGTTTTCAGGGAGCATAAGCCGATGAGGACGCCTGGCATAAACGAGGATGAAGGCGGCACAGGAGGGGAGGATGTTGTCTCTTTCATTGATCTGCAAATGAACAAGCCGAGGAAGAAAGGAATTCTAAAAACACAACCTGGTTACGGTACTGTGATAGCTGATAATCCCATTGATGGTTCATCCAAACCTATGGAGGGAGGGTGTCGCGGCAACCCTAAAAATAAACTATTTATGTAGCTCCAATTCTAGTTTCGTGATACATTTTCAGAATGAGGAAACCGATACCTTTACAATGTGTTTCATATTAGGGCCCTAGTTTCTGTATACCAACCCTCCATGTCTGGTAGATTTTATACCAAGAAACTGAGAAGATTCTAATCAGTATTGTAATTGGAGTACAGAAGGAGGTGCTGTGGTGAACCTGGAACGCACTCTGGACCGGTTGAACGGCTACCACGAAAACATCATGGAGGCCCTGAGAAATGCGAAGACCCGGCAAGAGCTATCCGGAACAAGTACCGCCAGCGGAAACCTGGTGACCGACCAGATCTCGCGCAAAACTCTATCGGAATGCGAGTATCCGACCCCCTGCCACAATGATATGGACGGTCATGACGATAGCGGCAATCAGGATGGCGATGATGGCAGAGGGGAGGGCAGCTGCAGTATACTACGCATCCGCAATCTGGAGGATTTAATCAAGCAGTTGGAGCGTCACTCGTCCCGCCAGATTAACTTGAGTCCCTGCGGCTCCGAGGAAATGCGGATATCCGAGAGCGAGGCCGATCGTCACTACAGGATAGATTCGTCCGTTTGTAGCGAGTCCTCCCAAGGGTAAGAACTGACAAGCGAAAGATCGACAAGCTTCATCCGCCACGCTTAAATTCTCTCTTCTCCACCTTCTCTTTCTCTCTCTCTCTCGTCGCTTCCATATCGTTTTCGATCGGCTGTTCTTTGCTTCGCGATCATCCCTTCCTCAGCTGGCCTTCGGAGAGACCCCGAGATTCAGATTGCGATTACCATCTATTTCTAAAACAAGAACAACTATATATAATACTGTTGCCTTGTTCTTATTCGAACTCGAGGATACTAAGGGTCGAAACACACTTGCATGCCAAGCTCGGGTCGTGCTCCAAGGCCGAGATATTCTTTCATTTGGTTTACATTAGAGTTCACACTGTCCAGCCAATACTGTTGGCCTAGAGCACGATGAAGCACGACCTGAGCCTAGCCTGTAAAGTGTGTTTCGACCCTAACTCTCCTCGCACCGGCTAGGAGTTGCGTTTCTTGTATTTGCCATCGTTGCTTACATTTTCTCTTCTCTGACCAGAGTTTTTGTACTTTTTCGCTTTCTGGATTACGCCTATATTGTTCCTGGTGGGAAATATTCAATAATAATTAAATGAAAATATATATGATTCATCGTTAACACAAAATTGACACTAAATGAGTTGAATTGAATACTTTTTGCCAGGGATGTAGTAACATGGTACCATCTCCTTGGGTAAACTTACCTCGCCGATCATGAGAGATCGCGGACACAAAGTCTCTTTGGTAGTTCATCTGAAATCAGAATATCGGTGCTAATCATGAGAAACATCCTTGAGAGACAACGAGATAATACCATACCACCAGATACGCTACAAGTAGCGTTAGCGTAGTGGTGATTGTATATCACACGGGGCCACCTTGTCAGCTACATTTCGGCAAGGGTTCACTTGCACGATACTCGATGATGCAGAGTCTGTTTATACCGTGTGCGTGGATCATTCCACGCCGAATCGATTAATGAAAATGATATTCGCCGTGAAATGACCTGTGCGTGTCTTTCTTGGCTCCTCGCAGAGGCAGAGAAAGAGAGACTCTCTATTTAGGATAGTTAGATGCTCGTGAACGGGGACAATGTAATGATTAATATCACCGTCCATCGGATAGACTTCTAAAGGAGTTTCTGATTCGATTTCCCACGTAGAAGCAGAAGGTGTAGCCGCGCCCGCGACGATACCTATGGTCGGTGCCGTCAGCCGTCGTCTCGAAGTCCTTACGGCACCCACCAGCACTCTCAACACTCCCATCAAATGCAAGTGGAGGAGGGTATCTATGAAACTGCCGACCCTGACAGAGGCTCAAATGCTAGGGGTGAAACGCCCGATAGTGAAAGGTATCTCTGCAGATTCTTTCGATACAAAAACGAAACGGGCTTGTCGTCTCCGTAGATAGTCAGAGAAACCACTGAATCGTAGTTGAACACCAACCCGTGATCGTTAAAGACCTTTACGCATACAATCCCCTCAGCAAGTCTCCTCTGAGCAAGCCAGTTCCAGCCGATTAGCATTGGAAACCAAGATCACGTGTGTCAATGATCATTGATCGTAATCCACTTTTCTCCCTGATTCACGCGACGCGAATAGAATAGCGAGCGACTGTGTTCAACTTCTTCAAGGTCCAAATGTTTCTTCCTCTTGAAAACATCTGAAAGTACAATCATTTTATTGTCATAGAAAACTTTGTTACTGTGCATAAGGAAGAGATACAACCTTGAACAGGCGAATAACGCATTGCTCCCCACATTAATTTCCATCACTGCTATCTATTCAGATAAGGATTGGTGCATGAGGCTAGGGAAACGACGACGGCTACCTCGAAGAACATTATTCCAAATGTGAATAAAGTATCAAACGGGATATAAATAGACTCGGCATACTCCTCGTCTTTTCTATTCGATGAAATCCGCTACCTTAGCCGGAGTCGAATCACATGGTCGAACGCGGAATTGAATACATCAACTTTCTCGCATGCTACTACTCTACCGCTTCAGCTGCTTGTGCAATGCGCTGTGAATGTGCTCGCAAGTCATCTCGGGTTTACTAGAAAACTATAGGCCTCCTATTTAGCGCTCAAGCAGGCGTTTGTAGAGCGTGTTCATTCGATACCAATACCGAGTACTGAACAGTGCCTGTCGCAAAAACAGAGACTTTGGGACTAAGATTGTCTGCGGTTTACGACGCGCTAGAACGATCCGGCACTCATCCTTATCTGAAGCTTTCCTTCTCCGACGATCATGCGACGATCGTTTACAATTGCATTAAGCTTCGCACAATGGCTAGACAGCTTTCTGTGTATTTAACGCGCATCCACGTAGGTATATGTACGTGTCATCTTTTTCTTTTATCGTGAAGTACCTTTCATCCTAGTAAATTCTCTATGGAAGATGACTGTGTACATAGACGTGCGTCATATTAGACGGTGGATCATGCAAAGGGTTACTCATTGGACAGTGAAATCCTTACGAATAGAGCAGCTCTGTCCAAGTGTACAGGGTATATCGAGGCTTTGATGACCATCCATTAAACGAGCAACTCCTTTCCCTTAGATTATGTTCCTCTCGTGGAGAACATCTGTGAAAAAGCTACAATTAGATTTATCAATGCATATACAGATTGTAAAAGGTAAAGCGTTTTTCTCACCCTGTATGCAGCTTGGAAAGAGTTGCCGTTCCAAGTAGAGAGTGTGTGATCACATGGTACTGATCTTTAATGAGGTAAGAGGCCGAGTCCAATGATTAGGAGCTTGCTGAAGGCGAGTATATCCGCGTGTCCGCGGCCTAGACGCGCGTATGCAGCATTAGTGGTCGTGGAATAGATCCAATGGGCTCGTGTAATCTTGTTATTTTCTAGTGATGCATTTATTCAAGCTCAACAACAACTAGCCCGATGGACTAGTGAGGACGGAGTGCAGCACCGACCACCGCAGCAGCCGCCACCTCCACTGCCACCTGCAATGACTGGTGGTGGTACGATGCAGTTGTTGCAGCCACTCCATGGCCAATGCGAACACCACCAACAGTTGCAGCACCAGCAACGTCATCACCATCACCATCATGCACAGCCATTGCAGCCGCAGCAGCAGCCGCAGCAGTCGTCACTACAGCATCAACACCAACTGCCGGTGGAACAACTGCCAATACAGCAGCGTGGCTATTATCCATCCCCACCCCATACCGACAACAATGGTCTCGACAATGACGAGACTGAAAATGCTCAATCCCATCAACAACAAAAGCTCCTCCCCGACGTTCGTGGAATCGATGTTAATCACTTGCCTAATATTAACAAATGCCCACTAGACGATACATTTAGTCTAGATTGTAACATAAATAATGGTTCCCCTAAAGAATTAAATACCAACAACACTAGTGATAACGAAAATACTGCCCTACTGCCCCCTTCGCATTTTCCCGAGTACAAGCATTGATAATTATTAATCGATGACAGATAGTGTCCATAAAACATAGTGGTGTGATTTAATCTTGAACTCGCATTTTATACTGAATAGTGTAAATATAACGATAAACTTATTCGATCGCGACAGCGCAAGAGCAACAACAAGAAAACAACAACAGCAGACAGGTATTAAATTATAATGAATTAAAATAATCTATATGAAATGTTTATTAATAAACATTAGTAAAGCGATTTACTCAAAGATACGTGTCGCTGTAACTTCATTATACATATACGTACTTACCTTCCAAATTCTCCTCTGGATTACATTCTTTCATTGCCTTTCCATCGTTTCTTGTATAAATCAGCATAACATATTGAGTTTCCATGCAATTCCAATTTGTTGATCAAAATACCTCTGCAACTTTTTCAAAAGGGATTTAAAATTCATCGTCCACAGTCAGCATCGTCGAAAGTGAAGAGCCAAGAATAAATTTAAATTTCTATTCGAGAATCGCAATATGTAAGTTCATTTGATAATCGAACAAACCGCGTTCGACAATCGCGACAAATTTATTCGATAATCGAATGAACAGCGTTCGAGAATCGCAACTAACTTTAATTCGATTTTAATTTAGTTTTTAATCCATCGACTATGTTCATGATAAGTCTACTTACAGACGCATGCGTGCTGTGAATTGGTTCTCGCAGGACACCGTACGCAGTTTCCTCTCTATAAAAGTGCTGTGTGCTGTTGTGTTTAATGGTATGTATAGGAACACTGAGGATGGTTTAGGGTGTTGGTTTGTTAACGGAGCGCTGTTGGGTGGACTTTCTCGCTTTCTACCCCAGCAAGGGATACAGAATTTGATTACATAGAAAACAGTGAAGAATCTTCGTTAATTGGACTGTGGATCGAGCTCCGAAGACGGTGACAGAATCGATGCTGAGCGAAACAAGAAAGAACTACGAAGATCGATTCAATTGACGTTTCATCGTTTCTCAGACCCTCTTTCAGAAACATGCTTCGGACACATTTTTGAATCGTGCCGCACGATTCACGCAGATTGTTCTTTAGTTGATAAAGATGTGCGACACACGAGTTTGAGCCTCACCGTACGATGCAGTCCATTTATTGGACCGGGAGGCTGCTGTCTCGGGCGATATGGAATGGTATATCAAATTATACAACTTGTGCCGATCCTAACGCGAGCAAACGTCGCGAGGCATCATTTATATCAGCAGTATGTGGTTTTCCCAAAGACTTCTCGCGAGGACGTATACGCAAGGGTCAATTCGGTGACGATGCTTGGTTCAGTGCCAAATTCAAGGCTGTTGAAGTAATAGGTAATGTTAATCAAATACCCTAGTGATTATATAGAACCCCATTGTTTATATAGAATTCTCCAACTAGTGAATACCTTCTTTTTTTCTACTGTGCTTCGTCTATTTGATGCATCTCTAACCATTTTGTTTACAGGTGTAGCAGATGGTGTAGGGGGATGGAGGCATTATGGAATCGATCCAGGAGAGTTTTCTAGCTTTTTAATGAGAACTTGCGAAAGACTAGTGTCTATGGGCAGGTTCACACCTTCCGAGCCAGCTGGTTTATTAGCACGTAGCTACTATGAATTATTAGAAAATAAGCAACCCATATTAGGTACAATAGGCGTCTTGTAATTTTTTACTAAAAAAAATTTAGAAATTCATTGCAGGGTAATATCGGAAAATGTTGTTTCAGGTAGCAGCACGGCATGCGTTATAGTCCTTAATAAAGAGACAAGCAGCATTTACGCGGCTAATATTGGCGATAGCGGTTTCGTAGTTGTAAGGAAAGGGGAAGTAGTTCATCGTTCTTCCGAACAGCAACACTACTTTAATACTCCATTTCAATTGTCTCTTCCACCTCCAGGACATTCTGGTCTGGTACTTAGCGACAGGTATATTATTTTTCATAGAAACAGAAAGTCTGAGGAGCATTTAGATTATTGAAATCTGAGTGTCCTATACATATAGCTAATTTCCATTTATGCTTCAGTCCGGAATCTGCAGATACATCAAGTTTTGGGGTCGAAGACGGTGATGTGATTCTGTTAGCAACCGACGGAGTTTTTGACAATGTGCCTGACCAATTGCTTATCACGGAAATGCGTAAAATCCAAGGGGAAAGAGATCCTACCAAAATACAAGGAGTTGCCAATTCAATAGCCTGGATGGCTCGTAGTTTAGCTTTCGATGGCGCATTTATGTCTCCATTCGCCCAAAGTGCTAGAGAGAATGGAATTGACACTATAGGTATGCAATCCTATTAATATACCAAAGATACCACAGAATAATGGATAGATTTTAAATATTAGACATTATTGTCTAGTGCATTGCACATTATAGACGCTCTTTTGTTTACTTACAATACAAATGGCTTTTCAATAAAAAATACATACAATTTATTCATAGCATACATTTCACAATTTCTTATATCTTACGTATGTACCTATCTCTTATACTTTGGTGATGACTTTGTATTAACTTTATCCTCCTTCTATATAGTACCTTAAATATTGTTCAATTCTTGCACTTAAAACAAGCAGCTTATACCAATGTATTGCTTGATAGAATAATTAACATTTCACCGACAAAAAAAACTAATGAATTTGCAATAGATATAAATAAACAACATATTTTTACTTATTCTGAATGCATATGTTAATGGTGAAAATTTATTTTTAGAAATAACTCAAGCGTATTGTTGAGAGTGTATATCCACAATGTGTTTTTCTTTTTGTGTTTTTCAGGTGGTAAGCCAGACGACATTACAGTGCTTTTAGCAACGGTGGCAATATAATATAATATGTACAATAGAATCTTGATCATTGTATTATAGTCCATGTCATTGCGTATATGTACCTAGTTATACATCATTATATCCTGTTATGATAATCATTTATTATTTAAATCGAAATAAATGGTTTTGTAAATCAGTTTCTCTATTTCATCAATTTCATTTGCAATCATGTATTGTTGGCTAAACAATATAATAACTATGTATTGTATAGCACAATAACATAACTAGGCGGCACTGTAATGCATTACGCGGATAAAATGTTCAGAAAACTGATAGTAAGTTATAAGAAGTATTATATAAAAGATAATCATAAGAGATAAATGCATTGAATGTTTTCTGCAAACAGGTTCAACACGAGTGTATATATGTACTATTATGCACATATCAATGATATACAATGTATACATACAGTAATATGTCAGACTAAGTTGAACCATTTTATTTAATTGCAATGATCATATAAATAACAATTTTACCTAGTATTTACAAAATGACTATTATTTGGTAAGTCAAATAATTATGCAGGTGGAAATTCATTGCAACGATTTATGGCTTCTTTCACTGACATACATTTTGTCACAAAAGGTTTGACCAATGTATTTCTCTGGTACACATTACGGATGCATTCATTTGATTGGCAATTCACGAAAACATCACAGCTTTCGCCATCAAACGAAAAGAGAAACAAATCAATTTCCATTAATAACTATACACTGTGTGTAACGAAATGTACCTAAACGCATGTATTCCGTTAGAATACATATATGTATATATATTATATTACAACTCATTATAGACTTTGTTTCCCATTCATACATACAAGCCACAAACACCAGCAGAAAAAGCAATGCTATATTACAGTTTATTGAAATTTACTGGTTTTTATGAAACTATAACTCACAAGTACCTTGTAATATTTTTTTCTATCAAATGCCCATAGAAAAGAAGAGACTGTGATGTATTTTATCGTCATTAGCAAGTATGTACCACGCGTTCTGCTGACGAATACGTTATCAGATATTAACAGAGATAAAAACTCAATTACTTGTCTAAAGTAGCTGAATAAATAAGAATATTTACATCGCTCGATAGCAAAAGGTTTTTACACTAGAACTCTTTTTGGAATCAGGGGTTTCAATTTCATAATTCTGGAAAAAATTAAAAAATTAGTGCATACCTTGTTGTACGAACAATCTGTTTTTAACAGAAGGTATTACAGATTAAGGACATAAGGGTTGCAACTTTCTATGTTCAGTTAAAATTGTATATTATTCAGGCACAATAGTGTAGCAAAAATTTATACTGTGCACAATATTTGTAACAATCACGAAAACAGCATTAAATTAAATTTATGAAAACTTAAATACATTTTTCTTAATTAATAAGATAAAGAAAAGTGAGAAATAAGACGGTTGAAATCATTTTTACAATTCTACTATAAATTTTGTACTTTGTAGGTGTTTTGCAAATTATATATCTATTACAATCACCACAAATAAATACAAAAATACAGAACACGAAATACGTTTTTTTTTTTTCATTTTATGCATTCAATTCTGAAAACCGTCAGTATTATATAATAAATGTATCACAATTGTCGATTATCTGAGAAATACTGTTTCCATTTATAATTATTAACGTGTATTACATTTAATACCGAAGTTTCCTGTGAAAAATTGTAACCCCTGTAAAAAATTGGAAGTCTTATCGTCGTTATAGGTATCCTCTATACTTCGCATAGTATTGTAGACAAATGGTAATTACTTCGTACTTCTGTTAGTTATTGGGGAAATCAAGGAACAATGTTGTATATCTAACCCTTTGCGGACGAGTGCCGTCAAGTAGCCAGCTAAGTCTTTTTCCCGTTGCGGACGTGTGTCGACAAATAGCCACTCAAGTCTGTTCACAGTTACGGACATGTATAAGCGGCTCGCGTACATTTATCTTTCTGAGCGATAAGATACGCATGGGTATAGTAGACTAAACAGTATTATGTTTTCTTTTTCAATGGAAATTAGAGATCTTTAGAGGTGAAGTCTTATATTTCATTTAATGAAAACTCTCAGTGATACTACCAGACGAATCAGTAAGTCTTTTATATATTTTATACTTTATAACATCCTTTACACAATGCCTAAAAGATTCAAAGAGGACATGTTCGATAGTGATAATAGACGAATATTATCTTGAATCTGACAAGTTCGAAGATGATGGCAGTGCTTCAGACAGTGGAAGCGAAATTGTTGGAACAAAGAATCAGATCAAACGTTTCAATATTTTCAGTGATAGTGATAGTGAGCATGAACTAAATATTGACAACAATAATGAAAGCCCCGACAATAAATGGAAGAATGTTACAAATAAAGTAGCGCATCAATACCTCTCGACCACAGCGATGCTCGCTCGTCGAGCGACTCTGTCCGCAAAGGGCTAATAATAGAAAAGATTACTTGATATGCCAATCAGTAAGAGATGATTTGGAAGCAGGACTTCGAATTTTGAATCACTGCACGTTGGCTTCTTGTCCCCAATTAAATCTTTCGGGACGGTCTTCGGGCGGCGGGGTATAGTCTGGATCCTCTGGATGTGCGTCGAACAAAGTCTTACTGCCGGCAAACAGTAATAACATTGTAAATAATTGAAATACATTTGTTTTATCATGTCGTGGTAGAACTTACAGTATTTGCGGAGTTTTAAGAACTCGGAAACCTCCTCTTAAACGTGGAAATACATCTTCTACAAAATAATACATGTGTCCTACTGCCATACCAACTAGATCTACCCATATTGTATTACCAAGAATTACAGTGAAACCGAGAAGCACCCAAGGCAAATACGGAGCCTAAAAAAAACATGGGAAAGTGACTTTTCTCTAAATTCAATGNAAACGAAATTTATGAAAACTTAAATACATTTTTCTTAATTAATAAGATAAAGAAAAGTGAGAAATAAGACGGTTGAAATCATTTTTACAATTCTACTATAAATTTTGTACTTTGTAGGTGTTTTGCAAATTATATATCTATTACAATCACCACAAATAAATACAAAAATACAGAACACGAAATACGTTTTTTTTTTTTCATTTTATGCATTCAATTCTGAAAACCGTCAGTATTATATAATAAATNAAACGAAATTTATGAAAACTTAAATACATTTTTCTTAATTAATAAGATAAAGAAAAGTGAGAAATAAGACGGTTGAAATCATTTTTACAATTCTACTATAAATTTTGTACTTTGTAGGTGTTTTGCAAATTATATATCTATTACAATCACCACAAATAAATACAAAAATACAGAACACGAAATACGTTTTTTTTTTTTCATTTTATGCATTCAATTCTGAAAACCGTCAGTATTATATAATAAATGTATCACAATTGTCGATTATCTGAGAAATACTGTTTCCATTTATAATTATTAACGTGTATTACATTTAATACCGAAGTTTCCTGTGAAAAATTGTAACCCCTGTAAAAAATTGGAAGTCTTATCGTCGTTATAGGTATCCTCTATACTTCGCATAGTATTGTAGACAAATGGTAATTACTTCGTACTTCTGTTAGTTATTGGGGAAATCAAGGAACAATGTTGTATATCTAACCCTTTGCGGACGAGTGCCGTCAAGTAGCCAGCTAAGTCTTTTTCCCGTTGCGGACGTGTGTCGACAAATAGCCACTCAAGTCTGTTCACAGTTACGGACATGTATAAGCGGCTCGCGTACATTTATCTTTCTGAGCGATAAGATACGCATGGGTATAGTAGACTAAACAGTATTATGTTTTCTTTTTCAATGGAAATTAGAGATCTTTAGAGGTGAAGTCTTATATTTCATTTAATGAAAACTCTCAGTGATACTACCAGACGAATCAGTAAGTCTTTTATATATTTTATACTTTATAACATCCTTTACACAATGCCTAAAAGATTCAAAGAGGACATGTTCGATAGTGATAATAGACGAATATTATCTTGAATCTGACAAGTTCGAAGATGATGGCAGTGCTTCAGACAGTGGAAGCGAAATTGTTGGAACAAAGAATCAGATCAAACGTTTCAATATTTTCAGTGATAGTGATAGTGAGCATGAACTAAATATTGACAACAATAATGAAAGCCCCGACAATAAATGGAAGAATGTTACAAATAAAGTAGCGCATCAATACCTCTCGACCACAGCGATGCTCGCTCGTCGAGCGACTCTGTCCGCAAAGGGCTAATAATAGAAAAGATTACTTGATATGCCAATCAGTAAGAGATGATTTGGAAGCAGGACTTCGAATTTTGAATCACTGCACGTTGGCTTCTTGTCCCCAATTAAATCTTTCGGGACGGTCTTCGGGCGGCGGGGTATAGTCTGGATCCTCTGGATGTGCGTCGAACAAAGTCTTACTGCCGGCAAACAGTAATAACATTGTAAATAATTGAAATACATTTGTTTTATCATGTCGTGGTAGAACTTACAGTATTTGCGGAGTTTTAAGAACTCGGAAACCTCCTCTTAAACGTGGAAATACATCTTCTACAAAATAATACATGTGTCCTACTGCCATACCAACTAGATCTACCCATATTGTATTACCAAGAATTACAGTGAAACCGAGAAGCACCCAAGGCAAATACGGAGCCTAAAAAAAACATGGGAAAGTGACTTTTCTCTAAATTCAATGAAGCTTACTCTTACTTGAAAGTTTAGCAGTCCAAAAAAGTTGAGTCTAACGAATGGGTTTCGTCTCGACCACACATAAACCAACATAATCGTAAACGCATGACCCAGGAACAATAAGTTAACAAAAAATCCAAACATCTATAGATCTAGTTCAGAAAATCATCACATTTATAAGAAGGAGCTGACTAAACCAATATTAAAGGATACAATCATAGATGTGCCCCCAAAAATGAACATCATCACAAAGTCTGCTGTTCTTCTACGAAATGAACCCTCCTCCAGCATCCGACAATATCGGTACGTGAAGACCATGTTGAAGAAGAAATTGAAACCCATGTTCCCAAAGAATAAAAATGTCGTAATTAATCTCCATATCTGAAACATTCAACGCTGTATGAATGAAGCCATTGACAAAACACACACATTATTCTACAACGTTTCTTTACCTGATATTGTTCTATTATCAGTGTAGGATTAAAATATAGCCGAAACGGTGATACCAAATCTAGTTGCTGAAACCAGAAATAATCCAATGAGAATATGAATGCTTTGTGGACACCGGTGTGTTTGTTACACGCGGCAAAATTTTTGTGAAGCAATTGTTTTTACCAACCACTGCGAGAGTCGTGATGACACAGGCTGTTGTATAAGCTCGTGTCACCACAGGCATTTGCATGTACTCTTCTCGAAATGTTTGAAAGGCCATCGGTATGATAATTCAGATCTTCCGTACACCGAAAGACCAATATTCTTTCCAGGCTTCTCTTCTCTTCCACTTGAATTAATCGTCACATGTTGTTCGTCACTGTGCGTTATCTAAATGTAATCGTTACCCACATCACGACAAATTTGTTATGCTCGTTAGTTTCGTACACGTAATACGTGAAACTCGTCCTGATCGAATGACGTGATCTCTCGATTTCGCCACCGTTGCGCTATCGATAACGCTTCTTCAGTGTTCTCTTCTCTACCGCTAAAATTTTTCAAATTATGCCGAGCGGTTGCATGTCAAAAAATCTACAAGTCATCAAAATGGTTATCGGAATAGGAAACGGACAGGTTATTATCGAACAACACACACTCCGAACAAAGTGCATAGAGGAACATTTAGTATGGAAATGAAAAACACAATGATTGGACTGTGGACGTTGACGCAACGAAATCTATTCAAGCATGTAATTCAATTTTGCATCTTTAATTTAGTATTTTGTTGGAAATCATTCGTATTTTGAGCTTGAACATTCAATGAAAATAATATTCCGATATTCAGTTGATCATTAATAAGTATTTCCATTAATAGATACGAATCTTTTCCTTCTTTAGGAAAAACACTAATAGTGTAATGAATGTACTCAATCAGATTTCAGTACTCAAGCGTATTGAACATGCACTAATTCTGTATTTTTCAGTATGAATATGTAGTGAAATTTTGAATTGGATACTGAAAATTTAAAACCTACACCTTCCCGCGTAAAGTTAAAAAGCGTTTGCTGCCATCTGTACGTTTGTCAACATCTGACAACAGTTTATCGGATTGTATCAAGAAATTGAGGTTATCCTATTGAGTCATCGTTTGAAATGTTAACGAGAAACTAAATATATTAAAAGCTTCGTTGACTAAATGACTATTGCGGTCTTAGATATTTAAATATTTTAATATTTCTCGTTAACAGTAGAGTAGTGGGTGTGCCGTTGCATTTCGTTATCTGTCAAAATGATATCGAAAACCGAAGCTACTTTGGAACATTTTTACATATTTAATGGAACATACGCCAAAAAAGAAGGGGAGGCAAGTATATAGTATTTAGGTGTAAAAAAATAATTTTCCGAAAACGCGATTCCTTCTATCCAATATATGTATTGTGTAAACGAGTCACTCTGTGTCCTCTGTGCAGGAAGAGAAGAAGATACTTTACTATCATCATCATCCAGAAACGGATTTGGATGTTCAAATTAAAAATATAGGGCTCAGCGAAGCAATAATTAAGTTTGCAGAGTACGTATGTATTTTTATAAATGCCTGGAGGCTTATAGTCTATCGAATTAACAAATTGTTTCTGGATTTCTGTCCTTAGATCCTTCAATCCTGGACAGCCCTGTGATTATTGTCACACGCATAAAACTCGACAAATATATTACCAACCAGAGCCAAACTTTTGGATGGTAATGGTAAGTTATAGACAATAATCCATAATTGACTAGATTTTAAATATGTACCTTTAATTTTCAGATTATTGGTCTGCCATATGTGTGCAAAGAAAAAGATGGAAATAGATATATAGAATATCAGCACGATGAAGTGAACAGCAGTGTTTGCCAAGCTATATTAAAACAAGCATATGTTATGTTTAGATTGTTCATGGGTTCCTTTGAGACAATCATTAACGAACCAGAATGTGGCTCTATATTATTATTGAAACATAAGCTAGAACACTTTTACTCTAGGGTAAATATATGTTCATTGATTAACAAAATTTGTTTGTTAACAATGATACAATACATTTTGTTCACAGTATCTCATGTCCTTAAAAATACATAACAGCGACATTCTCGATGTATTCCAAGGTCTTCAATTTTTACCTCTTGATAAGATAACGTTTTTACGGGTGCAATGTTTTATGAATCTCGTAGAAGCTATGTTTTCTCAAGTCAAGTATACAGCATTTCTCTACAATGATCAAGTTGTCTGGTCAGTAATAATAACTGTTAATTATAATCGATGACGAGTGTTAACAATAATGCTATATTTATACACAGGAGTGGCCTAGAACCTGAAGATATGCAAGTGGTTTATAATTATTTGGTGGGAACACTTTTACAAGCTCATCTTGAGAAAGAATTGCATGGTGGTTCAATGCCTAGAAATTCTCCTTCACCATTTACTACTTCACACTATGGAAAGTTAGTATATTAGTGTAATAATTTTTTTTTGCATGGATGAGGCTTAATTTTCAAAATATTAACATTGCAGATTCGTTACTGGTCCATCTAATATCAATGAACCAAATTTGATTGGAAAGTCTCCAACAGTGTTTATAAATTATTCCACGAAGCCAATCTCGTTGTATTTAGTAGTTTATAGGGCATTGAGCGCAACGATATGTCTTTTTGTTGATAGTGAGTATTTCGAAAATGATTATCGGTGTTTGTATTCTCGTGTACACAAGAAATTATTACACGCTTTCTTCGCAGGTAAAACTAGCTTGTTGATAGATTTCTTTAAAAGTCTCGACAGTTTTCTTGGTCCACAATTAACTACTCTTGTTAGCTCAGTTGCGGAACAATGTGCTAAACACGTAGTAGTCACACCAGAGTCTTGTACAAAGTACCTGTATTTTAATAAACTCAATTTAGCCTATAAAAGCACGATACATCTGGATAATAGGCGATGTTCTAACGTACTCACAACACCTGAAGTATTGAGGGTTATCACTGATATATACAATGACACAAATAAGTTGGTATATTGTGTTAGATTAAGTATAATTTAATCTCCACATTGGAATATGTATTTTGTTTCGTTACAGATTGAAAGAAGCTGGTGAAATTGTGATAAAAACTATGAGCGGTTATTGGGTTGTAGGCAAATTATCTAACTTGAGGGAATTCTTCGTAGTTATTCAGCAAAAGAGTGCAAACTTTATTGAGATAGAAGGTATGTACTCGATACTTTACTCGTTTACCAATGTACCGGAGCTTAATAAAATTGTATATCTTTCAGAGGAGGTGAAAAGACTGTGCGACAAACAACTGAAAAGTATATTTTTTCATTAACGATCGCAGTATCGTATAGCTCCGTAAAGTTTCACACGATTGTTAAACCATTTCAATTGATCGCAAACAATACATATGTACATATATATATATTTATATATTCCAACTTGTATTACTGTAATTATAGAAAGTTACATAATTTATACATAAAATTTACTGTAAGATTAAAATTCTGTACATACGTATTTATATATATTTTTAATATATTCAGAAGTTGCTTGATCGGTGAGTTTTTTTCGAATATTTCAGTGATTACTTTAAAAAAATTTATTAGATTTCAATGTTAATCTAGCGATTCTTCATCATCTGTATCTTTTTTTCTTCGAACAATATTTGAGAACTTCTTCAATTTTGCAACAAAGAAACCGTCCATATTATGTACATGCGGATAAAATCTTTTCGTCAATTTTAGCGAGGGATGAAACCTGTGTTGTCTGTAGCTGGTAAAACCTTCAGTTCCAAATTCTAAACCAGTAGGTACTAGTTTAACGTCACGTTTCTTAAGAGCATAATCTACGATCCACTCGTTCTCCTCAGGCAGAATCGAGCACGTCGAGTAAATGATAATTCCACCAGATTCTGAACGAGCATTCGCACAGTCTATAGCTGACAAAAGTAACTCCCTTTGTAAAGTGCAACAACGTTGTACGTCCACTTCATCTTTGTTGGTCTTAACGCTAGGATCTTTGGATACAACACCAGTACCAGTACATGGTGCGTCCAGGAGAACTCTGTCAAATCCTTTGATCACCTAAAAATAATCAGATATGTCAAATCCGTAGATAACCGAGTAATACACGTATAATATATAATAACTTACCGATGGTATTTTACGTCCGTCATAAGTACAAATAACGGAATTTACAATGCCAAGTCTATGAAAATTACCAACGACAGCCTTTATTCTCTCCTCGTTTACGTCGTTCGAGAAAAGCACACCTGTGTTTTTCATGAGCGCCGCTATGTGCGAAGACTTCCCACCAGGTGCAGCACACATGTCCAAAATCCTTTCATTCTCCTTCGGTTCCAAAGCCATAACTGGTAATAAACTAGATGCACCCTGTATGATGTAATGACCTGCCAGGTATTCTGGCGTTGCACCCATTGGGACTTGAGAAGAATACACTACCAATCCAACTTTGGTCCATTTTCCTATCGGGTCCAGATTGACTCCTCTATTGATTAAAGCCTGAAAGATAATCATTGATAATAAACCGTCTGAGTAGAAGATTGAAAAAAATTGATTTAGTTAGAAAAATACTTCTGCTAAGTCGCGTCGACGTGTCTTTAACGTATTCGCTCGTAACGTCATAGGCCTCTGTACTTCGCTCGCTTCCAAAAATTCCAGTAGTTCGTCCAGTGGGAATATCTGCATCAGTTTTTCCATTAAAAAGTTGTTGTAACTGTAGTAAGTGCATAGGTCCTTCTTAAGTAGTTCCATGTATTCCAAACGAGACCTATAAGATAAGAGATATGAGAGTGCCTTTGTCAAACCTACAGCTAGCCAGTGATATACCTGTTGGCATCGCGTAATCTTTTGAAGTCTGACAAGATCATAACAACGTCCTTTATCCGCTGTTGGATATCCTTAAGATTAATAGTATTCGCGAGTTCTTCCTCGGTAGGAAAGGTAAAGTCAGATTGTTGTGCCATCATATCGTTCATTTCTTCTTCTGCCATTTTTCTAAAATTATAAAGAAAGTAAATAAGAGAAACATTTGGATCTATTGATTTAGAAGCGATATTTACTGTTCTTTTGCTTGTTTCTTCTTTAGCTTCTTATTTGCTTTTTCTATAGGCAGCAAATCATCATCTTCTGCACCCATATCTTCATCCTCTTCGGTTTCCATACTCTGATCAGATCCACCACTGCCAAGTTCTTCGTCGCTTTCCGCGATACCATTTTCATCTTCTGTATCGCTATCTAATAATTTCTTTTTTGTACTTTTATACTGTTCATTGTCTATGGTTTTCTCATCCTCTGATGCATTATCACCATCATTTAACAGTATTTCATTGTCTTCGTCGTTGGAATCGTCATTTTTAGTTGGTATAAATTTAATAGATTTCTTTTTTTTCTTTGACTGCTCGAATACATGTTCAATATTCTGAAATAAAATACATAAATAATCAATGTCGCTAACAATATAGGGACTTCAAATATAAAATGGAAATTTACTTTTCCATTTATTGCATTTTTTGCCTCTTGATGTTGCTTCTTTTTCTTTAGCTGTTTGGATACATCCCTAATACTCTAAAGACAAAAGAACACATATAATCAATATGTTTTATAATAAAGATCTTAAACATTAAATAAAAAACTTATTTACATTTGCTGTATCTTCAGTCTTCTCTTTCTTTTTTTTCTGCAACATCTTTGCATGTTCCTTCAGTTTCTGCTGTTTCAGTAGTCTTTTTTTTGCTCGTTGCTTCTGTCGGTGACTCAATTTTGTTTCTTCTTTGACTACGAAGGAGAGTAAAAGATTTTAGATATTTTACACATTACATTGTTTCAATCTCGACCTTTATATACTGTACTGTATCCAACAAGATGCATTTAATTGAGGTTATTAAATACAAAGAAAGTGTCATAAGCATATTAAAGAATTCAAGTAGAAAATGCTACATACCAAGAATTCCTTTTGGAAATGTTGGATCCTTCTGCTTCTTTGCTTTTCTTCCACGACCAGTTGGAATGGATGTCTCGTCAAATTTTGCTTTTCGTCCCATGTTGTTTCGGTTCTTTCAGTTGAAACCTGTTCAAATCGAACACGCGCAAATGTAACCTATAATTTGTAAATTTGTAAAAGACTAACGCTTAACCATGTGCGCGCCTGGCGGTGCACGATCGGCATTTCTTAATGTGACCAACGTTGAAAAAATGACTATCGTAGGAAGAAAAACGTTTCTACGTTGTTACTAACAAGACGTTTTTCAATTGTTTTTCTTTGTCTTCTCGATTTACGATGCACGTGGTGCTTAGTACTGTTTCGTACGTCGTAGAGGCAACATTCCGTGTTTCATCTTGACAAGATTATAAGTAAAAATCGCTAAAAATGCCGATAGTAAAGCAAGAAGCGCATCGACCAGGTGCGTTTAAGCAAACGAATAAGGCGCATAAAACTGGAAGACATCGTAGCAAAGGTTCAATAAGCAGTGATGTTAAAGGTAATATTATTTACAAGCTCGTTCATTTCAGATTATATTCCTGGAACATTCTCTGTAATTAATTTTATTCAACATTATTCAATAGGAAAAGTTAATGCGAAAGTTTTGTCGAAACGTGTGCGCAAGAACCTAGGAAAAGAAGCGCGAAGGCATCAGGCGTCACAAATTCGAAAACAAAAGAGGGAAGATGTCCTGCAACAGAAAAGAAATCTTGGAGGATCAGATTCTGCACCAATACTTATATGTGTTATACCGTTGCAAGTGGGCTTCGAAGTTCAGGATATGTTATCTCTATTAACAAAAGTAGACAAGACAGCAAATGTAATTACTAGTACTTGTGGTACAGTGCATATAAGGTATGCAATCGAAACTTTTAAATTATACTATTAAAAATAAAAGAAATTGATTATAAAATTATTTGAAACAGTGTACCCAGATTCAAACAACGATTTTCTATTATTACTCCATCGGCTGGTAATGTATTTGCATCATTGGATGCAATAACAGTAGCAACAAATGTACTTTTTGTTATTTCTACTGAAAACAATCCTAGGGAAGAAATAGTTGACGACTGGGGAGAAGAAATCCTTACGTCTTGTGTTGCTCATGGTTTGAATACTTCAATAGTTGCATTGACAAATCTTGAAAACCTTCCCGTAAAGGTATAACATCGAAGCTTATTCCTACAGTTATCGTAAAATATGATATTACTTATCCATACGAATCTTTTTGCAGAAACGTCAAGCCTACAAGAACCGTGTACAGACGGCAATTCAGAAATGGCTTCCAGAAGAAAAAATTTTTCGGTTGGATACAACTACAGATGCCTTGAACATTTTAAAACGAGTTGGCTCTCAGAAACAGAGAACGGTAGCCTATAAAAATAAAAGGCCACATTTATTAGCTGAAGAAATTAAGTTTAAATGTAACAAGGTAATGTCGATATCAATTATCAGCTGTGAGAATAGAACTACAACTTTCATGTTATTTAGGACTCTACCGAGTTGGGCACTCTCATGGTGTCAGGATATCTTAGAGGGATACCATTATCGGTTAATGGATTAATATACATACCTGGATTTGGAGATTTTCAAATGTTACAAATCGATGCTCCTGGAGATCCATATCCGATGGAAACGAAACAGAGAAAACATGACGACACAATGGATGATGAACCATCCATTAGGGTGCTCGATCGTGCGGATCCGAAGAAACAAGTAATTTTATAAGTAGAAATATAATGTCGCATTATATCGGTACAATTAAATATACAATTTGGTTCGCTTAGGAATCTCTTGAAGCTGAAAATATTCCTGATCCCATGGACGCTGAACAAACGTGGCCAACGGAAGAGGAAATGGCTCAAGCAGAAGCCTCTAGAAACAAGAAAATTGTGAAGAAAGTACCAAAAGGGACATCTGAATATCAGGCAGCTTGGATACCTGATGAGGATGGAGGTACTTTATTAGAATTAAATGATATTTAGCCCGGAATGAGACCCACGTGGGGATCTAGTGCCGAGAAAATAGTACTTTTTTCATTGGGGGTCCATAAGCATGGGTTAATATATTTCTCACACCTATGTAATATTTCAGAGGAAGTGGACAATGAATATTCGGATGAAGAATCAGAAGACGGGATGTCTGTAGACGAGGCGGAGTCTCAGGATGACAGTAATGGTGAAGACGAAGAAAACGATGAAGAATATGAGACAATTGCATTCTCGGAAGTTGTTCCGGATGAACAAAAATATGATCAGGACATGGACATGGTAGAGGAGAGAGCAGCTATAGAAAAACTAAAATGTAAGTTTGTCGCATTGGCAGTTGAATTGTGCAATTAAACAAAACTATGTTCCAAATGCAGCGGTAAAAATGGATGCAGAATTCCCTGACGAGATGGACACGCCTCAAGACATGTTGGCGAAAGTTCGGTTCCAGAAGTATCGTGGATTGGAATCATTCAGGATGAGTCCATGGGACTCAAAGGAGAATCTTCCCCTTGATTATGCTCGGATCTTTCAGTTTGAAAACTTTGATGGAACAAGGAAACGCGTGTTCAAAGAATCACAGGAAATAGAAGGAGCTATGGTGAATGAATTGATTAATAACACCGTGCAACAAAATTTAACGTAGGAAATGATATATAAGATATTTTTTATTGCAGCCTGGCTGGTACATCACGATCCATGTTGCGAATGTTAGACACGATCTTTTCACTGCCATCTGTTCCATGGAAAATCGTCCATTGATAATCTCCGGTTTGTTACCCAACGAACATAAGATGACTTTTCTAAATGTGGTACTAAAACATACCACGATTAGTATGCAACCAGTGGAATCTAAAGAGCGATTAATATTTCAATGCGGATTTAGAAGATTCTCAACGAGACCGGTATTTAGTCAGCATACTAATGCAAACAAACACAAGGTGGGTTTCTTTAAAAACTACATATATTATCATTGTTCGTGAAAATGAACCTTTGTTTATTTCAGTATGAGCGTTGCTTCGGTCCAGGGATGACTGTTGTGGCAAGCATGTACGCGCCAATTACTTTCCCACCATGTCCAGTTCTATGTTATCTTGAAAGACTGAATGGAATATTGGTAAGGATCGATAACGTTTACATAATCGTTCGTCAAATTAACTGATGTATAATATATGATCAGGAACTGATAGCAACTGGCAGCGTGTTGTCTGCGAATCCCGACAGAATTGTCGTGAAGAGGGTTGTTCTTAGCGGTCATCCCTTTAAAGTGCATAAACGATCAGCGGTTGTAAGATTTATGTTCTTTCACCGGGAGGACATTAATTGGTTTAAGCCAGTCGAACTACGGACAAAATATGGTCGTAGGGGACATATCAAAGAACCATTGGGTAAATTATTATATAGTATGCACAAGACTATTAATCAAATAGGATTTAATGTTAATCACTATTTATTTTTAGGTACGCATGGACACATGAAATGTGTTTTTAACGGTCAACTGAAGTCGCAGGACACGGTTTTAATGCATCTATATAAACGGATTTTCCCAAAATGGTCGTACTATCCAATGTTAATAACGCGTATGCCCCGTGAAGAAGAAAAGTTGGAGGCGCAATACAAATTGTGTTATTAAGTAATTCAATGTATATTCAAACGTATGTGCAGAGAATCTTATGAAATAAAGTGTTCTTTTCAATTCTAAAAATTATAATGACTAATGTATGTATTCATTTGTGTACATCTTTACAGTAGTCGATGGTAGATTGCGTCACATGTCGCGGTAAATTGTATTCTATCGGTTTGGTCTAAAAACATTTTTTCAATTAATAGGTTACTTCTTAGTTGATCAGTGTTTGAACAATGGATTTGGATACTGCCTACGTTGGTAACTAACAGAAAAATTTAGTATAGACTAATATATCTTTTATTTGAAACAAATATATCTTTCAATCACATAGAACTTTTAATCGAAGACTGGTTAACAGATATTCGAACGACCATCAAACAGGAAGAGAATCTCGTCAGAGCCGACGATGAATTTTATATGCCTTTTGTTGGTAACTATGCAGGCTCTCTATGTAAACTTTCCAAGCAATAAATAATTATGCAAAAACGCATTGAATGTACATACAATTCATTACTTGCACAGCGATTCCGGTACCGATCGTGAGCACAATTTTTCATATAACAGAATATTTAGATTTGGGTCCAGATACCAAATACATTACTATTCATTTGTATGATAAGTTCATGTGCAAGTATTTTTGGGAAGTTTACAAAGCTGAATTTATTGACCATGCAGGAGGATCTTGGACAGAAGTCTGTACTAAGATATCCAGCCAATCGAAATTGTATCTTATGTCTTGTTTGCAATTAGCTAGCAAAATGGATTCCTATTCAAAGAATTTGGCAATTTCTCAAGTATGTGTATACTCTTTTACACGTTTACAGAGAGTATAACATCGAACATTTATATTTGCTTTAGGTGCTTTATATTTTACAGTGGATAGACAAAAATACCGAATACGATCACAGCATTGTTTTTTCATCAGAATTTAAAGTATTCCAAATGATGGGATATAAGATACCATTATGTACTCCCATAAATTGCATAGAAGTACTTCTAGCTGCAACAGGTTTAAGAAATACATCTAACATGCAGGAGATAACTACAAGTTTGTTGGATTTAGTTTATTTGCAGGTATAAATTAATTGTTCTTTCCTAGATGCATTGCTCTGCTGTATGATTTAAAAAAGAAAAAGAATGGTTCCATTTACAGAAAGAAAAGCTATATTCTCATCTACAGTGCTTGATTCAAGGACATAGAGCACAGACTGCCCAGGAGAAGAGGGATCTCATGACTTTGCAATCAAACTTCTTATTTTTAGGGGCTTCTATCGTTCTTTGTGCAACATTTTTCAATTACGCAGAAACTCGAACAGCAAAAATTATCTCTTCAAAGTTGTCAGAGTTGGTGGACATAGAATCAGATAATATATGGGACATGGCCAATATACTCCTTGTGCTGGCGATTCAAGAATAAGTAAAGCATCTATAAATAAATAAATCCTCTTTGACTCTCTTTATTATACACTCCTTCTTGCGTAACAAATTCGGGCTGTCATCGAAGTATAACAAAACAAATGCTACCGAAAAACAATTGCTACATTAATATTGTAAAATATTTTTATTATCATTACAGATGTAGTATGTACTCTGTTATGATCGAAGGACTTCGAGGTTAAATTCTTAGCATGGTGTTTATAAGAATTTCTTTTAGTTTTATGTTTCAATATTGAAACCTACAACACGAAGCTTCGTTCGGAAGCACGATCAACAGCGCCTCTTTTGGCGAAACCTGAAAGCTCCGTTCGGGGTTCGTAAAGCGTCAATTAGGATAGCGGCGAAGCGCTGAAACTGTTAACCAAATTACCGACAATCGATTTTGTCTAACAGTTTGAGCGTTTTGCCACTGTACTAATTGGCGCTGTACGGACCCCGAACGGAGCTTCCAGGTTTCGCCGGAAGAGGCGCTGTTCGCAACAGTTTTTACTAACTCGATCAACGCGCGCGAATACAAAGTTATATTTAAATGCTTTCCCGTTGGAATTTTTTAACATTTAAGGGCTCAAATTAAAGCTGGAGGAACGCGCTTTGCGACAGATTCGTTGTAATTCGAAAACAATTACGATAACATACTGGAAATGGAATAGCAACGACCGGTTAAAGCGGTGCTGGATAGCCAAGTTAGTTTCTGAATAATCACTTTTATTTTTGCTCCTTATCAATATTAAACAACGTAGTTACGTAAGGGTATATATATTACATGGAAAATTCTGTCCTTCTGGTGCGCATATATCTTCCCAACACGCGATTTTCCCGAGAGAAGAAAACGAAAACAAAAAATTACATCGATCAGTCACGCTCTCTTTCTCTCTCTCTCACGCTCTCCCGTGTTCTCTCTTACGCTCTCATCCTCTCTTTCCCTCTCATTTTCTTCATCCCCCTTCAGCCCTCTTCAGAAGGTCAATTGATTCGAAAACAATGAGAACACCTCGAATCCGTAAGATTTGGAAATAATTCCTCGGACACCGTTGAAATCATTTAGAGATTAGCACGATCTCGACATCCTCGGTTATAGAATAATTGATTTAATCGAAGCGTGGATAGTTTTGTAAATTTCCAGAAGGTGTGTCACACATAGATTTTTGTCGGATTCGACCGAGCGGTCGAGAAACATGGTTAGCCATAAAAGTGTCTTGAAGGGTGTTTAAGATCGAGTCGCCTCACGGCCCTAACGAACGTACCAACTCGGAGGGTGCCCCCGACTTCCGGCAGAAGTAGGTGCGGCGATCAGAGGCCGAACAACCGAATTTCCCGTCGCGACCCCTTCGTCCAATAAATTCTTCGAGGTCGCTCGGTAGCTGTGGCCAAATCGTCGGAGAGCCTAAAGATCGATCTTGCACCAGTTGTTCGGTTCGGGAAAAATATCTACTACGATTACGGGATCCGGATGGAATTCTCGGAATCGGCCGAACGAAGAAACTGATCGAAGAAACGAAGCGAAACGTTTCTTCCTGGCCACGAGGACCGCGCGCCAAACGAGACACACACGCACGCGCACACACATACTCTCTCTCTCTCTCTCTCTCACTCTCTCTCTCTCTCTTTCCTCAAGTTCTCTCTTGCTCGTCACTCTCGTTGGAAGATTGTTTCCGCTGTAATTTGCGCCAATTCGAACTAGGTGAAACTCGGCGGAACTCTGTCCAGGAGCAAGTTACAGCGACTTCGAAGTATGTTTTGGTACGCGGCACCGGATGAATCTGTGGACTGTGGATCATGGTCACGGGGACGGGTCCGAAGTAAGGAATTTTGAAGCCGAAAATCAAGTCGTTCGGGATCCGTGGCTAGTTTCGAGAAGCTGGCATATATATATTTTGGCGGTCGAGAGTCATCGGGATCTCGAGGCTCGAGAGGAAAGAGGCTCGCGTGTCCACGGTTCACCCGGCAGCCGCGCATTACAATAGGCCATTTCCTCCTATCTAAGAATTTGAAAGACTAACTAAAAAAAGCGAAGAGCAGAAGTGCCGCGTCGAGATTCCGCCTCTGCTGCTCTATATTCCGGTATTATCGATCGGTAACCACTCTGTAATCGCTCTATAATCGCTGTACAGTAATGTCTCCCTAAATGACGCTCGGATTCTGCACAGAAATGGACAATTTGTGAAGAGGAGATACGATTGTTCGAGGCCTGCGGCTCGTTCTTATAGTTGTTGTCAATACGTAACTATGAAAACGAGCCGCAAGGCCTCGAACAATCGTATCTCCTCTTCCCAAATTGCCCATTTTTCTGCACAATCTGAGCGTCGATTGGAAAGACATTACTGTAATCGGGTTGCCGTGTATCGAGCGTCGAAGAGAAGAGATTTCTCTTTGTTCCTGCGGATCGGCGGACTTTTAACGTACAGGCACTGTTCTTTTCGCGGAATAGAGATACACACGCGCGTGTAAACTCTCCGAAACTGGTCCGTCCCGACAGTGCTTCCGAAATTAGAAGTGCTTGGAAATCGTCCGAATCGTTCGCGTGTTTCTCGAGCCTCGAGGGAACGCAGCGGCCACACCAATATGGCCTCCACGATCTCGAATCTTTCCGATCGTTCGATCCCTCGAGGCTCGGGACAAATCGAGGCTGCTCGTTAATTATTAATTATCGATTAACCGGACTCCGGAACGGCGAGCACCGTACAGCGTTGTATCAGGGGCTGCTGGAACGAAAAGGGGTTGTGCCACGTTTCTATTACCTGGGTACATCGCGAAATCAAATCGGAGATCTCTGGATCGTCCATCGAACCGAATCTAAAAACCTAATCGATGGATCGTCCCCGAACGTTCCAGCATTTCCCGACATGGCGACGTTACAGGGGTTGGGATTCGGAACTGAAGACTCTAACGGATTGGTGCCTCGATCGCTGATCGATCGGGCTCGATCCCCATTACAAAGTATCCTGTTCGTATATATAATACATATATGTATATAATATATATAATATATATAATATATATATATATTAGAAAATTTTAACAGACGCGTTAATACTTAAAGATAAATCTTTAGATCAATCTCGACGCATACTCTCTCTCTCTCTCTCTCTCCCCCCTCTCTTTCTCTCTCTCTCTCTCTCTCTCTCTCTCTCTCTCTCTCTATCTATCTATCTATCTATCTATCGATGCACATTCTCTCCCGCTCTCGCGCTCAGTCTCGATCTCACGGATTCTGCCACGCCCGCCTCCGCGTTAACGATGGCGGGGCAGTGGACACTGATATGTGAAATAGATCACCGATCGATATGTTGATCCGAGAATAGAATAAACGACGAGACGTAAAATTAGCCGGGCCCGCCCCTGTAAGCTGTCGCGTCGTTTCGGTTCTCCCGTTTTCTTCCAACCCCTAGAAACCACCCCCTCCTGTGGGCATCGAGAATCTCAATTCTACGCTCTCTCTCTCTCTCTCTCTCTCTCTCTATCTATCTCAGAAGTCAGAAAGACTTTTTTCCTCGTTTTCTATAGACTTTATCCGCTACCGGATCGGTGCAAAAACTGTCGATTGTTCCCAACCAACATCCTCCTAGGAAAGCTACCGGAAATCAGGAATGTTCGTGGAAGCTGCTAACACTTCTCTTTGGAGAAACACCGAAAAAATACGATCGATCGAAGAGAGACGAGTTCTAGCTGGACGAGACTCGGCCGATCTACGGGCTGGCTGAGGAAATGAATTTGTGCACCGATCCACCGTACGAATTCACCGGCCCTCCAATCGCCGAGACTAAATGAACATCGAGAAGGTGCAGCAACAGCAGCAGGCTGGCGTTAAGTTTCTTCGATCGTTGAGGGTTTCTGGCAAGAGAGGGAAGAAGAAACAGATTTCTCTAGCTAGATCGGCCCGATCGCAAGCTTCCTAGAACCTCGGCGAATCGTCCGCCAAACGGGAAAACTCTTGTCCGAGCCGGGAAAATCGTCTAGCACTTTCTAGTATCCTGCGACGTGGTGGAGGAGGAGGAGGAGGAGGAAGCTTGCGGTCGAGCAGTTTTTCCGGCGATCCACCGATCCATGGATCGTCGCCCTAAAGCACCGATGGCCGCAGGAATACAGTTAATGTGTCAAGAAGAGTACAAAGAGAGGATAGTCTTGGAACATCAAGAATTTGTACATGAAAAGAGCCGGCCCTGCGTCCCGTCCACCCGATCGACAATCCCATGGACGGATCCATGGTGGGATCCAGGCGGGATCGACGGGAACGATCGGCGGGATCCGGCCGACGGAACGACCAATGGAAAAAAGATGATGATTCGTCGTCGTTTTTTAAGTCGAGGTAAGACGTGTACGCAAGTTTACAAGTTAAGCTTAGGTGTTAGGATTACAATACGTTATAGCTAAGCTTCCTTCTTACGGGAAAGACTAGATTTTAGGCAAGATCAATATTTTTTTGCGACTTTTTCTTTTTCATCTCATTGATATGTCTTTTTTTTCCACGATTTTCTGCTTCGTTTCCCACCGACCCTTCTCTCTCTCTCTCTCTCTCTCTCTCTTTCTCTTTCTCTCTCTCTCTCTCTCTCTCTCTTCCCCTTTCATCCTTCGATTCAGGAACGAATTGATTTTCTGTGTTCTTTTTTTGTTCTCCGATCATGCTCTCGTTCACGCACCGACACACGCACGCACCCACGCAAACTCTAGCGGTACGTTTAAAATGATCTGCGCGTAGCAGTTTAAAATGCTCTCTTGGAAAACACAAGTTTCGCCTTACGCTAGGAATGATAATGGTCTCGTCGCTCCCCCCGTCCTCTCCACTCCCTACGCTCCCTGGTTATCTTCTCCTTCATCATTTATACAACTAGGATAATAAATATTGCCGCGGAAAATTATTTGCTACATTCGTCCCGAAAAAACAGTAGTCAACAATATTCACCCCTTGGAGGCTCGCTGATCCTCTCTCTCTCTCTCGCTCTCTCTCTCTCTCTCTCTCTCTCTCTCTCTCTCTCTCCATCTATTTCTCTAGGTTCGCTTCCCTAATCTCGCGAATGATGATATGGCTCGTTTCAGGTGCTGCGGAAGGGGACGATCGGGCAGCGTAGGCAATTGACGTTCTTCTTTGCGGAGAAGTGACAACTAATCTCTTAGAAAGGAAGCTCAGAATTTCGAGAAGCGGAGTCCCACCGTCGACCGTCCGACCCTTCCGCAGTCGCTCTTTGTGGATATGGACAGATATGTCAGAAGAGTGAGACTGGCTAGCCGATGGAGAACGCGTTCGTCTGCTTTCGGCCGGAGGATCGTTGGTCGTCCTCGATAATCGTAGAGTCGTCCCCGGTGTTGCTGGACAACGATAACCAGACCCAGGGAGCTCGATTCGGCAACAGCGGGAAGCAGAGATCCCATCGGCCGTGCCAGATCGCATCGCCATGGAGCGTCGTGTCCCATGGACCAAGACCGCGCGGCGCCTGCTCGCTTCGACCATTCCCTTTGCGGTTCACCGAAGAACAATCTACCTGGACTCTAGCTGAAGGAACGACTAATCGTAAGCTACGGAGAGAGAAATGGGAACCGGTCGAAGGGGCGTCCGCCCAAAAACGATATGTACATAGCAGCTGGTGTTGTGTCGTCGGTGTCGTCGTCGTAATCGTGGCCGTCTCGTGGTTGTCGCGGCTGTCGTCGCTGTTGCCGAAGAGACGCGCCTTCTTCAGGGAAACCGAAGGGTCGAAGCTGAAGAACGAACGTAGGAGGAACATTCGAGGAACCAGCTCTCGCCGATGATCCGGGGGAACCACCGCGAGCTCCCACAGGGTCGTGTTTATTCTCTTTTCGTCGATTCGGTGCCGGTCAGGCGCTCGTGTGCGACTCAAACTCGCTGGAATATATCCTGCATAGATGGATGCGCGCCGCACGGCGCATCCTATCTATGCGGATACGTTCGTTCGGAATCGGTGCGGCGCTCAGTCGTCCCATGTCGGGAAGCTCTCCTGGTTGATGAACAACGATTGGCCGCCGGCCGTCGTCGTCTCTTGCCTCTGGCTCGGTGTCCCGCCGAAGTTCGTGCTGCCGAACACAGGCTGACCGAACGCGTCCAATTGCTGGCCCTCGTAGATGCTGCGGTCGGACCCCGAGTACGGCGACGGATGATGCTGCGTCTGCTGCTGTTGCTGTTGCTGTTGCTGCTGCTGTTGTCGGTGCGGCTCCGTCACCGTCAGCTCGATGTTGCCCCCGGTACCGTTGTCCTCCAGGTTCTCCGACCTGCTCGCCTCCTCCAGGCTGCTGTGCTTGATGCCGTAGTAGAAGTACATGATGAACCCTGCAAGCAAAAGCACCTAGAGTTTCCAGTCCGTCCCGCTTCCGGGAACAGCGACGTTTTCAAGCGTTTTCTTTTTCACCGCCTTACGCTCGGTTTCGATCCGGAATCGCTCACGGTCGTCCCGATAATTAAGACAAGACTTCTATAGACTGGTCTCTCACCGAGTATCATCCACACTGTGAATCTGACCAGCGTCAGGATGCTCAGCTTGAAGATGAGGTAAATGTTCACGGTGACGGCGACCGCAGGGACGAACGGCAGCCCCGGGGTCATGAACATCATGCTGTTCCTGAAAAGACGCGGACAGCTCTCAAGAAACAATCCGAAGAGACCCGCGGTCCTTCGGGCGTATCGTAGTTTCTGGGTGGGTACCTGTTTTGCGGCTTTCTGCTGATCGCCAGCAACACCCCGATGATGGCGAACAGGAAGAGGAACATGATTATCGTGGTGAACGTTCCCATATTCCCTGGAGAGAACATCGAGGGTTCATTCGAATGCCGAGGATTCTCGGTGGAGAAATGGTTCACGGTGAACGAGCTTACCCATGCCGCAAACGATGATCAGATCGAAGATCACTATCAGCAGATAGAGGATCCCTACCAGCTTCATCACGTAGCGGCCGGACGCCTCCGTGGCCGGGCCTCGGTCCACCCACGGGAATATGGCTGGACACAGGTACTGCGCAGCCTGTAATTACGCGGCACGATTATCGCGATTCGTTGGTCGATCGGACCGACGCGCCACGCATAATTATTCGATATTACCTGCAGACGACGCTGAAGATAATTCAACGGCGGACCTATGATCGGCGTGTTCCCGGGGTACTGGTGCGCGCTGCCGCAAGTCGAGGCGGCGGCCGCAGCGTGGACGCTGCCGTAGAATTTGTTCTCGGTCCTGTCGCTCACCAGGTACTGATCGTCCTTGCCCAGGCCCACTTCGTCCTCCTCGGCACCGTACGTGTCGTCCGAGTCGGGCGACGAGCTGTTGCACCTCCGCACTCGTCGAACCTGGACATCACCACGGTCAACAACTTCGCTCCGAGGCATTCGAGGTGGGTATTCGTATATTCGAATCTAACACAACTGTTGTCGCAAATTTTTTTACATACAGTGGTGGTTTCGTACTTAAAGGTCGCTTGAGAAACGGCACAACTCTTTCGAGACCGGACTAAATCGCTCGAATTTCTTTTAGGCGACAGAAGGACCAGCTTATCGGACGATGACCGTGATATCTTTTTTACAATTTTTCTATTACTCGCTTGTACAATACTTTTGGGTTACCCTGTATATTACGATCAAAATGCCGGATAAAAGGACAATATTTTGGCGCGCAACTATTTTCTTGCGAACGTAACAGCTATTGCGGACCGTCCCTCGATCGAAGGACGTCGTACCATGATGCGTTGCCCGTTGTTCGACGCGGTCAGCTCCGGCTGCGTGGTCTGCGCGGTGTTCAAGGCCGTGGACAGCTGGTCCGGCCGCAGCTCCTTCCCGTAAGACACCTGTCCGTTACCCTGAGTCTCCTTGGTCGGCGATCGACAAGGTGTCCTCAGGCTCTGAGGCAACAGCTCCATCAGATTGGTCGAGTGGGGCTGGTAGCGCAGGATCAGCACGCAGGTGGACACCAGGGTGTAGGCCAACAGGGTACCTGCGCGAGTCGATCGGTTGGTTAATCGGTCGACGAGAAGAGGAAAACGACGACGACGATCGCTCACCGATGGACATCATCTCCACCAGCACCTCCAACCGGATCACGAGGGCCGCTACCGCCGCTGCCATACCGGAAGTCAGTGTCGCTAGGGCCGGGGTGCCCGTGGCTGGCCAGACCTGGCTCAGGCTCCTAGAAACACGAGCGACACAGGCTTCAGCTTTGCTCGACGAGCGAATACAATTTTATGATCGAGATGTACAATAAATTCTCCCTAATTCGCGTTTAAATTGTGCACGAGAAAATGGGCAATCTGGCGAGAGGAGATATTAGAGATTATTTGTACTGTTTATACTATTTATACTAGTTATAATATTTATACTAGTTATACTATTCATACTATTTATACTATTTATTGTACAAATTGTCCATTTCTGTGTGCAATCGGAGCGTCGATTAGGGAGAATTAACTGTACATATTTACATTAGGATCATCATAAGGATTAATCCTTGCAAAGGATTAATTTAGCGTGCGAAACTTGCGTCGTTTCCGGCTTATCCGGATTACGTCTTTTATTCAAGATATTTAGATAGATTCGTAGAATCCGTGCAGACGAATTCGACCGCGTAAAGTATCCGGCGCGCGTTGAAAGGTTCACCTGAATATGAGGCCGTCCTGGGCCATAGCGTAGACTATCCTCGGCATGGGGAACATGCTTCCGAACATGGAGACCGAGAGGCCGGCCAGTGCGCCAACGGCGACGATGTACTTGCACTTGTAGGCGCCCACCTGGCCGAACATCTCCACCAAGGCCGACTCCTGGTCCACCTCGTGGTACGGGACTGAAAAGTAGATCCGATCAGAGGTCTGCGAGGTGGCAGGGATTCGTTTACGCGATCGATCTAGGACCCCGCTAGCCATCCGAAGCTTCGGTCTCGGTCGCAGGCACAGACATTTCCGATGGTGGGCGAGCTGCGGCGACCTTGGAGCTTCGGATGACAGAGCGACGGGTTGGCTCGGCTACTCGAGCGTCGCCCAACGCCTGCCGTTGAAGGCTACAAGCCCGAAAGGACCGCTCACCGATCAATGTCAGCACCATGCTGCTGGTGACGTAGGCGACCAGAATTATGATCAACGACGAGATGATCGCGAGAGGGATGCTCCTCTTCGGGTTGGTCGCCTCTTCGCCGGTGGTCGCTATGATGTCGAACCCGATGAACGCGTAGAAGCAGGTCGCCGCGCCCGTGAACACCTGGAACGACGGTTTCTCCGTTAATTGGTCGCGCTCCGAAATCATTTTCGGATCGCCGAGATTGTTCGCGTTTCGAAAACCCGTTGAAAAAGCGTTGCGCGCGCCCGCAGACTCGATTTCTCGTTTGCATAAGATGCAATAATTATGAATCGCGGGAAATGAAAAACCGTGGTTCGGGAAAACTATTTTTCGGATTCGGTATTGAAACGTCTCTGAGCGCAAAGGGTTGATTGGAAAATTGTGAAACGTCTAAACGAGCTCGGCTTCGCATCGTCACGCGAAGGTCTTGGTCGCGACATTTTATAATTTTTCTCGTAACTCTCTCATTTCCTGCGAACGCTTATGAACACTTTCATTACTCATAGAAGTTACATTTAAAAATGATCGAAAAATTAGGTTCTAAGTTACTTGTCCGACACATCGCCGCGTTTAGCAGATCCGAATAAGAATCAGAGAGACGTAAGAAGATCGACGTAAGAATGAATCGTCAAATCCGATGAAACAATTCCGTCAACCGCGTACTTTGAAATGCGGCAGCTCCACTTTCGATATATCCGAGCCGTTTAATTTTTCACCGGGCATTCGCGCTGCTGCGAATCCCCGATTAGCCTGGGCAAACACCAGAAATTACGTTACAGGCGCGAAGAAGAATGGCGGCCCTTTGCGGTCGGCGAGGCTCTGGGATGGATGGGGGGAGAATTCTCGCAAGTAGAACCGGTCTGCCGGTGGCCAGACCTCGACGAATGCTGGACGATTCGCTCGGTAACTTGTTGCTCGGGAATTTCGGGGCTTCGAGGAAGCAGACGAAGTCTACGCGAGTCGGCCGACTCGCGATAAAAGCTGTTGGAAGAAATTGGACGGCACGCGACGTCGCGACTCGTCGCGCGAAATTCTCGAGCAAAAGCAGAATACAGTAATTTCTGCCTAATTCACGGTCAGATTGCGCACAGAAATGGAAGAGGAGCCTCGCGACTCTCGTTTTTATAGTTGCCGATTGTCAACGACTATAAAAGCGAGCGTCGCGAGGCTCGAACGGTCGTCCGTTTAAATAATAAATTAACAAATAGCCCACACAATAATAATAACAATAAATTGTCCATTTTTGTGCGCGATCCGAGCGCGAATTGGGGAAAGATCGCTGTAGTTCTACGGCGGGTCAGGCGCCGCGACCCAAGCAAGTAGTACAAGTCGATAACTTGTTGTTAATAAATCTGACGCAAGACGGTTCGCAGCCGCGGAATAGTTTGAGCGAGTAGAATGTAGCCCGGCCGTGAGTCAGACTTCGAGGAAGAGGTTATAATAGCGCATCCGGTAACCCGAGTCAATAACGCCCCGTTGAAAAATGTAGGTTAAGCCCCGAAGGATGATTCTAGAACGCGGAACGGTTCTACCGCGAATCGGGCTTCGAGGAACAGTTTGTATCTAATAAAAATTAAACGGCGCGCAGAAAATTCGAGCTTCGTACCGAGAAGCGAGCGAATAATCTCACGGCGAATCGGACGAGGCTCGATAATTTCTCGTAAACGGAAACGGTCTTTCCCGCCGAGAATCATACAGAGCAAGCGGAACAGGCGTGCCTTTAATCGGGCAAAATGATTTTCCCCGTTTTCGCGAACGAAATAACGCAATTATTTCCGACAATTTATAAATCTTCTTTCGCAACCGCGAGTCGCGGTCCCAGTCCTCGTCGAATTTCTCTATTTCAGAATCGTCTGCGGTGTTTCTGCGCGTCTCGCGTCCCTCGAAATTTAATTCAACCGAGACACGAGTGTGCCAGCCGATTCTTTATGCGTCGTAATTCGATGGGAACCGATTGGTCGGGCCCAAAAGACGAAGCCGGAGGGTGCGGCGGGTGTCCGGTTGAAATTTTAATGGGCTCGAAAGGGGTCCTTTCCGAGGGAAAAGGCTCGTGAATGTTAGAGGTTGCCGCGTGACCCTGTAGTATTTTGCCTCCGTGGTTCACGAACGCCCCCGTGCTCTCGCCGCCCACGCGACCCTCGACGAGAACCGCCCCAGAATGAATCCGCCGGTGAACCGGCGCGCCGGCTTCGTCGTTCGCAACCCTGCGCAATACCTAAACGCGCATCCCGATCACCGGAGAGTCGTGTCGCATAAAGGGTCGCTCTTTCGCCTTTCTCGATCGGCCCACTTGATTTTCGGCGAACCGGCTTGCAGAACCGGCAGATACAGTAATGTCTCTCTAATTGACGCTCGGATTGTCCATTTCTGTACACAACCTGAGCGTCGGTAAGGGAGACATTACTGTATACATCGACGCGACCTCGCTGGTCCGAACGAGAAAGGAAGAAAGGGAGCGAAGGGGTGGGTTTGTTAATTCTTTGGGCACAAGGGCGATTCTCGAAGACTCTCGAAGAAGTCGGACTTCGAGAACGGGAGCGGCGGACCGATGACGAAGCTTTTGATTCCCTCCGTTCGATCCACCGCTACTTGACCCCGGATCGAAGGGTGTCCGTTCCGAATCCCCGGACGAGACGCTTTTTAATTGTCATTCGTTGCAATCGTTATTCGATTCAACGGAGACCCCTGGCTCGCTGGGTATCCTATAATGAACCCCTTTCAGGAGAAGCACTTTTACAGAATGATTTCAAAGCGAATTATGTAAAAATGCTCGGCTTTGAACCGATTGTTTTCTCGGATCGACGATCGATGAATATGCTATGCAAAGGCGAACGTTGATTCCCGGAATAGTCGATGCACGATTCGTATGCAATGGAATATATCTTGCTAGAAAAGCGACCGATTTGTTCGATATACATTGTCATTTGCTCGCGACTGTCGCGTTCTGCATCGAGAGGACTATTCGTCGTCCTTTCGAACAATGTACGTGTATATAGATGCGGGGAAAAATGCACGATAGTTTTGATAGTTATGTAAAATTGAATTAATATTTTGATAAGAGTACGCGCTTCGATCTTCGCCGAAAATTCTGGAATTTCGCAGCGGTCCCTGCAGAGTCCCTCTGGTCAGGGCTAGGCCGGCGCGCATTAACGTTAATCAGAACATTAGCATTAGCGCTGGTCCGACGGTAAACTTTGACCTCGTCGCCGTTACAGAATTTCTGACGCGTGGGCGGCGGCCGAAGAGCACGACCGCTGTAAATTGCTGGAATAAACCGATTCGCGCGGGCGAGTAGACCAGAGAACACCGTGTTCCCTGTGTAACGCGCGTCTACTTCCTTTTATTCCTTTTATACCCTCGCCCTCTCGTCGTTCTTTCCGCCGCCCTCGTAGCTCTTGAAAGGGCGGCCCGCGAGCTCGTACCCGCGAATCGGGTCAACCGAAGCGGGAACGAAACAGGGCGGTTTCGAATACCGCGAACAAAGTGTCCCGCGTGTGTCGCAAAAAGCCGACGCGCGATGAAAGCGGGGATTAAAAATTCACGGGTCGGGGAACCCTGGCCGCAGGAAATATTCATCACGGGGAAATATTCAACGGGGGGAAGGGCGGCCGCTGCCGGATGGAAATTGCGACTGCGACGAGTTCTTCCGTCAACAATTAATTAAGCGTTTGCAAAATTGATGGCTCGCTCGTCGACGATGTCGAGAGCCGAGCCACTCGATATTCCTGCGACCGGCTCCGCGGAACCGGAACTCGAGCTTCTCGCTTTGATATCGTTTATCGCGAACAAAACGCGCTCCCCGTCAAGCTCGAAGCATCCGAACTTGACCCGGGTCAAGCCGAAAGTATCCAAACGCGATCCCAGCCGAGTCGAAGACGGGAAAACAAAGAGTTCTGCCGCGATCGAGCGCGTCGCTTGCGCGAGCAGCGCCCAACTTTCCATTTCGCATCGTTCACAGTTGGAACCGTCCATTTCGCACCGTCGACGATGCGTTGATATTCGGCAACCTTGAGAACAAAGGTGCACCGATTTCCATATAAAAGTCGCGGCGAGCTTCTGAACCAACGTTTCGGCGGCAGTGTGCTCGCCGCGTCGATCGACCCCGAAAAATTCGCGGCGCCGCGGTGTTCCGTTCCCAATTCCAGGCCTGTCCGTTCCACGCGTTCCTCGCCGACCCAGGATTCCTGCGGAGCGTGAATTCGAATTCCCTTTCCTCCGCGCCTGTCCACCCGATGCACCCGGTTTCGGCGTTGCGAGCCCATCCGGTGCAACAAGTTTGCCATTGTTCGGCGGGGTCCGCCGCAAACCGCGGGCAAAAAGCCGCGCCGGTGCACCGGGAAAATCGGAGATCTCGAGAAAACCGTCGTCGCGACGAGACAGCCGGCCTGACCGGATCCGTTCGTCTGCCTGCTGTCTCCTGCGAACATCTCCGCTTGTAACACGAGGACCGGCTTTCTCGTCGTGCCCAGGTAATTCGAGACGCGACGGTCTCTCTTTTTGCTCCGAACGGAGAACTCTCTCCCGTGCGCGGATATGTGGAACAAAGAGAACACACATTGTTATCGTTCCGCTTCCACGCTGAAAAGTGCGCCGCATACGGGCGCAGGACGATGCGATGGACGCGCGATACGCGCACCGACAAATTGTTCCTGCGAAACTAGGAATACGCGCGTGGTCGCGCGAGTTTGGAATTAAACGAGCAAAGGAGACGTCGTTGTTGAACTCGCAAGCGGCGCGAGTCGCTCCTTTGTCCGACGGTAGCGTAGGTCGACGCGTGGTCGGACGTCGGTCCGAGTCCGAAGTACAAGTTTAGACGATGGTCCGCTTGGCCGACGAGTGGAATAGGTTAGCTAGAGGTTGGACGAGTAGTTTAAGTCGTCGACGCGTGGGCGGACGAGTGGTCTAAATCAACGCGACATATAAACTGCGAATATGTAATAAATTTTATGCGATAAAAATAATGTAAGAAATGAAAATTTCGCGCGTCGCTCTCGAGACACGAGAGCTGCATAGAGCGTTCTTTCCCGATGCGGCGCCGGGAAGTCGAGTAGAATAAGTCGGCCGTTGGTCGGACAAGCGGTACAAGTCAACGCGCGCGGTCTGGACAAGTGGGACCGGCGTTTCGCTGGTCGGACAGGTCGCAGAATTTTCTCCGATTTTTAGCAAGCAGGCGATAGATCGTTTTGATGGTACTTACACCGCTCCAGCCGTACGGGAGGAAGTCCTTCTCCTCGGCCCAGTAGTCGCCGTTCACGTAGAACATGCCCGCCGTCATCACGAACACCCAGACGGCGAGATTGATGGCGTTTAACACGTTATTGAACACCAGGGACTTCTTGACGCCCGCGGCCATCAGCAACATCATCAGTATGGTGATGACGAACGCGAGGAAATCGGGCGGCCGACCTGCGACACGATACCACTTTTCGTTTGGGTGACCTTTCGTTTTACCAGGGATGGACAGCGAATCTGTCGTTTGTCCAAGTTTCAAATTTTCGAAGAAATTGTTGATATTCGAACGGCTGTAACTTCGTGCAAAAAAATCATACGACGATGGAACCTGGCTCGTTTCGAAGCCCGAAGTGTCTACTTTCGGAGGCCGTGCGTCGATTTCTTTGAAAAAATTTATTCGCGACACGGTGGATGAGAAATCTTGTTGTAGACTTTACGCGAAATTTCGATTCTTCGAAACATCGACGATATTCAAGATACTGTAACTTCGTGCAAAAAAATCATACAACGATGTAACTAGGCTCATTTTAAAGCCCGAAGTGTCTACTTTCGGAGGTCGCGCGTCGATTTCTTTAAAAAAATTTATTCGCGACACGGTGGGTGAGAAACCTTGTTGCAGACTTTACGTGAAATTTCAAAACATCGACGACATTCAAGATACCGTAACTTTGCAAATAAAAATCGTGGAACGACGAAACTAAATTCATTTTAAAGCTTGAAATCTCTACTTTTTCCGTGTATAATTCATTCTAGTCGAAAAAATTGTTCGAAGATACGGCACGCGGGAAGCTGTAACCATTTACGTCGGACAAAGTAGAAACGAGTTCATTTATGGAATCTTGGAATTTACTGCGATTCGTATACTTAATATGTGCGCGACAAACTGTGTAACTAATCGAAGCTACGCTCTCCGAAGTAATACCTCTCCGCATCGCGAATTCAAGCAGCGGAGACCATGCTAGGATGGAGGAGCAGTTCGCTGTTTATAGCCGATTGTGTCTGAAGCAACGCCGAGACCGTACAGAGATAAATGTAAATCGGCGCGTCGCTCTCGCTCGCGATCCACTCGCTCGCGGCTCGCGATCCATCGTCGGACGGAATACTAATGAGAAAATCAGAAATTCAAATACGCCCGGTCGCCTTGGCGCGACGGCGTGGCTGCCTGTGCTCGAACGAAAAATCATAGAGCAATTTCGACGGCTCTTCGCAGCCGGAAAACCGGGTCCCCGTGATCTCGTTCGAGCAAAAATTCGGCGTCCTTAATTTACGTCCGCGCGTACCAACGATTTCCGGCGGGATCGATGCGGCCCTTTCAATTTTCACGGGAATTGGAACGCGCCCGAACCAAATCGAATGTAATTCCCAGTTTTCCGAATGTTTCGAGAACGCGGCTCGACGAATTGGTCGACGAATTCCGCCCTCGAGAAGACTCCGACCGCGAACGCGTTCCGGCGGCCCCGATTTCTCTCGGCCGTTAACTCTTTGGGGCACGATGGGATACAAAAATGTACAGCAATACACGGTGGGATATTTTTGGATCCATCTCGAAATATTGCAACGGCTGCACGCGCATTCGTGAACTCGTGTGGCACGGTGGGACTATTCGAGTCCGACCCTGTAACAACAAATTTAATCGAATCATCGTTTCCTTATATTTTTAATTTAAAAAGGCGACCAAATTTCTGCGCAACACGGGTCCACTCTGTTTTTTAAAATCCTGCGCGCCAAAGAGCTACAGTAATTGTCCACAAAAGTGAACAATTAGAGAGACATTACTGTATTTCCTTTACGCGATCCTCTCGGGGATCGCCTACGCGCGATTCCCGGAGACAGGAAAAGGAGCCGGATCGAATCAAAAATACGAAAGGGAACCGGATCCTCCGCAGCCGGAATCCAATTTTTCTCTTCCGGGCAACGAGGATTAGCCTCCGTCGCCGCGTCTTTTATTTATCCCGGCCAGCTCGATACGCTCGTTTCTAGGCAGACGGGAATTTTCGCTCGAGCAGGACAAATCTGTTTGGTCGGACACGACCCACCGGGCCAGGCAGAGGCGATACAGGCGATCGATCGATTGATCGACGAAGTGACGCGGGCCAGAAAAGTACCAGCGACGAGCCATAGGTGGGACAAGTAGCTCGGTCAGTGATTAGTCGGGCAAATGGTACGATTTGCATCGAGCGTACGGTTGGCTGGACAAGTGGAGCAGGTCGATATCTAATGCCACAGGTGGTGCAGGACCGTGTTCGAGCAGGCGAGTAGCACAGGTCCCCGTTCGATCGGCCGATTCGATAAATAATCCGGTTCGCGTGGAGAAGAATGGACGTCTACTTCTCCGGAGGTCACGGTTCACGGGGTCGACTGTAATTTCCATCCGAAATCGAGTCTAATCGCGGCGCAAATCCCGCCGTTCCTATCAGCCGAAGCGGTTCGCCGATTCCGACGGCTTTAAAACCGTTCTCCTTTACCTCTTCGGCAACGTCGAACAAACTCGCCGGGAACAAACTCGCTCGACACGTGCAGGGGGACAGGGAGAGGGACCAGGGAGAGGCAAAGGTCGAGAGACTTCTCGAGGAACGCGGGATCGGGGCAGTAAGGTGTGCACGCGGCGAGAACGAACGCAAAACGGAAGCCGGGATAAATAAAACGTCGACGAAGGCGGTCAACCGTCGCGAACCGGTGGAAAAGCCGGCCGAGAATATCGAAGGAAATCTCGGCCGGGTTCTCTCTACGCCGGAGAAATTGATTTCATTCGATCCGGTCCTCGTTTCCGCCGACAATGCTGCTCTGCCTCTCGGTCGCGAGCCAGAAGTCTCGCGTTATCGCCCAAGCCAGATGGGCTTCCCTTATCGCAGCCTCTATCGAGGAACGAGGCGAGATCGCTTCGCGTCCGAAACCTCGAAAATTCATTTTTCGCTCGGCGAGCAGCGCGTTTTCGATTCTTTATTCTACTCTCCTCTCTGGAGAACCGTTGAAGTTACAGAGAAAAATTTACGGAAAACGATCGAGCCGGACAATTGCCTCGAAATAATTTGATCGACGAAACGGAAACTGTACAAACTTTATACCGATCTCACGGTGGATGGCGATTAACCCTTTGCACTCGAGTGGCGACTCTGAGGCACCGCTAAAATTGTTGATTCACGTTCCAAGATCATTTTTATATCGATAAAGTTCAAACTTAAAAAATTGTTAAAAGTGTAACTGTCATCGCAAGTGGTCGCAAGACCTCAATTTCATATGCATAAAATGCACTTTGTCGTATAAAATGGAAATACCATAAGTCAGAAAAGTTATTTTAGATTTACAGTTCAGATGACTTCGAGTGCAAAGGGTTAAAATACTTTTCGCAGCCTACGCGTGTTAATAAAATTCATCGTGAAATGCGAACGAAATGTCGTCGAAGAGACGCTATAAATTCTCGAAATATCACGGAACGCAATAACAATTTCGAATAATTATTGTTCAGAAAATTCGTTCGACATTCTTTGCGCGAAATAACAAACGCGTTCGACATCCGCTACCACGCGTTACGTTGAGAAAAGATCTACGACGGCCATCATGTTGTGCTTTCATCGCGAGGAAAGTCGAATTTGTTCGCTGTAAAGCTTGTAAGCTTCGCTGTAGCTTGTAAAGCTAGGAGAAGATTCGCATCCGCAGCGCCTTTTACCAATTTCATCGTTCGTTCTCGTCTCGATCCGTTGTCCGCTGTTCCACATTACAATAATGTCTCTCTAATTGACGCTCGGTTTGTCCCCAAAAATGGACAATTTGGGGAGAGGAGATACGATTATTCGAGCCTTGCGGTTCGTTTTTGTAGTTATAAATTGTCCACAATTATAAAAACGAGCTACAAGGCTCGAGTCGAAGATATCTCCACTTCCCAAATTGTCCATTTTAGTGGACAATCTTAGCGTCAGTAAGGGAGACATTACTGTACCGGGTGGAGGGCGAGCGTGGTCCGCAGCATGCTGAATAATTCGGGATCTCGTCGCCGGGAAGAATCCAGCTCGATGAATTATTCTCGCGGCGGCATTAGCGACGGCACCGTAAATTGCCAGTCGCGTTCTACAGGGTGACTGGAAACGACGTTCCGATCGAAAGCGGTGGTCGCTCGGTGTTTTCGGCGTTCGTGGTCGAATAAACAGCGGAATCACCGCGAGAACGGATCTTCTCGGCTGTTGTCTGCGGCGGAAGTTGGCTTCGAAGCAGAACGCTGGAAGCAGCCCCGGCAAACGAAGTAAATTTCCAGAGGAGAAGGAGAAGAAGAAGGAAGCGGTGGAGATCTCGGGGCAGGAAGCGACGTCTCGCGGGCGTGCTCAAAGGGTTGTCATACTTTCCAGGCCGACTGGCTCGGGTCCTCGAGGCTCTTCAAAGTGTTTCTTTAAAGTCCTTACCTCGCGTTCCCCTGCCTCTCCAGACTCTATTGTCCTGTTACCTTCTTTCAGGATCGTAACGATTCACCCTTCACGACTTCCTTATCCTCCAGCATTTTTCCAGCAGCGAGCCGTGTTTCCGCCATTATTCGGATGCGTCGCGCGTACCTTGTTTCCTCCGCTCTCTCTCTCTCACTCTCTCTGGTTCCAGCACTCTCTCCGAGTGTCTCTCTTTCTCTCCAGGGGCCGACTTTGAGACAAAGGCGAGTCTTATTTCCCCGGCCTCTCTTTACGCCGCGCCTGGATTCCTGCCTGCCTATAGGGTGCGCGGGGAAAATCATCGGTACTGCGAGTTCTCCCATCGGTATTCTAAATCTTCTAGACCCAGCCGGGCCAGGAGGGCTTTCCCTACGGTCCCGGGGCCTCTTTCCAAGACCATTTCGACCGTGACGCTGGGACAGATTACCGTAAAGAGTCTCCGACGCGTATCTTTCTTAACGATATTCATCCCTAATATCCAAGAGACGAAAGCAACCCTCTTAAAGGTCGAGGATCGAAAGCACGTTCTTAGCGATACCTCGAGAGAAGTTACCCTTGCATGCCAGATAACGCCAACGTCGCTGGTACACGACGAAATTGCAGGGGGTACTTTAAGGTGCTGTTACTTCGCGAAGAAAAATCGCAGCCGGGTTTCTTTTTTTTTAAATTAAAGGGGAAGGATCGAACTTGCTTCCGCCGCAAACGGCGTCTCGGAAAAAAATTTTACACGGTTCGTGTGGCAACTTGGCAACTTCGAACTTGGCACAAGCATGGTCTCGCCTCTAAGGGGTTACAGCGGCGAGGGTGCATCGAACTTCAAATCCAGAAACATCGTATCGAAGTAGACGTTTCAGGCTTTAATTTGAAAAAAGAGTCATCGCGATACGATGATTTTTCGCGGAGTTATCGTCGCTCGAAGTTCGCCAATTTTTATCCAACATTCTTCCATGCTACAATTTTAGTACGAGCATACATTTATCAACGAACTATGCGAGTTTCGTCGAAATCACCTGGCTCGAACTGGTTCGAATTGTTCCACAGTGGACCCGCCAGTCCTTTACGACCGATTTACAATCAACGGGATCAAAAGGACGATCGGCTGTATTTAATTTAACCCAGTAGACGCAACAATCGCTAGGAAATACGGAGAAACGAGGGGAAGAAGCCGCGGAAGGGCGCAACGGGTGGATTCTGGGGATAACAAAAGGCCGAAGGGGGTCGGAGAGGGGCGCTTGCGCGGATCAAGTCTAGCACCTGTGGACCTGATCGATCCGGAACGGTTTGCGAAGCCGCATACTTCGATGCTCTTTAACCTGCCCGCTTGCCCGCTCGCCCACTCGGCGACCCGAGAGGCCCGTTCCTCGCCCTTGTCCCTTTCAAGATTAACCCTTTCCTGACGCATCGGCCGTCGCTGTCCATCGCTGCCTCGGAACGTCGTCTCTTCCTCTATGCTCGCCGAACGGAGACACCGGCGCGGAGCATCGGATCGATTGCCAGGACGTTTTTCGTCTAAACGGTTGCTGGAACGGTTTCGAGATTGATTGCCGGTCAATGGTCCACTTTAGTGGCGGGGTTACGCGGATTAACAAACCCGAGTCCCACTTCGCTTTCAGTGGCTATCAATGGACGTTGATGAAGCTCGCCGGACGTGAGAATAATATTCGACGACGCGTGGCTGCCGGACGCTTTCCAATCCGGTCCCCTCGAGAGTCCAGCCTGTAATTTATTTGCGCTTCTGTCGGTCGTTTTCCTTCCTCTCCCGTTCAGTTGCGGGCTCGTTTTCGCGAAAGAGGAGATCGGGACGTCGGAAGCATGGAAACATCGGTGTCCCGCTGAAAATTCGCGGCCGTACGTTCTCGGTGCCGAGCGATCGAAACACGCGTCCGTCGGTCGCAGAACGAAGAAAACCGAACGAAACGAAGTTTAAAGTTCGTAAAACGATCGTTATCGTACACAATTCCACGCTGGCTCAGGTATCCCCTGCTTCCAACGAGGAACAACAATGTCTCGGCGATTATTTTTCCGGCCGTGGTAAACCGGCCGCGGTCCTCCGTCGACGTTGCAGCTGTCGCAACGTGTCCGTTCCCCGTTGTTTTCGCAGGATGTTGTCGCTCGTCTCCTCCGGAACGTTTGCCCAGCGCTCGAGCCGATGTGCTCGTCGAGGTTCGGTGCTTAACGAGCCACCCGCAGTAATGTCTCCCTAACCGACGCTCAGATTGTCCACAAGAATGGACAATTCGGGAAGAGGAGACGCGGAGATGTTCAAGCCTTTTGGCTCGTTTTTATAGTTACCGATTGCCAATAATTATAAAAACGAGCCGCAAGGCTCGAACAATCGTATCTTCTCTTCCCGAATTGTCTACTTTTCTGGACAATCCGAGCGTCAATTGGAGAGACATTACTGTACTCGTGGCCGAGGCGTGTCTTATCGGGGAATCGCGCGTTGCCGTGACTCGTTAAACTTTTCGTTGCGCCGAGAGAAAGGGAGAAACGGGGGAACGAAGTGGGCAGGGAAGGGAAGGGGAGAGATGCAAGTTTCTTGTTGTTCGAGCGAAAATTTCTTCGGCAGCCGTTGTGCTCGAGAGGGCGAACTTGATAATTGCGGGGCTGGTGGTAGCGCTTTCGTGAATTATTTTGGTCGGGGCTTTCCTCGCAACCCGCGGCCACAGGGTGAGGACGAGGGCGAAGGCGAAGGCGAAGGCGGGGGCGGGTGGCGAGGGTGAAGGTGAGGGCAAGAACGAGGACGAGGGCGAGCGCGAGGACGAGGGCGGCGCGGCTCGTCGACACCGTTTTTCAGCCGGCGCTCGAGTGGCTCGGCTCCTGCAAAATTTTCCGCGAATTTAAACACCCGACAGAAGCGGCGCATCCGATGCGACAAACTCTCGAGTGTACTCTGCCCGCCGACAGAAATCAATTTCCCCATTGTCCTCCTCTCCGCTTTCCCTTTTCTTCCTTACGAAACGACGAACGGGGATCCGCGTTTCAAGCGATCAGCAATGGTGCACCACAGTACAGTAATGTCTCTCTAATTGACGCTCAGTTTGTCCACAAAAATGGACAATGTAGGGAGAGGAGATACGATTATTCGAGCCTTACGGTTCGTTTTTATAGTAAAAACGAGCTGCAAGGCTCGAATTACTGTATTTAGTAGCCGCGCATCTCGCCGGTGTTCCGAATCAATTCTGGCCGACTACAGGCCGACTCGTTCTACTTTTATTCGCTCCTCGCGTCGAATGTTTCCTTGGTTGCTTATAAGATACGCATTTTACCGAATTCATTCTGGCTGGTATAGCAAACCAATTTCGCTTCTTATTCGTTTCTTGGACAAAGCGTTTCCTTGTTTCCTTGTCAGTCGCGCGTTTAACCGCGTTCCCGAATTAATTCTGGCTAAACGTGCACCGGTCCTTCCCGTGAATTTCCTTTAGAATTTCTATCCCGCGGCTGGGATAGTCTCTTCGGAGACTATCCGACGAGGTTTCGTGGCCGGTAATCTTCCCGTAGAATCTAATCCACGGGAAAAGTTAGCCCCGGCCGTGTTGCGCTTCGCTGAAAGCTGTTGTAAGCTCGCCGGGATATACCATAGGGTAAATCGCGTCGGAGCAGGGATTTTTGCGTGGCCGATAAGAGCGTTTCCCGCGGAACCCGCGGCTTGATGCGATTTCGCGAAATTAATTTAGCGGCGAGCGGACCTCTTTGCCGGCCGGCTTTCGCGCAACAGGAGGGAACGGCCCTCTCCGCGGACCAACAAATCCGAAACGGTTCAACGGCTCTTTGTACTCGCGAGCTCGCTGTAATCCGGCGACGAGCTGCGTGCTTTTAATTCGAGGAGACGACCGGCCCGAATTTTCCGCGGACGCGGTATGCAAATTTTTCAAATATTTATGCATCGAAACTGTCATCCCGCGACGCGCGACGTCGGAATATTCTCTGTTCGCCGTGGGCTGGCTCGCGTTTTCCAGCTTTGCGAAACGCGGTTGACCGAGCACCGAAACTCGACCCTCTACCGATCGCGCACGTAGTCCACGCGCCGGATAGGACGGGATTTTTACAGTAACGGCTCTCTAATTTCTTCCTAATTGCCCACAAAAATGGACAATTTGGGAAGAGGAGATACGATGAGCCTTGTAGCTCGTTTTTACAGTCGTTGACGATTCGTAACTATAAAATCGAGCTACAAGGCTAATTGTGGACAATTTATAACTATAGAAATAAACTGCCAGGCTCGAATAATCGTATCTCCTCTCCCTAAATTGTCCATTTTCATGGACAAACTGAGCGTCGATTAGAGAGACATTACTGTAAAGACTAAATAAAAGACGCGTCTGTCGCGCGTGGATTAAGTTTGCGATGGATTTCGGTAGAACGAAGGGGTGCGAGTTAGGTCCGGCCTCTCGGTTTGGAACGGAACGAACGAGTCCGGGTCAGTTTCGGGTGAAACGAGCGGGTCAAGCATAGGGATCGCCGACTCGGTAGAATGAACTCCCGCGGCTTGGGAATCGATCCGCTGCAAATAGAACGACGTTCTACTTACCGGCTAGGCCCGCAGAATAATCTCGCGATCGCGGCCTCGCCTGGAGAACTATCATCGCGCGACGATGTCTCGGGTCGCTTGGCCGGCCGAATTCGATGAATTTTCGCTCGCTCGCGGCGCGGGGAGCGGCGGGTAGGAGCGGAGAGCGGCGGAGAGGAGAGGAGAGGAGAGACGAGGAGCGCGGGGGAGAGGAGAGGAGAGGAGAGGAGAGAAGCGGAGCTCGGTTTCGTATCGATCGGTCGGTCGGTCCGCGCGCACAGCTGACGCAGTAGAATAATCGCCTGCGTAGTCAGACGGCCGAGTAGAAAAAGGCGGCGCGAGATCGGTTGACGCTGGTCGTAAAAAAGCTCCGGAAGCTCCAAAGGAGCCGCCGGTCTCGGCGTCGGTCGCGGCTGCTCGCGCGAGCGGCCGCGAGGCAGCGAGCAGCTGCGGCCGCGAAGCGGCGGCAAACGGCGGTTAATTGGTTAATGAAAAAGTCGCTGGACTCACCGAATATGGTTCCCACGCTGTTCCCTATCGCGTTGGAAACGGCGCCTTCCGACAGGGCGTCCAGGCAGGCGCTCAGGGCGCAGGCACACGCGCTCGTACCTATAAGGTACTCCAGCACCATGTTCCATCCAATAATGAATGCTATTAACTCGCCTACCGTCACGTAACTGTACATGTACGCGCTGCCCGAGGTGTGGGGCACTCGGACGCCGAACTCGGCGTAACATGCTCCTGCGAACACACGCGGCCAGTCGTTAAAACGCGTTCGCGCGAAAACGCCACTTCGTGCGCCCGGTTAAATTCCGCGTTAACTCGGGGCAGCCGTCGGTGTGCAAACGCGCGTCTTCTCCAATCCAACGAGCGACTCGAGGAGTCAGAAGTTGGAGGAGTTTCCAAATTTCCAAGATCAACCGATATTCAATGTTACTCGAGACTCTGTGTGGATAATTCTATCTACCGCGAACGTGCCACGATTATCTCGTCGCGTTTGCACTCGTCTCGATCGGAAGAATCTCGGCCAACCATAGGTGCCGCAATTATAAAAGCGAGACCACGATTACCATGGAAAACAAACCGTTCTTCTTCCCACGTTCGAATAAAATAATTTCGGCCGGGCCGATTTTACTCGCCGATGGATCTCGGCTGGATCTTTTTCGCCGTGTCGGGGGAGCCGCGATCGATCGCGAGGCATCAAACGGTATTAGCTCCGGAAGAAACGATCCCCCCCGTTGTCCCAGGGGGAATCGCGATTCCAGCCCCTAATCCGGGCGGCGCGGCGTTCCGGACGCGCCATTATTTACCGCGGCCGGATCCGGGGGATCGAGGGGCCGTCAAAGGAGCCGCGTTCGATATCGACGCGATCGCAACGCGGCCGGCTCCTCTCCAGGTGTATCCTGGGCACACACCTGGCAGCGAGGAGGAGCCGAGCACGATCGAGCACATCGAGCGAATCGAGCAGCATCGCGTGTCTCGAGAAGCCCTTCCGGAACCAGAATCGTGTCGGGCCGGTTCCGCGTTCGATTCTACGCGGACACTCGTATTTCACGTGTACCTAAACACACGCGGAGCTTATACGTCCGTGTATCAACGCGCCATTAATGTATCCGCGTTTTAATTCCGTTCCAAAAGTATAACAATAACAGATTGCTCCGTCGAAAGAGCAACGATAGATAAAGAAATAAATTGGAAGAAACGCTCGTTACAGTAATGTCTCCCTTACCGACGCTCAGATTGTCCACTAAAATGGACAATTTGGGAAGAGGAGATACGATTATTCGAGTCTTGTGGCTCGTTCTTATAATTGTGGACTATTTATAACTATAAAAATAAACCGCAAGTTTAATAAATAATAAATAATAATCGTAATAATAATATAATCGTATCTCCTCTTCCCAAATTGTCCATTTTTGTGGTCAGTCTGGTCGTCAATTAGAGAGACATTACTGTATTATATTTGGAGATAGTTATATTCGAGATCAAGATTTTGTTAGATTTTCTTTCGATACGCGAAGTACGCTGGTACCACGGTCGACTCGGCGGTGTTCGCCACGGTTTCGCTGCAGTAAATCCATTCCTCTCTCTCTCTCTCTCTCTCTCTCTCTCTCGGCTCTCTAGGAGCGGCGTGTGTCGGCCGGAAAAGATGTACAGCTGCGCGTGTGTGCTTTGCGAGCAACCGAGAACCCAGTAATCATGGTAGCCGCGCGCGTGACCGTCGACGCCGCCGACACTCCCGAGACCCCCGACCAACGATAAACCAACGCCCACCGCCGACGGATCCCGCTCCCGGTCACGAAAGACCTAGCCCTCGAGACGTAATACGCTGGTAGGCTCGTTCTACTTCTGCTCGAGGCCCGTGGATTTACTCGAGACCCTCGCCAGTCGAAGGCTCGACGGTATGTCGAAGCGACGACAAAGGTTCCGGGTTCCACCGAAAGCTTCCATTCATCGACTGCGAGTGCCGGTTCGCCGTTTCGAGTGGGATTCGAGCCTCGATGGTCCGACAGAAACTTTGTAAGGCTGGCTGGATGGAGGGGAATTGTGCTTCGACGGTAGCAGGCCATCGTTCACGGTCGCGTCTTCCAGGTGAAGAAAGCTTCGATGGTCCGACCGATACGGTAGAAACGATTCGTGTTTGGACAGACGCGTCTGAAAGAATCTACGATGTCGGTATATATACAGTACGGTCAATTTAGATTCTGTCGGACGTATTACAGTTTCAGAGAATCCTAATATAGCCAGGCGACCTCCTCCAGCTATAGAACACTCGAGCTATACGGTAATGTCTCCCTTACCGACGCTAAGATTGTCCACAAAATTGTACAATTTGGGAAGAGAAGATGCAATTTTTAGAGCTTTGCACCTCGTTTATTATAGTTACCGATTGTCGACGGCTGTAAAAACGAGCCGCAAGGCTCGAATAATCGTATCTCGCGGTAGAAGACTCGAGATACAGTCGGACCTCGCAGTAGAATAGACTACCATTTGATCAGACCCGTTTAAAAAGTAGAAGAACCCGAGACGATCCGACATCCAGCGACAGGGACCGAGTTTGATCGGGCGAGTAGCGAGGCCTCGCGCTTAGTCGGACACGTTGCAGTAGTAAAGGCGCGCGCGCGCGTGGCGAGGCCGCGCGCAATCAAGGAAATTTAAGTGGCTCTAAACCGGCCACCGTCGGGCACCCGGAGCTTCGATGGCGCGGCGCGATCCAGGTAAAGAGGGCAATAAGTAATTCAGCTGTGCCGGCTGGGGCTGTGGGAATGTTGAAACAAGCTATTAACGAGCTCATTTACGGTGGGAAAATAATACGTTAAGAGGTCGGGAGCGTGAGTGGCCTGGCATAAGAAAATTGACCGGGGCGATCGCGTGTCGTAGAGCGCGGTTAGGCGAGCTTACGGTCGCGGGGGAGTGAAACCGGAGACGGTCCGTGGTCGGAGAGGGCCGAGCATAACAATATTGCGCGGGCGGACGTAAGCGAAGCAGGATCGCGGACGATCGGACGTCGGCGAGATAAATCGGGCCCGGTGAAATCGAATGCTTCGAGGCGAAACGAAACTCGTGGACCCGTAGGACAAACACGATCAAAACGATACGTGGCCGCGAGCGGTATGTATCGGGTGTCCCAGAACTCCCGTAATACCTGGAGAGAGGTTCGATTATTCCTGGGACAATTCGAAGCAACTTTCGTTCAGAGAGCATTTCCATGGAAACCTTGTACTTTTTCCTCGGCGAAAACGAAGGTCGCGGCTTCGTCGACGAGCTATTTACGCGATTCGTTGCCAACTACAGTAATGTCTCTCTAATTGACGCTCAGTTTGTCCACAAAAATGGACAATTTAGGGAGAGGAGATACGATTATTCGAGCCTGGCAGTTTATTTCTATAGTTATAAATTGTCCACAATTATAAAAACGAGCCACGAGGCTCGAATAATCGTATCTCCTCTTCCCAAATGATCCATTTTAGTGGACAATCCGAGCGTCGGTAAGAGAGACATTACTGTAGTTGGCATAGCCGCGGAGAAGACGTTCGTTGAGGAAAAAGCGACTTCGAATCTCCTCGGAGACGCCTTCGTTCGAGGGCTGACGTTTCGAGGACACCTTGCGCAGATCCGTGGAGAGCTCTCTCCGCGGATGTCGGCGAAACGAGTCTATATTTGGTCGGGCTCGAGGCGGGTCGTTGCAATATTTATTTTCCACGGGACAGTGGGTGTCTTCGGGGGATTAGATCCGTTGGTAATCACGCCGCTCGTCGATGATAATTGATTTCTCCGGCGAGATCCGCTGCTCGAATTGCAGCGGACCGTCGCCGCCGCTTTACGACTAGATTCCCCGGCTACGAACGCTTTAAAACGCGCTTTAAAACTCTCCTGTAAGTGGAAAAGAATTGGATTCCCGGACGCGGAACCGTTCCTGACAACCTGTCCGGCGCTCCCGCCGTGCGATCCCGTAAATCTAATCCGACAGTGTTACCCACACCAGCCCCGGTTAAATTCCGTCGCGAGTATTCCTGTCGCTACCAGAACGGAAACAACGTTGTTTCAACCTGGGAACTCGGCCCCGTCTCCCCGCCGCTGCTCTTCCAGTTTCCGTCCGTCCGTAACGCGGACAGCAATTACGTGTTCCCGCGACCAAAACCGGCTCGCGAGAACTGGTTCTGCCTGGCTTGCCGCGACTTACCCGAAAAAATTGAAGCAACTGCCGCGATTATGAACGAGATGACGACGCCTGGCCCGGCGACGCTGCGCGCCACCATCCCCGCGACTACGTACATCCCTGTACCAACGCAGGAGCCAACTCCCAAAGACGTCAGGTCCAGAGTCGTCAGGCACTTCTGTAAAACGAGAAACGCATCCGTCAGACACTTCCCGGTGAAACGAATGCTGAACGATGGACAGAATCCTGTTCGATCGATGGACAGCGGATTTTTCGCGCATTTCCGGTTAAATTAATAGATCGAATATCGAAGTCTGAACGCGTTGGAACAGTTTAAGAGCATTTCCTGTGCTCTCTTCGATTCATTGAAATGATTTAAAGAAGTACTGTAATGTCTCTCTAATTGACGCTCAGATTGTTCGACATTGCTGTATCATGTTTCCGAAAATCGAGTTGGAATATTTTCATTTCGTAGAAAAATTCGCGCTCTGTTAATCGGACGCGGTTGCAGTGGAACGCGACCACGTTTGCTCAGACCTGATTCCAGTGGAACAGGTATCGGTCAGCCGGGATCGAGCTCGAATATTTTTATTCGAGTTCTCGGGCTGAGAATGTATTCCACTGTGATAGCCCAATGAATAAGGACTTGTTCCACCACGAGGCCCATAATTGGCCCGCTCTGATCAGGTTCGACTAAATGCGGATCTATTCCACTGCAACTCGGTAGCATTATACAAACGCCCATCGACCGAACCAACCGTTTCGGTACAATAAACGCTTTTTGGTCGGACGATCTCGATGGCGCGAGTCTTCCTTGGCTTCGCCGCTATCCATTTGGATCGTGCACGTTTAATTCCCCTAACTCTGCCCGACCGGATCGGAAATAGAACGGCCAACAGGGCGGACCGAACGAATCCCGATTCTATTTCAGCTGTCGCGGCCGAAAGTGCGGCCACCCTTTCGCATCGAGACCTTCGAAACCAACGGGATGCAGAGCCGGTCAGCCTGCCGCGCTAAAAATGAAACGAACCGGTGCGGTGGCCCAGTTCCTGCCAACAAAGAGGCTGTCGGCTCCGCTCCGCCCGGCGCGGCGTTCTTGTTTCAACCGCGAAGAACTTGTCGCGACGCATCTCGCTCGTGGTATTCCATAAGCGCCGATATCCGGCCGATACTTGCACGGAGAAATTTCGAGCGAAGCTGCCGCAGCTCGGCGAAACAATGGCCGAGGGTTGCCCGGGGGAGTGTTTCGAGTGCCGGTCCCCTCGGTCTCGCCTAAACCACCGCGAACTTTCCCAATAAACGAAGCCCGGCTACGCGGTCGCGACGCTGCTACCCGAGAGCATCGAAGCAACAAAAATCGGCGATCAACGCGGCCGATTTGGACGTTCGTAACGCTGCGTTAGCTTATTTTCCCGTTTTTCTAGCACGAGCTTGACCCAATCTTTTTATTTTTGTCGGATCTAATCGAAGATCAAAATCGAGAGATAAAATCGATCAAGATCCAATAGAAAGCAACGATGAACAAACGTCGATGATAAAATAGTTACTAGAAAAATGGATAAAAATTGGCGAACTTCGAGCGACGATAACTCCGCGAAAAATCATCGCACGACGATGACTCTTTTTTCAAATTAAAGCTTGAAACGTCTACTTCGAGACAGTGTTTCTGGATTTGAAGTTCGATGCACCCTCGCCGCTGTAACCCTTTAGAGACGAGACCATGCTCGTCGCGTCGAAAATTGCCAAGTTCGACGAAACGCACGGCTCGTGTAAAATTTTTTCCCGAGACGTCGTTTGCAGCGGAAGAAGGTTCGATGCTTCCCCTTTAATTTAAAAAAAAAGAAACCCGGCTGCGATTTTTCTTCGCGAAGTAACAGCACCTTAAAGTACCCCCTGCAATTTCGTCGTGTACCAGCGACGTTGGCGTTATCTGGCATGCAAGGGTTGCTTCAAAGTGCTGTAACTTTGCGGACGAAAATCGCAGACAAGTTTGCTTTTTTTTAAATTAAAGGGAAATGAACCGAAGTTCGTTGAAAGGAAGTACGAAGTGCCTGGGGCATCGAAAACCGTGATCGGCGTAATTTTTAAAATTGATTCCAGGCAAACGAAAACCGATCGATTGGACCATTGTCAACTTCGCAAGATCCCTTTTCCATCGAACAGGGGAGACCTCGACGGGGTTGTTCCCTGCGCGAGGGAAGAAAGGGGCGCCTAGGGAAGCCTCGTCGCGACGCGGGCTCCGAGAAAATTAATTTCCCATTAGGCCGCCGCGCCGCGGAGATTGATCCGCTCGCGGGAGGTTCGCGGGCAGCTCTCGGGCCTTCGACGGGCCGCTCGCGCGAGTTCCTGCGACGAGGCTGTTGCAAAATCCCGTTAAAAATAGCCGGGATCGATACGGAAAGGCGGGATCCAAGCCCGGGAGGTTTCTTTCCTCGGAGGATTCGGCCGTTCTCGTCGAGAACGGACGGTCTGCGACGGGGATATATGGGATCAGCCGGGGGAGGGGGCCTGCGGGGGCGTCTAGAGTGTACCGGTGATTTCATTTCGAGCCGGCTATTTTTAGACCGCCTTTCCGATATCCTCGATCAATTCTCGCGAATAGAGTGGCTCCCGACGCCGTAGATAACCGTGAACGATCAAATCGAATCGAATCGAAACGAGTCGAGTCGAGTCGAATCGAATCGAATCGAATCGAACCCCGCTCACCTGTAGTTTCTGCTTGGACTCGGCCGAATGCAACGGCTCGGGCCCAGGCTTCCTCTGATCGCCCTGCAAGCTGTCCACGTTCTTCGTGCGGGTGAACTTCCCGAAGAGCTCGAGGCCCTTCTCTCGGTCCATTAGATCCAGCTTCATTTTTCCTGAAAACAGAACGGAGGAAGCGTTACTCCTTGGCCAGGGTACTTCGTTTCGAGTGGCACGGCACTGTTCCGCCGAGGCAGCCAGGGAAATTGCGCTGTCATGGTCAGACGATAAGCGAAATAACATCTGCGACGCCTAAGGGGAATACTAGTCTTGTTTCCGCAGATAGTAAATGAAAGAATACCGGTAAGTAGAGTAATGCCTCTGTGCGACCAGACTGGAAGTGGAATAACATCGTCGTGGTCGGACAGTTAGAGAAGTACGGTAATGTCTCCCTTAGTGAGCGTCAATTGAGAAACATTGCTGTCGGACAATAAGAGAGGCATCGTCGACGCAGTCGATCGATCGATCGACGCATCTTCGAACTCCGGTGTCCAGAAAACGGAGACTGAAAAATGAAAAAATGTTATTCTTTCTCTTCGTCTTATATTTTGAGACAGACTCAGCTTGTATAGCCAAAAGAGGAAAAAAGGCGCAACCATTAAGGCGTCGATATGGCTGCTCCTCGGTGAAATCGGAGTCGCCCGAAGGGCGAACCGAGAGCTCGCTGCTCGCGAATCGAGCGAGCGAAGGACGCGAGGCATTACCGAGGCTCGAGGAAGAACGGGACACGGGGATAACGGATTATGCAAAGGCGAAAAATGCATAATATGGGGATAATCAGCTGAAAGCAAGCGTAGTCACGGGGATCGCAGCGCGACGCCAATGAATAATGCAGGCAGACTCGACGATCACGCTTACGTCCTGCCCATTCCCGGATAATGGAATTCCGGAATATTGTCCGATCGCTCTCGCGGACGTTCCGCCGGCAGTTCGAGACGGCACCAGGAAAAAACAGAGCGGCTCCTTTGGATTCATGAGGAAACCTTTCTGAAACGGGGACCGTCGGCTAAAAGTCACCCCACCCGGCCAAATTAATCCGGCGAGGGGAACGCGTTCGTCGCGAAGCACGGTATTCGATCCACGGAAACTCAAAAATTCGTAGCCGAGATACGAAAGGTCCTGTAAAATGTTAACGAAGTGCCAGTTTTGTTGGCGGAACTTGTAGTTTAATGCGCGAGATCGGGAGCAGTGCCTCGGACACGTTCCTCACCGACGGAATATTTGTACCTGTAATCCGGTTTCTACGCAAGCGGAATTCGGTGCTGTAAAATCTTTGAAACGAGTGAATAATTGTCGGATTAAACGTTTATTGAACTTGTTAAAATCTGAAAAAAATATTCGGAAATATTACAGCGATCCAATCGACGAAACAGAAACTGAAAAATTAAAATTCGCAATGGATGCTACTGGAACTCTCGCGCGTTCCAAAGATTCCAGTAAAATTCGAACCGCTCGAATATATTGAAATAAAAACGAATCCCGAGAATCGGATGAAAAATGATCGTCGCTCTGAAGCAGCATTATTGGTCGAGAATGAATTAGTTCGAGGGTCATCGATCTTGTTCGAAAGTTCTCCGTAGTATCGAACGGTGCGCGAGGCCATCAGTCTCCGTGGACGCAAAAATATTTCCTTTCTAATTAGGTAATTAGCCAGACGGGGCGAGGGTAATGTAATTAACGGCGGAAAAGCGCGGCTCGCTTTGCAATTGCCGGCTCTCGCCGGAACAATGCGGGCCGGGAGCAGCTAGTGAACAATCGCGGGCTCAGAAGCTCATCCTCGGTTTCTAAAAGCTCTGGCTTCTCTGCGCCGACGATTCGCATCGCATTCCGCCAGCTGCTGGCGGTAGCAACCCGGTAATGGTACTGTCAGCGGTGTTGCTAGCGGTGTTTGTGGCGTTGCCGGTGGATGCCCCTAATTATCGTTCTCTCTCTCGCGCTCGTCCACGCAGGCGCGTCCTTTGAAAAATCTCCGAAAGCTCTCCCCCTCTCCCTCCTCCGCGTTTTCCCTCTTTAACCTTTGTAATCTTATTTCGCGAAAGAGCCAACGCGAAGCACGAAGAATCCCCGGGTCCTCAAAGCTAATGGACTCCCACGAAACCGGCCACCTCGACGAATTATTCGCACGCCTCGTGTTCGTGGGAATCGTCTGGCCTGCAAATTTCTCTCTCTCTCTCTTTCTTTCTCTCTGTCTCTCTTTAGAGAATCCACGACGAAATTGACGCGTTTGTAAAAGCTGCGGAAAAGTGCCCTTAAAGGGGCCCCTAGCACAGAGTAAACGCGAGGAATGGGTCCTGCGGTATTTTTAATATCTTTCTGTGTGCCAAATAAAGTTTCTCGCCTGCAACAGAATACCGTATACAGTAATGTCTCCCTAACTGACAATTTGGGAAGAGGCAATACGATTGATCGAGTCTCGCGGCTCGTTTTTATAGCGGCAGATCATCGACATTTATAAAAACGAGGTGCAAATCTCGAATAATCGTACCTCTTTTTCCCAAGTTGTCCATTTTTCTTTCCAAGCTAAGCGTCAATCAGAGAGACATTAATGTAATGCGACATTGTACATTCATTTATTTATTGCATACGCGCGGAAAGTTGCCCATTAGTTATGAACTCGCAAAAGGAGAAAGAACACACGGAGATTTGATACCGGGATGTGGCGGCCTCGAACGTATCGAGGCCGGTGGGAACGGGGGGACGGGGGGACGGTTCCATGAAAAATTCAGAAGACGCGGCTGTCCAGGGGATTTTTCGTTTCCGAAATATTTGGAAACATCGTTTGGCGGAGCCGCGGATTCGGCGGTGTTTCAGGAGCGGACAGCCGAGGGAAAAACGCGGCGGCGCATACCGACGAACCATTTTCGTGGCTCGTTACCGCTTTACCACAAAATCACGTTCGGCGCTCCTGTACGAGCCAGCACGGGGTGCGTGAGGCTTGCAAAAATCCCGGTATATCGTGATTACGTCTTGGCTCGTGGCTCGTGCGCATGCATAACCAACGGTGTCCAGTCGGCTGTAAAATTGCGGGGGGCGTCCGCCTTCCCCCTGGCCGTCTCCTCCTCCCCGAATATTCCCCGGCTCTGTTTAATTATAATTTTCATTTTGATTGCGCGGCCCGCTCATAAAAATTCAGCCTGAAAAAACAACGGCCGGAGAGCCCGTGGCGGTACCAAATAATCCGAACGACTTTTACGAGCGCAGCCGGAAAGGGAACAGTGCTGCGGCGATCTACCGGGTGTCCGCGAAACCGTTTCGTTGTTCGTTCCGGACGGAAAAAGTAATTCTCAACCATCCACGATCGAGGGACCGAGGCGGATCGATGGGACAAATGCGACAGGCCGAGTGATACGACTCGATCGCTGGTCGGCCAGGTGGTAGAAATCGGCGACGAATCGGCCAGATAGCGAAAGCCGCCGCTCGCGATACAAGCGTAGGACACCTGCGATATTCCCGGAGACTTCTGCGCAAAGCTTTCGCAGAATTTTGTAGGCTGCTTCGGAGTGTCGCAGAATTTCTCAGAGAATCGCAGGCTATCCGAAGTCCGGCGTTGCAGAAGCGAATTTAGCGGCCTCTTTTCCGCGCCGTTTATCGGGCTCGGAACAACACGGCGGCGCTATAAATAAACACGTGTATGCCGCGCCATAAATCTGCGACGCCTTGTCGCTTATCAAAGCCGGCCAGAAGGGCTGGGTGTCGGGTCCTGGCGATTCGTTCCGATTCGACTCGATTCCGGGGAGGAGGGTCGGAGGTCGCCGCGATCGGCGGCAGACGCGTCCGCGAAACGGCTGACGAGAGCCGGCGTGATTTAGGGCCGGCTAGGTCGGTGACAAAGCCCGTCGCGTATAGTTTATGCCTGTGCTCGCGCCGCGAGCCGGGTCCCATGGCTAACGAGCGTTCCGAGTAACTAGAGCCCGCGAATTAGAGCTCGCGTCGACACGGCGAGCCCTTCGGTTCCGCGCGCGCAATAATTCCTCCCCGCGGAAAACAGGGATGCAGGGGGTCGAGAGGGCCCGGCGGGGGCAGCGGAGAAGGGCGGAGGGAGGGCTGGAAAATGGGGTATCGCGGGCACAGGAACGATGCCATAATTAATCGGGAACTGGAACGAGCAACGTCCTCGGCAAACGGCCGCTGTTTCCGCCTCCCAATTAGGGCTGGAACACGCTGTCGCGTCGTTCCCGGTCCGGTCGAATGTTCTTTCATTGTTTCGCAACGCGGAGTTCGCGCCGGGCCGCGAACGAGCAACGTTTTACCGGAGCGAGACGGGACCGGTGCACGGGACCGTGGACTTTTGCGACAATTACGAGGATCGAAAGGCGCTAATTGCCAGCAGGATTTTCCCGTGTCAACGATTCGCCCCGCGGCCGAGATTCCTCGACCGCCGGGAGGACACCTCGGACTCCGCGCGTTCCTCCTCGGGAATCGTTTATTAACTCCGCGACCCATAAATCAAGCTCTGCCCGATGTCGATCGCGATAAATCGTTGGAAATCCGGAGCAGCGCGCTGAAAGCTGTCGCTACACGCCCGTTCTACCTGTCCGCCCTAATAAACGACTGTTCCGCCCGGCGGGGTTAATAGTCGAGATTCTTTGAAGTCCTCGCTCCTGTTCCTGTTTCGCTTGATCCTAGACGCGACGCCGACCCCCCTTCCCTCCGTTCCGCTTGCTCGACCTCGTTCTACTTACGCTCGCCTCGCCTCGCCTCGCCGCCCTGTGTGCATGTCCGACTCGTCGCATGCTCGACCTTATTGTGCTAGCAAAATACGAGGACTCGCTCGGCGAAATCGTCCGCGACGAGTGCATCTCTCGATATCTCGAGCGCCTGCGAACGATATCCATCGAGAACAGCTTCGATCGATCTCGGAGCCGGTTATCGTGGGCCGATCGGTTGCTGTGTCTCTGGTCTGTTCTCCGGCATAATTAATTTTATATTTTTATCAAGTGAGATTTATTCCACTTTTCTGTTCCTTCGTTTTGTTTATTTCTCGATAAGAAAGATGCTAATATGTTTTGTACGATAAATTTAACGTTAACTGTGCTCGAAAACCAAGCAAAAGCTCTCGCGAGAAATCGTCGTCTCGATCTGCGGTAATGTCTCCCTTACTGACGCTCAGGTTGTC